TATAGCGTGATTTTGGTTTGATTCCGCAAAATTACTATTTTAAAAAAAAAAAAAAAAAAAATTGTATTGTAAGATCACGTGATTATTTAGTTGACGTAGAGGCGCTTGATTTTGTTGTATTCCTTTTTTGGTCGGAATGATCTGTTTTTTTTAGATTTTTTAGCGTGTCTTCAAAGACGTTCCAAGTTCGGTCCAAAGATTCTTAGTCAATAACTAAATTAATCGGGCATAAAATCATCAATTAAACTTGTAAAACTGACTCGAAACGAAATCGAAAAAGAATAAATAATAGTAGCTTATTATCAGCCAATCATTTTACTTGTAATAAGTAAAAATAATGTTATATCATTTTTCATTGGATAACTTTTATATACGAGAGGCTCTATGCTCTATTAAAATATTTTATAATATTCTCCTATTTTCTTTGCTACAATGATAGGATAGTCATTTGCAAAAGGAAATTATCACTATTGTAAAGGATGAGTTTGAAACCTTTATCATACAAACGACAATCACCGGAGATTTAAAATACTATCGTATAACTATAAAATCATGAAAATTATTGTACTTAATAATTTGGTATATACCGTATTGATATAATTAGGCAAATATTTTTTTTTGCTAATCAACCAATGGTCGACAAAGACAAGAGAAACAAGTAAATTCTGTTTCATGGGAAGCCGTAGATATCAATATCATCACGGCTCCGTCGCCGTGAATCCGTGATGATAGTGAGATCGAGGCTAATCCGTAAAATAACTGAGTTATACCACGGAGAGCAACGTCCTGTATATAATTTTAAACTACTGAGATTTTTTTTTAAATAGATATCAACTATAAAAATATCAATAAGGAAAGTTGCGTACGACTAATAGGAAACATGGTATAAAAGATATATACAGTAATTGATCAAATGGCCAAATTATAAACAAATGGGAATACAGGAACTGACTGATGAATGCATACGAAATTATGTCAAAATCGACCATATAAATTTTCGAAATTTCCTTGTTATTCTAAATAATTTCGTAACTTCCATTATTTTCATATTATAAAACCACGATATAATTTCTTATGTTATTCCGTAAAGTATAATAATCCATTTGGGAATATTTCTGATGCAATGTTATCTTTGTTTGATAAAGAATTATTTAAACTTTTCAGAGCCACAACTTCATTTTGATATTCCCAATTATCATTTTCATAATCCCATTCGTGATTCGACTGATTCGTCTATAAGTCATCAATCTAAGTTGCTTTACACACAAATCCGCCTTTTACAATATATTGAATATCATGATTTGTAAATATTTATGAGCTGATAGCTGAGTACCTTGAATAAATTTATCAATATAATTATTAACACCAGTCCAATTTTTAAAATTTTGCGGAAACATTGCATATTTTATTACATTTTCACATTTCTCATATGAAATAATTTTCTTAATTTTCTTAATGTTTATTATGAAAAATTCTTAATTTTCACATGATAATTATTACTAAATTATCAAAATTAGAACTTTACGAATAAAGCTCAAATTTAAATATATATATATATTTTCTCATGCGTTTTTAAGAATTTTTTTTTCATTAAATTTCATCGTATCAATGATAATAATTTTCTTCATTTTTGGTAATAAAACTTGAGTACGGGCAAGCTTCTGTACTTTTCGCATACCTATAAAGCCATTAATTTCATCGTTCCTTTTCCGGTTTTCCCCAATCAACCATCTTATTAAATCCCCGAAAAATGTTTTCTAGAATCGGACATTTGATTCTTATTATTAATTGCAATCTTACGTTTAACAACATTTACTGTAACTTATCAACTAAAAGCGGCACACTCTATCAATTTTATTATCAATTATAGCAAATTCCTTCCTACTTTAATAGTCTGACAAAATGTTTTTGGCCGTGTTATTATCTCTGATGGAACTTTTAATTATCTTGGCAAGAAATTAAAAACTCTCACAAAAGGGAAAAAGGAAGAAGTGCATTGGATTTCTTTCCTTATCAGTAATCTTCGATAAAATATAGAAATTCCAAATCCTATTATTAAAACCCTTTAGTTCACGCCAATTATTAATTCTGGTCTCACATTATCAACGATATAGTTTATGGAAAGATAATTGAAAAAACTATCTGATCGAGATGTCTTGGAGAACATTGGATATTCAAAATCAATCAAGATACCTGCAATTGATGTGATTGCATCATTCAATGTCGTATGAGTGAAAATAACCTCCTCAATGACGCTTCACATCATGATCCTCGCTACATACTGATTGTCTAACTTCTTTTCCTAAACCTAACTTTTCCGCCTCTATTGTAAGACGTTGATATAGTTCAACCTAATTCTTCTTCCACTTAATATATAGATTACTATTTGTGTATTAGTATTACAGTTATAATCTCTTTCGTACTCTTTTTATTATAACATGAAGGTGATTGTTTGTCTTAGGCTAAACGGCAGTCTATATTATTATAATATCATGGTGTCAAATTTAAATAGTTTTAAAAATTACTTTTTTTTTACTATCTATTATTGTTTTACTAAATATATAATAAACTGTATCTTCCTTTCTACCAATATATTAAATACATAATCCAAGAGGTTTCGAAATGTTTCGCTAATAACGGAAAGTTTTAGTAATTTCACCTCAGTATCGGTTTTTCGACTTTGGATTTTAGTTTCGTCTATAACACTAATGTTTACACTTCTAAATTAGTAAACCAACAAATAAGTATATAAAAATCATATATTTGTAACAAGAAAAAACAATTTATTAGTTCTAAATTTAAACATTTTTGATCAATATATTATAAAATATCTTAAAAAAATATCTTAAAAAATTATATAGTAATACATCAGATACTACGGCATCAAATTCTATGTTAAGATATAGAATAAAATTTAACATATGTATTTATATTAAAGGTTAATTAAAAACAAACTCTTTACTTGGCGATTGTCTTTTTGGTGAAGCTGTTGGTAAATCTATACTTGACAACCAAGTTGCCTTACGTGGGCTTTTAATAAGTTTGTGATAATACATTATCATCCGTAGCTATATTAAATTGTCGTGTGAGAACTACAAATATTTTTCTGAGATTAAAATTAAAATGATCTACCTTAAACTTCTTTATTACTTCGACAGCATTCCCAATCTCTGAGAAGCATACACTTGAATTTGGTAAAATAAACGCATTATATTCGTCAACAACGTACATGTTATTGATCAAATGCATACTCAAAAAATGATACTCGCATCCTATTCATATTAATTAAGTTAGTTAATGGTTCTTGATATAAATAATCATAAGGGCTATATCAACATTTACCATACACTAAAATTGAAAACGATTGTAAATTTGAGGTATCCTTGCTATATGCATGTTGATATCGGAGCGAAATCATCATAGCTATAATTAATAGAGAACCAAAATTAGTTAAATATCGTATTAAACTTTTAAACCAAATTATGTCATACCTTTTAATAATTTTATTAAATCATCATTTTTGAAGCTGTTATCATTAATTAATGCATTACCAACTACTTCAAAGAATCCGACTTCAACTTTTGAACCATGTACATTCATATATATAACACCATCATGTTTGTCTCCTAATTGTTCACGCTCATTTTCTGCCTTCGAGAAGTTTCGTTGCCGTTTTCGCGTTCTATTTTCAATTTCGCCACTAGTTCATCACAAATAAAGAATTCAGTTTTATAACTGGAAACGAAAACCTTCATTGGAAACTTACGTATCAATCCAAATTGCATCTTCTACATCATAAAAGATTGTAGATAAAAGTTGGTTAACTAACTCATCTCTGTAGCGAAATTCACTTGCAGTTTTGTCTTTTAAAACACTACGATTACGGAGGAATTGAAGAGTCCTGATATGAGGGAAAAAACTCAATTAACCGTCAATGGCATGATATTCATGGTAAACCATTACAAAACCTACATTCGTTTATATAAGTCTTGGCACCAAAACAATTCGTAATTGTTTTGATGCTGGTATTCGTTAGATGGTTGCATCATAAAAGCCGTATAAAGTTCATTAAAGTCAATAAAAAATGTATTTCTGTCCATCTTTTCATCAAGAATTTTGAGGTAATCATCGACTTGTTTTTTCAATGTACATTTATTCCAGGAATCTTCAATTTTTTCTTGACTCAAAGATTTTTCAGCCTTATTATTATTATAGTATATAAGATATGTTATTAATAATTCCCAAATATAAATATAAATAAACTTACAGTACCTCTATCCATTCATTCTTCAACCTTTGTATTTGTTTGATTGATAATACTGTAAGGAGTTTCTTTGTGTATGTGAATTCAATATCAAAGAGGCAGATGATATTGTATCGTTCCAAATGTGATTTTGTTTCAAAATTTGCTAGAATCTGATCAAATTCGTTCTTAGTTCTAGTAAGTAATACAGAAACACATTAACGATATAGTAGAAGCTTACCTCAACTTTTGGAGTACTGAATAAGCTGTCAAATGGCTCCTCATCTGTCCATTCGTTGGATTCTATAATAGAATTAAAAAGATTTAATGATCTGTTGACATTATTAAGTATATTTATGTTCACTTAATAATGAACATACTTGATTGTTTTCGTTGATTTTTAATTTCTTTGAGTAATTGACTAGTATATCGTTTCTCAGATGTCTGAAAAAAGGAATTCAAATAAAGAATGGTATATTGAATATGAATGTTGTGTTCCTGTATCATATTCAACATGATAATCATAAATAGCGGCTTACATTTGATTTATTCATTTTTTTAATATTCGGTTATCATTATAGTCTATCGTGCTTCTTCTTTCCCTTAAAGAATAAGATTTACTGATTGTGGTTGTTGTCTTAGATGCTTTGGTTTCCTGTAATATGAGTAATGAGCATTTAGTAAAGAACCCTCCTCCAGATTCAAAGGAACTCATAGTAAGATGTGCACGCCGCAGCGACGAGACCCGGTACTCGTGTCTGGGCGCTCTTCTTCCCCATACCGCAGAACAGGGTGTAGCACATACCAATTTTTGCCTTAACGCTAATGCCTTTTCTTTTTCTCTGCCCGGTTTTAGATAATTTATTAGGATCCCTAATTCAGCCGCATAAGTATTATATGAACGTTGTTTTGTTTCTTTTTCTAAGTACTTTTTAGAATAAAAATGGTCCCACTCCTTGTCCCCCCATTGCGTATAAGGCCGTTCCCAAAACTCTAAAAGGAGGTATAATATTAAAATAGAATACTTTGGTATATAAATAAGTACGTATGAATAAACTCTTACCACGGTGAATTTTCGAAAAAATATCTTCAGTTATTGATGACATTATTAATTTTAACAGAGATGAAAATTTGAAAGAGAAAAATTCATTAAAATTATTAACGTTAAAGGTTAAGAAAAAACTTATTTGACGATTGAAAAAAAGTTACCTCAGACAGTGTATATATATATAAAAAATAGATAGATGGTTACGTGAGAAATTTGTAAAAAAGAGATTATTGATTACAGATAAATAGTTTGCTGTTATACGTGAGAAATCTTTTAAATATGTAATCACATGATTTTATGTAAAAAAGAGATTATTTAAATTGATAAATTACAGATAGATGGAAATCTTCTTTTAAATCTGTAATCACATGATGTTTTGTGCTAAGGCATAATCAATAGTATACACCAGAAGAGCCGGAAGAGTAGGTAGACGAACAAGGACTGAGTCTCATTGGTTGATGCTGAATCAATTTTTACAAATCATAGTATCTCAAACGTATTTAGAGAAAATTCAAAATTTTGAAGAAGCCATAAGACGTTTCCATATGATCCCCAACGCTGGGGATTTTTGATTATCTTATCTTTGAATTATTTTGAGGAAGATAGATAATCTGATCTAGTGGATCTAGTGGTTGCACTCTGGCGGAGTAAAAATTTTTTTTTTCAAAATGGGAAAAATCGCAGGGTATTATATAGCTTATTAAAAGTCTATTTCGTGATTGATTCCTGATGTAGTGATTATACTTTTTTTCGCGTTTTTCCCACAAAACCGAAGTCTATTTTGTGATTGATTCCTGATGTAGTGAATATACTTTTTTTCGTGTTTTCCCACAAAACCGAAGTCTATTTTTTGATTGATAGTGATTATCTTTTTCTTTTTCACGTTTTTCCCACAAGCAATCTCTTTTTTTCGCAACCTTTTATAATTCTTTTGGCCAGTATAACCGGAAAGTATATTTAAATGGAAATATTAAAAAAAAATGATGATATTTGTATCACGTTTTTTAGTACACTTGTGAAACTTTTTTATTTATATAAAAAAAAAAAAAATTATTACTACAAATTATAATCAAAATCTCTCTTTAATCCATTCAAATTCATCATAAGTATTACCATATAAATCATTATCATATTTTTTAATTATACCTTCTGATTTATATTTTTCTATTATATCAAAATATTTTTCCAAATTTATATGACTATACATTGGAACAGTTTGTAATAACATTGGATATCTTCCTTTCCATTTTTCAAAGAATAAATTTAAAGAATCCAATTGAGATAATGTTCTATAACGATAAAAATAAAATTTAAATTTAAATAAACTAATTGGTGAATTTTTAATTAAAATTTCAAATAATTTATTCCAATCAAATACCAAATCAAACTTATTTGTAACAATAATTAATCCATTTAAATATTGACAATTAATTAATAATTTTTCCAATTCCATAATATCACCATTTCTAAATACTAATGTAAGATATTTAAGATTTAAACAATTTTTAATAATTACTTGAATAAGTTCTTCATAATTAAAATCATTATATCTTAATGAATTAATACTAATTTCACAAAGTTTTCCTTTTGTATTTTCAATTAATTTTGCCAAATATCTTAATGGAATTCTTTTAGCCTTTAAAAATTTTAAATTAGGTAAAGATATATTCTCTAAATGGTTCCAACATGTATTATAAAATGGATCATCCATTTCTATACTTATTAAATTAACAAGATAAGAAAGTAATTTTGTAATAGGTTTATCATCAATTTTTAAATATTGAATAGTATCAGCATGTTTAATTAATGATTCTTCAAAGGATATACGAAATAATCTATCTCTATGATAAACAAAATAATAAACATTACATAATTCCTTTTGAGCTTCAATTAATTTAATGATTCCATTCATATCAGTCCCACTATCATAAAATATAAATTCCAAATTTTTAATTGAATTACTTATTCTAACCAAACCTTCTAAAATATTTTGATTATTATTATCTAAATCAAATTGAAGAAATTTAAGACCTGAAAAACAATAATCAAATCCTGATATAAGGTGTATTTTATAATAAAATTGTTTTGGTATATAAAGATGAGTAAATTTCATATTTTCATTAATAAAAAGATTAAATATTTCATTAATAATAATAAAATTATTATTATCATTAATATTAAATATTGAATTTATCATATCAATAATTATTTTAAAATTCAAATATTTACAAAAACTAATATAATCAAATAAAGGTTTTTGATATGAAATTATTAAATTATTATTATTATTATTATCATCATCATCATAATTATCATTATTTTGATTTTTTAAATTTTTTAAATTATTTTTTGATTCATTTGATAAATGTGATATAATCACTTTTAATAATCTTATATTATTCTTTTCTTCTCTTAAATATTTCCAAGGATTTTTCCATAAAATTGGAATGATAATATTGGTACAAATTTTATTAATTAAAAGACATGAAAAAAGATCTTTTCCATCATCTTTTAATTCTTCAAATATTAAATAAAGTATATCTCTGTTAAGGTTTGACATTTTATAGAAAGAAAAAGAAAAAAGACAATTTTGCCGATCAAACGAACGACATTTGTATAATATATTAATTGATCGTCAAAGTGATTTACATCACACAGAAACAATTTTGGATAAGCGAATAAGATATAAATAGGTAACAAGAAGATCGCCACTCACCTCTAATCGGTCAGAATTACGTAATGCCGCCTGGAATTACCCAAGGATCTACAATTAATTTCACAAATAAAAGATACTGTCAATTTTCGCGGCTACTTAGTTTGAGTCCGTTGGGCGATCTATCCAAACGCATCAGATTAAGGACATAGCTGAGACATTCGAGCGCTACAAGTCTATGAAAGTTGGTCAGCTCAAATCTATTGTTGATTTTATAAGTCGAAAGGAAATTTAATACCTAACATTTAAAATAACATTAAAAAAACTGATTGTGACACTGAATTTGAAGTAGGATAATTATCTAGAATCTAGAAAAATAAAGAAATATAATAGAAACAATAATTTGACTGTAAATTAAAAAAAGCAAAATATAAGGAATGTTTAAATAAATAAATAACTTGAATCAGCAATAGAACAATAATTATGGCAATTACGATAATAATAAATGTTTCCAATAATAAATTTCAACTAATCTAATAATTTGGAATAATATCATACGTATTTCAATTTCTATTTTGATTTCTGATTTTTATAATGTATTATCATAAAAATGGAAATGATTTTCAATTTAGGTCAGTTTGGATAGTGTTTCGATCCGTATTCGGGTCCAACCGGTTGAACCCGGATAATTTTATTTTTCGGATATCCGGATAATCGCGGTTTTTACCCGGATAAATATCCGGTTAAAAAATATCCGGTTTTGACCCGGAATCCGGATAATGAAAATAAAAAAAAGTTTTTCTTAAATGTTTAAATTAGTTTTCTTTCTAAATTTTTATTCAGTGAAGGATTGAAATCAATTCCCAAAATAAGAATTGATTTTTAGAGTCAATCAATCGTGATTATTATTCATTTCTTAAGTTTCAATTCTAAAATTCGGTTTATTATTTTGACTTATTGATATTAAGCCATTTTGTGCACTAAAAGCATGCAACAATCTTGATGATCACGGACAAAAAAAAAAAGTTCACATTTTCTAAAAAATTTCGGAAAATCAAACCTACAGCATAATTTGGGCAAAATTCATAGTGCCGGCCGAAATTAGAGTTTCTAACCTTAATTTAAGATCTACGATTTAATTAAATAAACGCCACCAATTTAATCAAATTTGTTACTATGGAACTTAATTAAACTTATACCATGAATTTTATTTAATATATGCCATGAATTTCCCAATCTATAAAAAAAATTAATATTAATTCTATCCGGATTTCGGTTTCTATCCGGATATATCCGGATTTTTATCCGAGGCGGATAATCCGGATAAAAACCGGATAATTTTTTTAATTTATCCGGGTAACGGTTTCTACCCGGATCGAAACACTAAGTTTGGAAGGATTGTAACATTTTTCTTTTAAGAAATATAATTGTTATATATGTAAACCTTATATCTTTATTAAATATACTAATACAAGATTTCTAGAGTAATATTATATTGTGTTTATACGTGTATCAAAAATTGATGATACTCGAAATTAAGTTTAATTAACACGTTTTTTATTTACAATTGAAATAATTTGTTAAATCGTATAATACAAGAACAAATTCGCAGCAATATTCTTCACCTTTGACTTTTCATTAAAAAAAATTTATACCTCTGACCAATTTTTTTTAGGATGGGAAGAAATGAGGTTTGTATTTTTTTATATTACTTGATAATAAAGACAAATAAATGAATTCATATAAAAATCCGAAGATTTTACCTTGCGTTTGTTCATGTATAAAATCTGCTATAAAATAATTTTTTCAAATTTTACTAAACAATTACATTAATTAAGATATTTCATTTTTTTAAAATCTTTCACGCTTAAATTTTGTTAATTTATTTAGTCAACAAAAACAAAATGAATACATATATAAGTCAAAGTGTCAAACAACTGATCAATAATAAAATTTAAAACCCTATTTAACGTAATCCTCACTAATTTAATTATAAAAGAAAAAAATTCGCCTTTCTTTGGTGAAGAAAAGTAAAAATATATATATAATTTATTTATACTCTATTTCAAAATAATTTAACGTTGAAGCTAAGAAAATCCAACGATAAACAGAGTTTTAAATTGTAATGATTTATATAAAAAAAGGTTAAAAAAATAGTAATATCTATTTGTAACTAGCAACTAAAACTTTTAGCAGTCATGTACGAAACATTAGATTTCCTATATCATTAACATGTAAATTATTTCAAACTTTCGTTGTCTATATACTTCAAATGTTTATATAAATCTCAAATCAATAGTTGACAACCGAGGTATATAAAATTCGAGTACTATACGGTACAATCTCAATAATATTTTATGTTAGAAAATTATATTAAGAATTTTCTAAAAATAAAGATGAAGTGAGATTAATACAATATAAACACCATTTAGAATACTCCGGTATCAATGCTTTATTTACTACCACTTGCAATTTCAATTCGTAATTTACGAAAAATTATAATAAACCGATTACATATATGACGTTTTATTAATTTTTAAAAAAATAAAAAATTCAGATCAAAAAGTGCGGTGAGTTAGGAATTTCTATTGAATTTTTTTATTTTCATTTTATTTATAGCTAATATAGTACGTTATATGGTAAAAAGGCTTCTCAATATCAACCATCAAAAATTGAAGTATAGAATCGTTCAGAACGTGGATCATCTGGTAATAGATTTTATTGAGTGTACAGAGGATCACAAATTTTTGATGTATTTTTAGTGAAAAACAGTTAACAGTACAACAAACAGTCCTTCAACTTGCTATTCAAACTTGGGATTATACATGTGGGCGCTTATTTATTCAGATGATTCTTTATACAATATTGTTTTGTGTCAAATACCAATGGTATTATTCTTGTAGATAAACTAAGCCTGAAAGATATATTAAATCACATATATTGAAATTTATACATTTTATAATATATTACCATTTTCTCTTAGAAGTATTTGTTTATTAACTAAACGACAATAGAAATAAATTCCTTCATCATGATAATTATTATATGATTTTACTTATAAATCTTCTTTAGTATATGTATCGTTAAACATATAATAATTTATTTATCTGACCAAATGGAAAATCACAGAATGTTAGTTGATATAAGGTTCAAATCATATTTTCATTTTAACCTTTCAAATGGAAACTTTGTGAATTTTATTGTTTTTCTTTTTTTTTTATAAAAAATTTTATTAAAAAAATTACGATTTTTGGATTGTTTGCCCTTAAAAGAAAAAAAATTAAGTCGATCCCCCAACTAAAAAAAAAGGAAAAAAAAAAATTTTGATTAAGCCGACTCCCAACTAAAAAAAAGAAAAAAAATTTCTTTTATGTATCATATAAAAAACAAAAAATTCACGATCTAATAATACTTTTGCTGGAAAAAATTGAAGATTGTCCGTCAGCTTTCGTCACGATGGCGGTTTCTAGAAGACTTACAAGTATTAACTCTGTGACCAGGCTTCCAACAACTAAAATAATTATTTTTTTTAATAATTATTACTTTTACATCTAGTTGAACCTAATAATTTTATTAATAACTTACTAAAACATTTGCTTCTATAGTCCGGGAGATGTTCGGACAATCACTTACCCAGTGACCCGCTTTCTTACAGTAGATACAATTCCTAAATAATGGGTGGGTTGCTATAAATAAGATAATAAATGTTACCTATTATCAACCGAATTCAACAAATTATTAAATATTTTAAAGAATAAGATGGAGGTGAAGCTACTTATAATTCTGGTGGAAAAGCTGGAGCTTCTGCTTGCGCTTCTGCGTCTTCTGGTGGTGGAGCTGGAGCTTGTGTTTTAAAATAAAATTAACTTAAATTATAATATAATTGAAGAATACTAATATTATTTACGTTTGATTTGAGAGGTGGCAATTTTATAAATTTCGATTATATCGCTGACTTTACATTGTACTGTATATTTTCTTTATACGCGACAATTTTATTATTATCGTTATCATTGTCCATATTAATGAAAAAAGACGAAAAGATAAAAACTGAAGGTGTTAAGGACAAAAACGAAGAAAAGGAGATAAAGACTGGAAAAAAGGATATTTATTTCTTATTTAAGAAACTTACCATATTTAAATAAAAAATGGTTAAAAACGTTACTTTTTCATAGTTTTTTAAAAAACTGATTTTCCTATTAAGTTAAATTTATCATATGAAGATTATGAAAATAAAAAATTTTTTCTCCACGACAATTCTAGGACACTTCCTGGCGCCGAGTTGTTTCTCAAAATCACATGATGATCGGATAATCAGATTTCAGATTATTTGATGGACACGGTGTCCAGGTTCGTCAAAATTGCGCGCGAGGCGAAAGGTAAAAAATTTTTTAAGCGGGGACTCCCGGCTGAAATTTCAGTCACGAGATTTTTGGATCCCCGAAGTTTATAGTCGATTAAAGCCATCAGTCATCAGATGACCTTGAGAGATAAGTTATAAAAAAAAATTATCCCGCAGTATTGCATATCAATTTCGCAGATGTAATTAAAAAAGGACAAAGTTCACTATGTGAACAAACCAATACTTTTTATTTATGCATAACTACTGTGTCCACTAATTGCGCAGTAATGTGGCACAGTAAACGAACTAACTTCGCTCTGCTTTTATATTGACATCAAGGAATTATGAATTGACTGGCCAAATATCTAAGAGCTAACTATATATTAACATCAAGGATATATTTATTATTCGTATATATTGTTCAGGAGGCTAATTCTTGTGATTATAATAGGTCAAAATATATATAAAAAAAAATATCTTAATTTTATAAAAAATATATAGGGAAAATGTAATTGGCGACCCGGGTCACCATGGTGACCCCTGATTATGTAATAAATTTATATTTTTTTATTGGCTACACAAACATGATCATTGCATCATCTGATAAATGTTTATTTGTTTATTAGATAACGAAGATAATGATAATTTTTTTTTCCTTTTTTTTTATTGTCGGCTTGAAAATGACTTCTTTTAAGGCAATTTTTTTTGTTTTTTTTTCGTTATTTTATTGTATTTAATGACTCTTTACTTTATTATTAATGCTAACTTTATTTTTTTCTTTAGATAATGGAATGGCTTCTTTTTATTTAATGTATGTCTTTCTTTATTACTTTTTATATTTTTCTGTTTTTATTACTTTTTCATTTTATTTGAAATAATACTAACCAGTCATTTCTTTGTTCCTTTTTTTATGGGTGGTGTTTTTGATTATTTTTTCTTCACTTTTTTTTCGTCTTTCTATCGTTCTTTTCACTTCTTTTTTACCCTTTATTATTTTATTTCTTTCTCCTTTTTACTTCTTTTTTATTCTCCATCATCCTTTTATTTCTTTTATTTTTCATTATTATTTTCGCTTTCTTTTCTTTTCCTATCACCCTTTACACTTCCTTCTCACTTCCCGTTTGTTCACCATCATATTTCTTACTTCTTTTTTATCTCCTATCATCCTTTTTACTTTCTTTTCACTTCATTTTCGTTCATCATCATCTTTCTCACTTCTTTTTCGTCTTCTATCATCCTTTTTTACTCCCTTCCCACTTCATTTTCGTTCACTACCATCTTTCTCACTTCCTTTTCATCTCCTATCACCCTTTTACTTCCTTCTCACTTCATTTTTGTTCACCATCATCTTTCTCACTTTCTTTTCATCTCCTATCATCCTTTTTTACTTCCTTCTCACTTCATTTTCGTTCACTATCATCTTTCTCACTTTCTTTTCATCTTCTAACACCCTTTTACTTCCTTTTCACTTCATTTTCATTCACTATCATCTTTCTCACTTATTTTTCATCTCCTATCATCCTTTTTACTTCCTTCTCACTTTACTATCATCTTTCTCACTTTCTTTTCATCTTCTAACACCCTTTTCACTTCTTTTACATATTTCCCTTTCACTTCCCTTTCATCCTTATCATCTTATTACACTTTCTTTTGTCCTTATTATCCTTTTTACACTTTTTTTCATTTCTTTTCTTTTCATCTCACGTCATTTCTTTTTGTTTCCCTTTTTCTTTTATAATTATTAACGTTATATCTTCTATTTCCTTTTTTTTGCTTATTTATTAGCATTTTTTTCATTTTATCATTGTAATTTTTCTTTTTTTTTATCACTATTTACCATTATTGTTAGTTTTTATTTCTCTAATCAATAAAATATAATCCACTAAGTGTATAATTTTATAGTTTTAATATTGTATTTAACAAATAAAATTTTACCGTAAATAAAATATTCTTTAAAAATTAACCGATCAAAAATGAATCAGCCAATTAAAATTTTATTAAGTCATGTGATAGGGTCGCCATGTGACAGGTCGTTGCTTTAGAAATAATTCATTTAATCTAAACTAACTTTTTTTACTTTAATTCTAAACCACTCAAACTAATACCACTCAAACTAATATCACTTTAAAGATAATACAACTGTTAACTTAAACTAACTCTTTTTATCCTAATATTAAACTATTCCAAACTTATATATAATTAATATAATTTAAAATTTTTGCTAATCCTTTATAAAAAATTATATAATAAATATATAATAATATGCAAATTTAATTATTTAAAAATTTTATAATTTAAATTATAAATTAATTTATTAATTTTACTATATTATATAAATTTAAATTATAAATAATATTTAAATTTTTTCATATAAATAATTAGATGTTATTTCTTCAACAGATTTCCATAAAATACGTCGAAAACCAATTACTAATATAACAAATCCTTTTAATTTATTAGGAATTTAGGATTTGATTTAGTTATTTTAATTCTTTTATCAAATATTCCTGAACTATAATAATCATTTGAATTTCCTTTTGAAATAATATTCATATATGATTTCAATTGTTTAATTCCATTATTTAATATTTCTTCTATAGTTATTTTTTTAGTTTCATTATATTCTTTTGACCAATATTCATATGATCTTTTTAATAGAATTTTTTCATCTTCTTTTTCAATAATTTTATCTAAATTTTCTAAATCATTTGTATTAAACTTCTTTTTTTGATTTTTAATTAATCCAACTAATGGAATATATTTTAATTCTAAACTAATATTATTATTTCCTATTCCTTTTAAGATAAAAATATCTGAATATCCAAATCGACCAAATCCTTTTAATTTTGTACCATCCATTACTAATGATAATTCAGGAATACGATATTTTAATGGTAAAAGATTTTCAACAATTGCTTGAAGAACAGGTTCATTTGCACTTTGCAGAAGATAATGATATTTGTGATCTTGTTGATAAAAATGTTTTTAAAAGTTCAATAAAAGGTAAAATATTATTTGCAACAAGATTTTCATATGCTGAAGCAATAAGAAGAGCATCATTTACAACTTGTCTATATACTAACTTATCTTTATTTTGTTCTAAAATTTGAATTTGTTTTGTTACAAGTTCTAAATAATAATTATAAAAAGTTAATAAATAATATAAAAATAATAAAAATAATAAAAATAATAAAAATATTATTTACCAGATGAAGAATCAGTATCATTATTTCGTGTTCTTTTTAAATTTTCTTTTTGTTTAACTTGAAAATCAATTTTTTCAGTCCAAATCTTATTAAAGGTTGATTCCAATTCTTCTCCTAAAATATGCATTTCACTTCCTATATCATTATATATATAACAATTACGAAATAAAAGACAAATATCTTTTTCAAATTCTTCAATACTTGCATATTGATTATTTTCTAATTTTAAAATTATTGTAAATAAATCCATTGAATTTTTTATATTCTCATTTGAAATTTCATAAAATGGATGAATATTAGATTTAATATCAAGTTCTTGAAGAATATCATAACAAAAGTTAATAAGTTGAGAATTTTTAGAATGATTTTCAGTGGTAGAAATAAAATGATTTTTGATAGGAATTTCAATATTTTTTTTTGAATGAGATGAATTAGAAATGGATTGGTTTTTAATAGAAATAAAAAGTAATTATCATCAGAATTTTCAACAGATACTATATTTTTTTTTTCATTGATATTCTTTTTTGAATTAGAAATGGATTGGTTTTTAATAGGAATAAAGTGATTATTATCAAAATTTTCAATATTTTTTTGTGAATAAGAAGAATCAGCAAGCACTATATTTTCTTTTTCATTATTTTCTTCAGTAAATACATAATTTTCTTTATATTCTTTAATAATTTCTTGCCAAAATATTTTTAATGTTTTTGCATACCGAAATCGTTCTGCAATTACCTATTATAGGAAACAGTTTATTAGTAGTGTGTTTAAAATTTATTTAGTGATAGAAGGTACATAGCCAATTCCTCCTCCAGAATTAGCAGACTTATATCAACTACAAAGTTAGGACACCTGAACCGAGAAACTTGGAGTGGTTACCAAGACTTGTCAAATCCAGTAAATTCCCTAAGTCAAGTTCTAATTAACTCTAGGGGTTACCCTAACTTTGCAAAATAAAAAAAAACACACCTTATTTTTTAAATCAGGAAAATCTTTTTCTTTTCTTAAAAAACGAACAGTCCAAATATTATCAAGATTTTTCCAATTGTTTAAAGTTAAAGTAGTATCAATTAATATCACGATGATTTTTTAAGAACCCCCGATATGACTTTGTTGTCCTATTATTATCTGATAAATAAGAGATAAGAGCTAAAAAAATTGAAAGAATTGGTTAATTATTGATATTATAATTTACAAGTTAAAATACAGTTCGTAAGATTACCATTTTGACCAATGAAATCTTCAGATGTGTTCATGTTTAAAATTGGTAAAAAAATATTGATAATTGAGAGTTTAAAAATTAAGGAGTTGATTGATATAGAAAAAAAGAGAAATTGATGTCTTAAATATAAAAAGAATCCTTTGTAGATAGTATGACTCAGACTGACATATTGATATATCAAAATGAAAAAAATTAACACTACAATTATAATAATTAAATCTATTATTTATCATATTAACAAGAATTTAATCATTTTGCCAAATATGGTATAATATAATTCTTGATTAAAATTATGTCATTAGAATTTAGACATATATAGCTTAAGAGATTAAAGGTAATTTCATTTTAATTTCAATTATTTTGTTTAGCAAATGACTCAACTTTCATCATTTTGACGCATTTTGACATATATGCATTTAAAAGATGAAATAATTTAAACACGTTGATATTGTGAATAATACATGTACAGTAGGTGTTACAGATAATATATATATTTTGACAAATACATACTGACTGCGAAAGTAACATATCATGCGTTTAAAAGTTAAACAATTTGAAATGAGTTGAAATATATTGTGCCAAATAATGTTACCCGAATATATATATTCAAATTAATTATAATATATTTGAATTTTATTAAAATATATATATATATATCCAAATTTTATTAATATATCCGAATTTTATTTTGTTAAAAAAAATACATATACCCGAATTGATTAAATTTATTTATTAAAGAACAAAAGCATTATATATTAAAAAATTATACGAGTTTATTTATTAAAAAAAAGCATTTATACAAATTTAGTGATTATTTAAAAACATTATACAAATTTAATTATTAAAAAAAATTAATGAGTTTACTTATTAAAATATATATTACATGAATTGATTTATTAAAAAAAATTATATACCCGAATTTATTAAATTTTTTTACTAAAAAAATATTATATGAATTTATTTATTAAAAAAAAACATTATATGAATTTATTTATTAAAATAAAAGCATTATATATTAAAAAAAATTATTTATTAAAAAACATTATACGAGTTTATTTATTTAAAAAAGCATTATATGATACAAATTTAGCAATTATTATTGCTGTTTTCTAATTACTGTAATCTAGTATTATTTAATAAAAAAAAAAAATTTTGAGAAAATATGTGAAAATAAAAATTTTATTGCATTTTCAAATAAAGGAGGTATGATTATAAGCTAAAAATTATAATTTTAAGAAAAAATTTTCAATTTTTAAATAAGTTTACTTATAAGTAATTTTTTAAACTTTGTGTAACTATAATATAATTTTAATTATTTAAATTTACAATTATAGATGATTTTATTCTTGAAAAAAAATTAAGATGGATTCCTTTTGACAAATTTAATAGTGTTGAATATCATAATGAAGGAGGATTTGGTACTATATACAAAGCTATTTGGTTAAAGAATAATGGAGATGAAGAAGTAATTCTTAAATGTCACAAGAATTTAAATGAAAATTTAAATGAATTTTTAAAAGAAGTATGATAGTATATTATTTTCTACTTTTAATTTAAATTAAACTTTATTTATATTATTAATAAATTATTATTATTTTTTATAGTGAGAATATCATACAAGTGTTTTAATGAAGTTCAAATGATATTATAAATATTTATGGATTCACGGAAGATTCAAATACATCAGAATATATGGTAGTAATGTATTATGCAAATAAAGGTAATTTAAGAGAAAATTTAACAAGAATAGTCAAAAATAATTGGAATCAAAAATTGTATATGTTGTACGAAATTATTTCTGGACTTAGTAAGATACATGGATAAAATCTGATTCATTGTGATTTTCATGATGGTAATATTTTAAATCATAATAAGGTTAAAATTTATATTAGTGATTTAGGATTATGTCAACCTGTAAAATCATTTTTGAAAAAGTATGATATTTATGGTGTAATTCCATTTATGGCTCCTGAAGTTTTACGAGGCAAATCTTATACTCCAGCTAGTGATATATATAGTTTTTCTTTGATTATGTGGAAGTTTACATCTGGAATACCACCATTTAATGATAGAGTACATGATCTTCAATTTAGTTTAAATATTTGTAAAGGTGAACGTCCTGAAATTATTGAAAATACTCCACAATGTTATGTAGATTTAATGAAAAAATGTTGGAATGAAGATTCATCAAAAAGGCCATCTTCTAAAGAAGTATTAAATATTATTGGAAAATGGATTTTCCGTCCTTACAATAATGATGTCAGTGAAGAATTAAAAAGCAACATTATGGAATTTATAAATGCACCAATTGGGCATAACAATTTTGCTACTAAATCTCATCCTAAAGCATGTTATACAAGTCGCTTACTTGATTTTACTAGTAAAAAATTGAATGAAATTCTTGAAAGTGAAAATTCACAAGCATATCATGCAAGTCATTCAGATTTGAATGATTGTATAATTAAAGATTTGAGGTCATTAGGTATGTACTATGATATATAAAAGGAATTAATTTTGCAATTAAAATTAATTTTATTTAATATTTAATTATTTAGATATTTAAACAAATGAAAATTAACTAGTTTTTATTAAGTGATATTTTATATTATGCATTCAAAAGAAATTGTTCCTTATTTTATTTTTTTTAGATTTATTTAAACACTAAGACTAGAGTGGTAAAATATTTTACAAGTTTCTTAGTTTGTAATTTAAATAAATCTTTTTTTTATAACTTTCCAATTATAAGATATAAGTTATCAAAATAATAATATAAGGCTATTATTATTTGGTGATCCTGTCACCTATGGTGCCGATGGCATGTCTGAAATGTGTGCCAGGTTGACAGCGCAGTGTGGCGCAGCGATTTTTCCAAAAAATTAAATTGCAATTTTTTTTATTTAAAATAAAACCTTTAAATTCTTGCATTAGGTGTATTTTTGTCCGCTCTGCAAATTTACTTAGAGCATATACAAGTGGTTTAGAAGGCCATTTTCAAGTTATTTAACAAAAACTGTTCTTTCAACAAATCCAATTTTGGAAATAATCAGCAATGATGATAAAATCGGTTGTTATATACTAAAGTCAAAATCTACTTCCAAAACATTCTTCCATTTATAAGTAAATTTTGTAAAACAGATGAAAATACATCTAATGTGTAAATTTGAAAGCTTTATATTAAAAAGAAAATCCTTAAATCTTTTTTAAAATTACTGCACTACACTATACTGTCAACCTGGCACACATTTCAGACGTGCATGCCAATATGGACAGATTGGTTAATACTAACTCCTGCTACTTAAATAATACTAGTTCTTGTATGTTAAAATTACTGATTTTGCCTAAAATGGCAATTTTTTTTATTACTTGAAGATGAAACAGAAGGAAGTTTCATTTGGGCATTAATATGATTAAAAAAGTACTAATGATCTTATACCAAAAGTTGTATTTACTGATTCTAATCCAGCAATAGCCCAATGCAATAAGTTTAGAATTTCCAGATACTACTCATTGTTTATGAAAATCATTGGGAGCATTTGAAATTAAAATATCCATCAGCTGGTAATTGACACCATATACAAATCACCCCTATAAAAAATAAATGTTCGGAATATGTCCAAAAATATTCAGATAATTTTTGCAAATTCTGGACATTTTTACTGTCTGGAAAATGTGTAGGAAATGTTCCAAATCTTGACTGTTTCCAACATTTAGAATATGTCCAGAATTTGTCTAGAATTCAGATATGTCAAGAATTTGCCATGAAAAATGATTAGCAGATGCTGATGATCATCACTATATTTACTTTAACTTAAATTATATTATAGATTTATAGTATTTTTGCCTTCTCTGTAATTTTAATTAATATGACAAAGAAGGTTTAGAATGTCAATTTTTTGCTTTTTACATTTTTTTATAAAATTAATTTATCCTTTTTTAGAAACCAACATTTTGAATTTGTCCAGAATTTAGTTATGTCCAGTTTAAATTGTCTAAATTTTGTTATGTCCAGAATTTGGTCAGGTTTGTCTGTCCTGAAATTATCCTGAATTATAATACTGGATATATTCTGGACAGAAACTGGATATTACAAAATTTTGAAAATTAAATTGTGTCAAATAACTGGATAATTTCTGGACATATCAAATATTTTCTGGATTATTTCCAGACATTACATAGACAATTTCTGGATATTTATTTTTTATAGGGCACGTTATATAGTTAACGATATCAGGTGATCTTCATTTTAATAGGGATATTCCTTGTAATTAGTTGTTATGCTATAAATTGTGCTATCTTGGAAAGGAAGACTAATTTGGTTAACTCTTATGCGCTAAGTATAGGGTACATTTTTTATATTATTGATATTGATATTGATATTGATATTAAATGCAAGGGTGTTTTTATTATGATGGTTTTAAGATGGACGTAACAATTATTGATTCTATAATACAGGTAATTATTATTATTCCTTTAGAGAATTATTTGTTTATTCATATTAATTAACACTTAATAGGAACAAACAAATATTGATTATAATGAAAGAATGAGAGAAAACAACTATGAAGTTGTTAAAGTGCACCTCACTGATGTCATTTCTAAAATTGGTTTAGATCAAATTTTAGAAATTTGGTGATTGGTTAAATCTTGTGGAACCAAAACTCATTATATTATTTTGTTAGTGGATGGATCACATTGTTGTACATGTAATTTTCTTATAACACATGGATATCCATGTCACCATTTTCACAAGATTTTATGATGTTCAACTCAAGCTAAATGGCATATAGTTCTTATTGCATCATGTTGCTATAAGGATGAAATAATTGATAGAAATAATAATATTTGGCAGCAATCACCTATAATTCTATGTATAAATTTAAATCAAGAACAGAATAATGATTAATACTCAGTGTATAAGTTTGATTATATTAAACAAATTCATGGTGCTGAATTCTACAATCAAAATTCAAGAGAAATTAACTGTACATGATGAAAATATGGCAAAGAATATGGTTTTAATGTGAAAAGACTTGACATCGCAATTGCCACTAATTCTTATGATGAATTTATAGGTATTTGCCATGGATTTATATCAGATAAACAAGCAATTCTAGAATCAGGTCAGAATATAGAAGAAATCAATTTTAACATCAAAAATCCTATAATTACAACAAGAAAAAGAAGGCCAGTTGAAAGAGTAAAGATATGTATTGAGATTCAAGAACAGCATACTAGAAAATGACAACATTTACAACCATTAGGTGATAATAACCAAATGTCAAATAACAATGCAAGTGGAAGTAATAATAATAAAAAAAACAAGTGAAAGACTTGTCAAAATTGTAGGGAAAAAGGGCATAAATAGGGTAACATGTCAGTTCATTAGCCAGAATGTGTAAATTATTTCAATACATGTATTGTTGATTGTACATTTGCAAATGGGATGAAATGCTATTTATTCATTAATTAGATCATGTAAATTGCTATCTATTGTATGCATTATAGATTGTATGTTAACTGTATTAATAAAATGAAAATATTTGCTTTACATTTTGATTGCATCAGATTTTTTCATATTGAAAGTACCTAAAACTATGCTGATGACATTTCAAAGGTTAATTTACATTTGTAGAATATAAACTTCCATGATTAAGATTGTAATTAGGTTACTGGAGGTTAGGATTGTTAGAATTAGTTAGGATTAGGGTTAGGTTAGGGTTAGGTTATAGACTTATGGTTAGGGTTGGGATTAAAGTTAGGGATTAAGGTTAAGGATTAGGGTTAGGGCTTAGAGACTAGTGTAGAATGAAATTTTTTTTCAAAGGTCTGAACTAACTTTATTTATTACTGTATTCTTATTCAGGTAAAAGCCATCAGACTATATCAGCAGAGTTGCATATGATCCTACATATACTAATCACATGACTAGGAAGAAATTTCCCCTGGTTAAAATTAGAAATTTTGTTACTAATAATTATTTTTAAACAAATAGTTAAACAAATAGTAAAATCTACACATAAATAAACAACTATTGTTCGCGAAAAAAATCACAAAACAGATTTATAAAACATAAAACATATTATAAAACAGATATAGAAATTATAGAAATCAATATAGAAATCAATTAAAAAATTTGGATCTTACCCATATTTACACCCCAGAGGAGATTGAATACATTAACAAATATCTTAAAACGCATATTAATTTTGAAAATGAAAGGCTACTTCCTATTCCACAATCTCCAATTGCTAATGAGGCTGTTGTACATGAAATTTCTAGACAACTTGGTAACTGGAATGTTGAAACTAGTCAAAATGGTATTGTTATCACATCTCAAGGAGGTTATGATTTTAGTGTTAGTGGCCAGAAGAAGATTTGAGCACCACATATTGCTTTCATACCTGAAAATATTTATAGTTCACTTAATAAAACCCAGCTTTTGACTTTTCTTGGCCAACCTTTTACTCCCATATTTGTTGCTGAGGTTGTGAATGTTTCAAAGGAAGCAATATTTAATGAAGTTGATATTAGATTCAAGAATGAGATGGTTAATTGATCAAAAGAATCACATGATCTGGACTTAGTATGAAAAAGATGATGATGATGAAAATATTACCCATCAAAAATGTAAATGGGAAGATTTAGACAGTGACAATATTTTACCAGATTTTACTTTGGATATAGAATTTGTTGAAAAAATTATCTTGCAGGTATGTTTTTACTTTATTTATCATGTTGAAGATTTTTATCTTAGTTTCATTTTGCATTTAGAAATATGAAGATGATGAATTATTAATTGAAGAAGTTAAAGAAAATGAAGATAAAGGAGAAAAACCAATGAAAAAGATTTAAGTTTGATATGATTAAACAATTAACAAAAAAACATTATAGATACAAATATTAAAAAAAGAATAAGAATATATTATGTTCATTACAAATATATTATGTAACACATTACTAATGAAAGCTCTGGAATACAATATTTTAATGGCAGAAGACTCTCAACAATTGCTTGAAGCATAGATTCATCTGCTATAGACAAAGACATCCTTGACCTTATTAGTAAAAATGTTTTTAAAATTTCAATAAAGGGTAAAATATTACCCATAACAAGGTTTTCATATGCTGAAGCAACAAGAAGTGCATCATTAACAACTTGTCTATACATTAAGTTATTTTTATTTTGTTCTAAAATTTGATTTTGTTTCTTCCAGGATCTATCTGTATCATCAGTATTATTATCTCTTGTTCTTTTTAAGTCATTTATTTGTTTATTTTGATAGATAAGTTTTTCATTCCATTTTTTGTCGAAGATAGATTCTAATGCTTCACCTGAATTATATATTTCACTTCCAACATCATTATATGTATAGCAATTGCAAAATATTAAACGAATATCCTTTTCAAATTTTTTTAAACTTGTGTATTTAATTTTGAATTTATAGTAAGTAGATCCATTGGATGTTCCATAATCTTATTTTTAAACATATTTATAAAATAAATTAGCATAAGTTTCATTTTCAAGTTCATGAAAAATATCATAGCAGAAGTTAATAAGTTTATTGTTCTTTATAGGTAAATCTAATTGTGTTACTTCAGAAAGAATTTTATCAGGAACTTTTAATTGTCTATTTGAAAGTGATGGTGTATTTAGTTGTGAAGATTCAGAAAGAGGAATTTTATTAATTATCATTTTTGAAAGAAGTGATGCATCTGATTGTAAAGTTTCTGTATTTGGAACTTTAACTGTCTTTTTTGGGAGAAGAGATTCATCTGGTTGTAAGGTCAAAGTAAGTTGTGAAGTTTCAGGAACTTTTGGAAGAAATGATTTTTTTGAAAGAAGTGATTCATCTGGTTGTAAGGTTTCAGCAGATATTAGGGTAAGTTGTGAAGTTTCAGAAAATTTTGGAAGAAGTGATTCATTTGACTGAGAGGTTTCAGCAGGTACCAGCAGATTCTCCTTTTCATATTTCTTAATAATTCCTTGCCAAAATGTTTGTAACTTTTTGGTATATCGCAAATGTTCTGTGCTTACCTATTATAAGAAGAAATTGTTAATAGTGCATTTAATTTTATTTAGTGATAAAAGAAGGTACATAGCCAATTCCTCCTCCAGAATTAGCAGACTTTATCAACGACAAAGTTAGGGCACCTGAGATGAGAGTTTGGGGTGGTTACCAAGGTTGTCATAACAGTAATTCTCCTAAGTGACCATGGTGAATATTAGGAGTTACCCACGCTTTGCAAAATAAAAACAAACACACCTTATCCTTTATTGTAATAAAATCATTTGGATCCAATAATCTTTTAGCTTCATCCAAAAAGTGAGTATACCAGGTAATGTCAATGCTTTGCCATTTGGTCATTGTTAATGAAGAAATAGGTGCTAGTGAAGCTAGTGAAGCAATAATAGTATCATGGTTAAGACTTAAAAATCTGCAATAAGACAAATTTCATTCACTTAAGTAAGTAACAAGTTCCTCATGTCCAATATAGTTTTCAGTTGTTGTATTCATGATTAGTAATATAAAAAAAAGTATTTAATTAAGAAAAAATTATTATTATTAAACATTTAATTATTAATTATTAATTATTAATAGCAAGATTTTTTTTAACAAGTTGAAAGAGAAATTAGGGTCTTAAATATAAAAAATGGTATTACTTGACACATTAATATAAAAACTTCTGTCAGTACAACATACTATTACAGAAGATTATAAATTGTATATATGAAATAAATTTATTATATAAGTATGACTCACATTGCATATATGATTTAAACTTATTAATCTAGAACAAAAAATAAATATCATAATGTATTTAATGTATGATGTATTTGATATACATTATATATACTAGATGATACAGTATGATGTTGTACCAAATCAATCTTGATAAGTTTTGATAGAGTATTGAGCATAAACCTTTGGCATATTTTTTGATAAAATTAATTTACATTCAGTGTTAATGCTTGAAATTCTTATTTATCACGTTATAAAACTCTCCAATTCATTTAAAATTTAAAATTTTTAAAATTTTCAAGATGTCAAAATTTAGATAATTTATTTATTGAAGGTTACTATTATCATTAAAGTAACGTTAGATAATTGTGTTGTAACCTTTATTATATTCGTTTTAATTTACATATATACATATATGACTCATATATGTATGTATATCATTATTAGTATGAAACTAGTTAGTTTGAATCTAAGACTTATCAAATTACGTGAATATAAAAAAAAAGTAAGTTCTAGAAGTGATGAGCGATTAATTATTGGTCAAAATGAGTTTCATGAATTATTAAACGGATTATATATTATGAATCTGCGATGTAATAAGAGTTATGAAAGGAAGACTTTGGCTCCGATTTTTAATATCAAACCGTTAATATTTTTTTCCTAGAGTTTACAAAAATTAACTAGTTTTTTTACAAATAAATATCTGGAAGTCTGTCGGTATGAACTTGTATAAATAGATCAAGGTTTCAATATAAAAACAGTCAAAAGAAAGCTTCTTTCTTCGGTGTTATTTGTAGATCATTATAATACAGAATTTCTCTTTTAGCATCAAATTGTATGAAATTGTAATACTTTTTGACTGACAATTCATAGGAGCCAATGGGAGAAATTTTACACAAGTATTTGGGATTTCTCTACAATAATATTCCAAAATGATGAAATGAAAATGTCTAAATATTAATTTTTTTTTTAAAGCATAACTTTTCCGTTCTTTGATTATATTCACATCAAATAAAAAAATTACCGATTACACTTTACACTTTAGAGCTCTCACAATTTTTGTTCACGTGTTTTTAATAATCGTTATAAAAAAGTACTTTTAATCTTTAAAATAAATGTTGTTCAAAAAATAGTTTATTCTTACATTCTTACTTACATTAAGCTTTTGCGTAATACTAATTCATATTTATGGTTACGAATTTAATACAGAAATGTCATATCATTATATATAGTTAAATGGATTCTATACAATTATTTAAAAAATATAATTTATAAATAGATATTATGAACTTGGACTAGAACTTGGACTCGTACTTGTTTAACTCGAGTTAACTATTAGCTGTTCGCATTTTTTCAGGCCGGAATTATGATTATTTCGGTCAGTATCCAAAAAGGTAATGACCATTCCACCAAGAATTATCTATAAAAGGAAAGACGCAATATCGAACCTGACCCTTTTATGTGCGAGTCGAGTCCTGTTGCGACTGTTGCGTCACGTTTAATAAACAACTGTTGATTTGTTTCCAGGTACACGTGATCCCGCGCACATGATCCAGATGATTATTTTCGGTAAACTATAATCTTTTTATTGATCTAATCGTTGTTAAAGTTATAAAAATATTAAACTATATATGGAAAATCAAGTTTAAATTATTTCAATGATCATAAATTTATCAAAAACAATCAATTTATTCATGTATAAAACATGCAATCTATTAGCAAAAAAAGCTATAATAATTTATATTTAAAAGTGACAAAACTCATGATTCTATTTTTTTTAAAAAAACAATAAAAATTATATTATACAGTATATAATAATAGATAAAAAAAAATGAAATGCTGGACTTTTTTTTTTTTTGACTCGGTCTTCTGAAAATTGCGTAAACTTTCGAACTCTCATTCAAAGTCCAATCAATGACGTGGAGAAAAAATTGCGAAGAATTACGGTAGTTAATTGATTGCTTTTAATAAGTGTTATCAAATTTTTTAAGTGTTTATCTTTTATTAGCTGCCTTCGGCTAGAATTAAAACTTGCCATATATGTACGTTTGTAAAATTAATAAAAAAAATTTTCAAATAATTTATTTTTCAAAAATTTAAAAACTTACAAATTATAAATCCCTAATATAATTATTAATACTTTATACTGCTGCGTCATCTGCTGATAATCCATTATTAATGCGATTTAATTTTAGCTTTTTACAAATATCGTTACATCGATGATTTGCCAAGAACAACTATTTAATTCCCTCTTTACCAAAATTTGTTCTTCCAAATCTTAAAGGATTAATACAATGTATTGATGGATCAGTCAATAAGAACTCATCATTATGTTCAATTCCTTGAAGATCACAAACCACTAAATATCCTTTGGTATATTCATATGTGAAATGGACAAAAGCTTCAAGAGTAGGTCGAAGTTCTGTAATTACACCAGTATTTGTATTAAATCGTTTATACTCTATTTTGAAGTCTTGGTTCAATAGTATAATATCGAGTACAAAAGTCAATAATTCCACAACGTAATAGTTTCACATTGAGAAAATTTACTTTGGGAATATTTTTTCGTTTTGCAATCAAATTAAATTCTGTAGAGAGAAAAGATGCGATTGTAGATATTTCTATCGCCTCAAGATACTTTTCAAAAAGATCACCTTGCTCAACATGAAGGTATTATTTCATCACCATTTTTTTTGTTGGCATATCAAGAGCAAAGTATGCATATTTTTCAACACCTGCAGAAAATGGTTGTGAGGCAATCTTGAAGGATAAACTTTTAGAAAAAAGATTCGACTTGTTAAAATAATTTGGGTCTTTAAGTTCTTCCAAAGTATTAAGAATATGATACCACATAACTACTCCTTCTTGCAATGGAAGAATATTCCAATTAGGTTCATTTGGATTCATATCAAGTTTTTTTCGTTGTAAAGTATATATGTCCTTAGAGCTGCTTCCAATAGTACTGGTCAATGAAACAGCATAAGAATATCAATTAACTTAATTGGATCTCTTCCTACAAGATCAAAACCTGGAAATTCGCCAATTATATTATGGAATATTTGAAGCATTGTGTCGGTATGACTTGTAATTCTACCAAAAAAGTAAAGAATATTTTTTGATTGCATCATTTTTAGTACACTTTCTGCGGTTAAGCCATATGGATCACCATTTGGATATTTATCCCTTATATTTGAAAAACGATGACCATGTGGTGGATAATCACCAATATGAAGAAGGACACGAGTACTACTTTTCCAATCCAACTGGGTTATTGCTGCATTTAGACCTCCAAGAACATCCTCTGGAAGATCATCCTTTATTAGCGAACTAAAAGCTGATACACTTTTCATATATTTTGTAAATTGCTCATATTGGTCAGTAAATTCTAAAAGTTTTAGACGACGAGTTTTATCATTATGATCTCGATAGCCACAAAAACCAACCCGAAGTTCAAAGTTTGGATTTGTATGTTTAATGTAATTTGTCACCTGTAAAATACAATCTCTAGCAGCAGCAATATGACGCCTCATAGATCCAGTACAGTCTAAAACAAAGAAAAGATCAAATCTCATGAGCTGGAGATTAAAATTCGGTATAGAGAGAAATTCATTATATCTCATCCGCGAAAAAAAAAACACAAAAAATTCAATGAATCGAACAACAACTTTCATTGAAAGTTTGATGTTATTGAGAGTTTTGGATATAGCCTTTTCTCGTAAAAATGTAACTTCCGTATTAGAAGTTATTGTTGTGCCAGAAGAGAGATTTTCTGTCTCATCAACATAACGTTTCAAACGTTCTTCAGTAAGATTTAATTTTTCTAGATCAGATGCAAATGACGAGGGAATAGAAGTGGTGGATATCGTATTAGAACTTTTAATATCTGCGATTATTGGTTTTTCTTCAAAAGAAAAAGTATTTGTTTCATCGGCACAGAATTTCAGACGTTCTTCAATGAGGGTTAGTTTATCGGTATCATTTGGACGTGAGAAGGAGGTAATAGAGGTGGTAGATATCGTATTGTTATTTTTAACTTTTGCATTTTTTTTGTATTTTTTTTTTCAGGCAGAACCACTTTGACATATTTTTGAATGTTAATAAAAATAATAAAATTATTTTTTTAAAAAAAAAATACCCTAAACGAAAAAACGAGATTAATATGTTTTCACTTTGTAAATAATATTCAAAATTAGTTGATATGAATTTCCGAATTAATACATATAAAAATTGTAAAAATTGATGAAAGTCTTAAATGATTTTCCAGATAAAGATGATTGGCGCATTGTACATTGTTTGGCAATTGCTTAAAATTACAAATGATTCAATGATAATTGTCAAATGACGTCTCAAAAAGAGTCTAGACTCTAGACTACGTTTAATTAAATCATATCAATAAATGACAAATGGTTAGGCGAACCCTTTAAACGGTTAAATGATCAGTGTCATCTGTCTTACCATATCAAAAGATTGCGAGATTTAACTCAATGAACATGTTTTTTAAGTGACATTGTTTTACAGGCGACTTATTTTGACGTTATGTAAATGAAAGTTATAAAGAAAATACAATTATTTAGGAGTTCATATATAAAATATTTTAAATGAATATATCACATTTCAATTATGTCACATTGTATCAAAACTTCAAAGTAAAAAATATTTTATCACATCGTAAATTCCTAGCACTGTGTAATATTAATAATTTCAGATATTAGCTTTATCAGAAGATTTATTTCTGTAGTCGGATCTTGTCTCTTAATGTTTTCCCTTAAACTAAAATCTGAAACTTTATTCGTGTGATACATATCAGGGTATCCGATCAATCAAAATCTCGACAGTCACTTTGCATGACTAACACAAGATCGACAACAAAATCTCGATCTCGGCAATCCAAAATCCCGACAAGTCATTATATCGACAATTTTGTGATGATAAAATAATTTGTTGCAATATGTAATATTTAGTTTAAATGTGTTATAATTTTGTCGGAATTTTGACTTGTCAGGATTTTGACTTGTCAAGATATTGGATTGTCGAGATTTTGTTGTCGGTCTTGTGTCAGTCGCTCAAATGATTTTCGAGATTTCGTACCAAAACCGCTTCTGCATGGAACTTTATTATTTCCGGCCAATAAAATTAATTTGACCAGAATTACGTTTATTTAAATATGTAATGTGTAATGTAATGATTTAATATTTTGTCGAGTAAAAAATTAACTAATTTTACTTTAAAAAAAAATTGTTTTGTACTACGATATTTCAATAATTTCACGCTAAAAACAACATTTTGAAATTTTTATTTGGTTAATTAAATTTATCACTTTCGAACTTGACAAAATATATTCATCACGTAAATAACTCATATCATGTAATAATTATCATATAAATTTATTTAAAAACAAAATTTTATTATGTAATAACGATAATAATAATAAGCAAAAAGAAGAAAATAAAATGACATATGCTGTACGTAATTATAAGTTAATATTTAGGACGTACTAAAACTTTCATTTCAGTGCATTCATAAACAGCCGTAAATTGGGTTTTCGGTTTTTTTGATACATTATCAACCAATTCGACATCATACTTTCTAAATAACAAAATCAACAAGGTTTTCAATTCTACCATGGCCATATGTCTTCCTGGGCAAATTCTTGTACCACCTCCGAAAGGAATAAAGGCATTCTTAGTAATTTCATTATTAGTTTCTTTCAAAAATCTTTCCGGAATGAAATCATCAGGGTTTTCCCAAAATTCAGGTAATTTATGAATTAATTCATGAAGAATCAAGAACTTTGTATTTGCTTCCAAATGTTTTCCTCCAATAATACTCTCTTGTGTTGAAATACGTGGTGTAAGTGGTGTAAGTGTTAAGACTCGTGTAGATTCTTTTATAATTGCGTCAAGATATGTAAATTTTTCTAAATCTTCGTAGGTTATTTGTCGTGATATATCTTCACCTAGTATTTCACTGATTTCTTCTCGAAAACGTGCAATAACTTTAGGATGCTTAACCAATAGCCAGACTGTGAAGCAGAATGTATTTCCGGTCTAATATAGCAATAAATTATTTTATTTAAATAAACTATTCAATTGAAAGAAATTATATTTTTTAATAATTTAAAATATAAACGTACCGTATCTGTACCTGCTATACTGACTTCCGTAATGGTGGAACAAACTTCTTGGTCAGTTAATGGAGGTTCACTTTCATCATACCCGTTAGGATCACGTGGAGTATTTAACGTCAATAAGATATCCAATAAGTTTGAACCAATTTTTTCATCACTTTGCATATTATCAATCTCCTTTCTTCTTTTACTGATAACATCAAGCATAGTTTCAGTTAACCAATCACTATTCTTTTTGTATTTTTTGTTCAAATGATAAAATCCTGGAAAATAATTTTTTAATACTTCAGGAATGAACATTTGAAATAATACGTTTGTTAAAAAAGTTTGAACGGCTTTAGTAAAATAAACGGTTCTTTTGATTTCTTCAGATCTAATCGGATCGTCATGATTTTCGCCGAACAAGTACGTATTAAGACAATAAGAAGGCTTGCAAGTAACAGTTTGTAAGGTAATGTCTGTTGTGAAACATTTTATCCATTTAGCAAAATCAATTTGATATTTCTTTTTATCCCAATAACTTTCATTCTCATTAAATAATGATTGTGTAAGGTGGGTGAAGTTTTTAAGAAATCTGGGAGACATTAATGATTGTACAACAAATTTTCTATTTCGTTTCCATGTTAAGGGGTCATCATTAAATACTAACCCATTTCCATTAAAATGTTTGATTTCACTTCTTGGGAAAAATTTAGTTTTTGTGTTTGGAACATAAATTTGATCGATTAACGAGGGATGAGAAAGAATAACGAATCTATTATTTCCAACCCAAATTTCGTACATGTCACCATATTTTTTATGATGTTCCTTTGCATATTGTGCTGGGTTTAATCTGATTTGATGTAAATTACCAATTAATGGAAGTGGAAACGGACCGGGAAGTGGTGATTGACGTGTAAAATATTTGTAATAATATTTTAATACATATAAGATAATAAGTACTTTGATAATTGCTATCAAATCTACCGTTGACACTATTGACGTGAATGACATTGTTTTATGAAATTATTATTTTTTTTTTTATTATCTTCAAATTATTAATCCTTATTTACGATTATTTATATTATTTATATACTTTGTTTACGATTATTTATATTATTTATATACTTTGTTTGTTTTTTAAAAAAAAAATGTTCACAGAAAGAATAAAAATTATCCCCTTTTGGAAGTCGGGAAAATGATAATCCTCGGCTCGGGAACGAATAACCGTTTTTGATTTGCAAACCGCATGTGATTTTTTTTTTTTTGCTAGTACAATAATAGCTTCCTCATTTTAGATTTTCGTTATACATAGTTATACATGCAAGTTTATTCAAATAAACCACTTAAAATCACATGAAAATATAAACTTTAAATTCTTTTATTCGATTTCAATGAATTAATTATAGAGTTCGTATCCGTCCATCCGGATATCCAATTTTTGCATTTATCCGTTAATTCGGATATCCAGATAATTCATCCGGATATTACCCGGATATCTTAAATTATCCATATCTTACAGGTATAATTCAGGCCAATTTATAATTCCGACCAGAATTATGACTTGGTAAGTCGATCATTTTCTTTTTTGGAGATAGCAGTTCCACAAAAATAGAGTTAATCGTTTTGAGTTTATCCGTTCAATACAAATAGACGAATAATTTATCTGGGTTATCCGGATATTATCCGGATATCTGCATTTATCCGACGGATCAGGAATTAGTTTTAACAGTTTGAAATTGCATATGTTTTTTGTAACGCATTTCTTTATTAAATATAGGATAGACACCCAATAATTAAAGAAATACTTAGGGGCATACGCATACGTGCCACCACGATTTGGCATTGCATATGTTTTTTTTAATTGATAATAAAAACATTTATATGTAAGTATATATTGTACATGACTTATTATTCTACATAATTTTTATTTTTAGTTATACTATCGCGTATAAGAATTATATTTTACGTACTTCTGTTCGTCAAGGAATTAATTTTAATCCACATATTAATTTACTAATTTAGAATATGATTGTAATAATATTTTCTCCGCATTCTCTTTCTATTTTTTCTTTTAATTAAAACTATCTTTCTATTTCTTCTCCTTTAATTCAGATTAGTACTTTACTTTCTAACTTTAATTCTTTAGAATTTTATACAGATGGTTCATTACAAAAAAATAGATGATTTATCCAAGATGGGTTTTGGATGGATTTTTACATCTAACATCGATCTCGATATTAAATAATGGATCACCCCTGTACTAGCAATAATGTCTTATTTTGGTAGGCGATCAAATATGTATTAGAACAACTACATCTTCAAGTCTCACTACATAAAGTCAAAGCACATTCTAACGACCCTTACAACGACCTCGCTGACCAATTGGCCAAAGAAGGATGTAACAATGAAAATCCTATATCGATCTCCCCTATTGGCATTCCCGCACAACACAGTCATATCTCTTTCAACGACGAATTTATTATCGATCGAGATATATATAAAGACACTCAAGAAAATAATTAATTTTCGAACTTTAGAAAATCATATTTCACACAAATCCCTCAATATACACTCTTACCCATATCATTGATTGGGATTTCACACAACATTGGATCAAATACAACCCTTTCAATCGTCCTACAAGTATCGATTACAGCAAACTCGTCAGTTGGCGTGTCAAGACATCTACATACAACTTACCTACATTGGACATATTGAGCCGAAATTATCTGGACATCCTAAACGGCTTTAATACTTTTTTTTTTGTCAGGATACACCTGAATCAAACGAACATTTATGGACTTGCTCCTATGTCATCAATATACTGATACCTATTTTCCAAAAACACTAATCAACACACACGCAAAAAAAATTGCAGCGAAGTTTCAAGACTCGATTAGATTCTGTCGGGTCTCTTCTTGGTTTAATACCCCTCCTACCTCTATTAATGAAGCACCTGAGTTACACTGTCTTTTATCAATTTAATCCCATTAGAAAATCTTCGTTCCTTTCAAAGCTGCGAGTATTTCTAAACCCTCATAAAAAATTATTATTCAATTTTTTATTTGGCCTTCATCATGACATTTATTCTGCCCTATGACAATTCCGATCTACCCATTGGAAAGAATGGAACCGTTCACACTCTATCACCAAAAAAAGATTCTCGTCCTACCGAAAACGAAAAAGAAACGACAAAAGTCCCAAACCTTCGGCTAATAACAGACGAACAAACATAGACGACCTTCATGGTTACATCGATCCATACAATGACACTAGACGTGCCTTACCATTTTATGGATTTATCTTACAAGTTCAAATTTCCTTCATAACCTATATTGGATATCATCTTTATATATAGACTTCACAAATGTAACTCTCACGCGCGACGCGTCCCATCTACCCTAATGATCTCAATTTATTTTATTTAACATATAACCCCTTCGGTCATTTTTTTTACTAATAGATTTTTTTTTAGATAGTTCTGTTCTTTTTTAGTGCGTTAACTTGATTAAATAGTGTAGTTCTATTTTTTCGAGTAGTTCTTATCGAAGGGTGAGGTCCTGCGCCGCGGGATGTTTATCAATGATCTAGCATTTAGATAGTTCTCTGTTTTTTTCAAACGACTATTCATGTAATAGACCCTGATTACCACTCTTTAAAATAAAATAAATAACATGCTTGTTAATATAGAATTTGTTTCGTCATGTTTCGATTTATGTTTGTAAAAATGTTCTTTTTCTACATGAACGTCGAAAGTCTTTAATTTAATAGTTTATCGGGTTTATTATTTTCAAAATGTATGTATTTTCAGTTTGACAAACTTTATAGCTTCTTAGACAATATGATATGATTAAATCGACATCTAGAGGATACTGACAAAAACTTGTTGGTTTTATACACAATGCTACAATTGTCACATAACATTATTATGATATTATTGATATTTTAGTTGATAGAAAAGCTTTTAAGCAACTTTTTTACTGAATTTTGTAAAAACTGACTTATAAATTAAGAGCATCCTTAACTTACGCATCATGTGTACGATATTAACTTATGCACTGGGAGTTATGTTTAACGCTATCACGTGCAAGTGAAACTCTACGTACGCACGGTGTGTACGTTAAGGAACCTCGTAAATTTTCCAACGGTATAAAAATGAAAAATCATATATTCTATTTAAGTAGTATGTATTTTTAAAAATTCTTTATTTATACAAATAAATGAAAACAATAACTTTATAAACCAATAATTCTGATATATATATTTAATAAAAAATGAAGATTAGCTTTTTTAAAGGATTCTTTCAAAAGTTTCTTCAGTTCCAATATAACCATAATCGCGTTCGTTACCGTAATTTCTTAAAATATCTTTAATATTTTTATTGACGTGTCCATCCCCCTTTAATTTATTAAGATGATATTGCGCAGCATGGCTATAATATCCACGATTCTGTCTGGCAGCTTTCGAATAAAATTCAACAGCTTTCACATAATCTTCTGTTTTTTCGTAAAATTCACCAAGATATGTTTGCCCCATATCCAATGTTTCTGCCGCTTTTTCCAACAGTTTAAGCCCTCTACTTTCATCTATTTTATTATTAATTAAAATTCTTCCCAATTTTGCTTTTGCATACAAATTATCGTCTTCAAATGAAACAGCCTTTTCAAACAATTCTTCTGCTTTCTTTTTATTTTCTTCAATTTTATCATTTATACTTTTATTAAAATTACTTTCATAAAGCAATCCAAGTTGATATGCAGATTGACTATCTTTTAATTCAAGAGATTTTTCATACCATTTTTCTGCTTTTTGTAAATATAATGGTTTTTTATTTCTAAATCCAAAATTTTTTACTTTTTCATAAAGTTTTGGATCAATTTCCTCGCTATGAAATAATGTAGCAATATTTCTCATTGCTATTCTAGCCATTCTTTTGTCATCCGTATTTCTTGCTACTTTTTTAAATAATTTTTTTGCTTTGTTTGGTTGATAATCTGATTCTAATTTACTTTTTTTATTTTTAGTAAAACCAACAGAATATATATATCCTAAACATAATTTTGCTTCAATAGATCCTAACTTGGCGGCCTTTAGACACAAATCTTTAGCTTCTATATAACATTTATTTGTTTCATAGTAATTTCCATTATTTCTTTCATTACCTTTCATATAAATTCCAGCTAAAGCCAATTTATGATTTGTATCATCTTCCCTTTCAGCTTCACTTTTCAACATCTCCAAAGTATCTTCACTAATTTCATTAGTATTTATAGCTTTCTTAATAAATACTTCGTAATTTCCTAATCCCTTTACAGGTATTCCATCTAATAAATGTTCGACATATTGCATCCATCTAGGAAATTCATTAAACTTTGTTCCGGTCCATTCTTCATAATTAGACTTTTTTTTAGTCAATCCTAATAAGTTTCCCTTACTATCTTTAATAACTTTTTTTCCTTTACCAGTAATAACAAAAAGTGATGTATTTTTTATATATGGAGATTCTTTAATTTTTGTTGAAACCCAATGTTTCCCTTCTTTTAAATCCGTTTTACGATTTATTACTTTATGTAAATCAATTCTAGCAGTTGAAATAGAAATTGTTGGAATTGATAAATTTGATAATTTTGAATTATCAATTAAACACTCATAATATCCTAAAAAATTTTTTACTCTTTTTCTTTGTTCTTCATTAGGTTTAAAAGTATCATCCTGTTCAATTTCAGATAATTGACTTAAAATACTTGAAGCTCTAGATTCAGTAAATAAACTTTCTGTTCTAATAGAATGAGTGCGTGGATTTGAAATACTAGCAGATACAGTATCAGAACCAGAAGTTTCATCGTTTTGAAGTTCTGTAGACATTTTTATAATTTTAAACTGAATTTGGAAGAAAAAAAATAAATAAATAAATAAATAAAAATGAAATGAAATAAGGTTTAATATTGTTCTGAATACCTTGTCAAACAATCCTAACTCTATTTAGATTTATCCGTATAATCGGACGATTTTACATCTATGCCCATATTTATCAAACGCTTGCTTGTTTAAGGTTACACAAATGAAATTAAAATTTTTTTTTTTTTTTAGTAAAAATTTATTTTGAATTTTTTATTTTTTCTATTCAACAATACTGAAAGGTAATAATGATCATCTGTTAAATAAAAGAATGAAAATGAAGTTCTTAAGTTATAAGAGAAGTAGCGCAAAGTTCAACACAAGTAAAAAATTAGTTCACGTTACAGTCGGAACATCGTTACGCGATTCATGATGATCAAAAGGTAACATCACATCAAATAAGGGAGAGTTGTATTACCAGACAAACCTGTAGTCCGTCACAGGGTTATGTACACGTGATAATTGTTATGCAATTTATAAACAAGGTATCACTAAAGACCAGAGGGGAAAACATGCACAACCATTTCTGCGCGTGCACTATGCATCAAGAAACATTAATAACTATGACTAAGCGATCGGGAGTACCAAGAGGTTACATTTACAAGATAGAAAAACAGGATTTAATGGATAGATAATTAATTATATTAGAATAAGTATCAGCAGAAAATAAGAGACTAGTTATTTTCAGATAAAATGCAAGATACTATTCTTAAACTGCGAGGTTCTTCGCTGATGGTTTTACCTTCTGCTACCCACATAGAATATACAGATCGTGCATCAAATAGGTAGTGTTAATAGATTAATTTATTAATATATCCTAGCTGGACAGTTTATAATTGCCAATCCGTTTAAAATTAGCGCTATCGCGAAATTTGATGATAATGTAAACCCCTTATTTACTATAACAAATGTACAGCTTTTTTTGCTTATTCTATTTTCTTATGATCTCCTGCATGTGTTATGAATTTATAACATAATTTTAGTGCAAAATAATGACTTGATCCGATTTTTTTAGAGGAAAATCGGATCAAATTCGGATTCCTTTTAATGTATCCGCCAAATCTAATAATCCGGATTGAAAATTTACGGATAATCCATAAGTTCTGGATGGCTGGAACAATCCGATCAACTCAATTTTTTTTTGATATTCCAGTCATTCAACAATGACAAAATAGTAAATTTACGTTTATTATTTTTTTCTTTGACTTTATAGTCGTATTTTCAAATTTACATTATATAATCTCATCCTTCCAATATTCCTTATATATTCCTCTTTAGAATTCTTGAATTTGAACATGTTGTCTACGATTAGTATGACTCAATTGTCACTTTATCATCATAAACGTATAATAACTAGGAGGATAAAGTTATCCCGCTAATGTCAAATTATCAAAGTATGCTGCAAGTGATAGAGTTTCTTCAATTTTAATTTATTTTTTTATTACCTTTGGAAAATAATAGCATATTTACTTATTCACGTGTCTTTATGTTATTTGCTTTCTTAGAAATATTTTAATCTTTCATTCTTTGCATTATCATTAGTAAATACCAAATATGTAATATGAATGAAAAACCTCATTCACTTATTTTGTAGTTAGCAGCAGACTAAGATAATCTATTCTAATTTCATAATTATCATTATGTAAATATGATATATTACGTTTGATAATAAAATATACAATAACTAATAATTTTTGTTAATTTACTTAAGAAATTATTATTTTTAATATTTTAGAAATAGCTTCTTTTCTTATTAATATAGCGATATCTTTTATAATCATAGATAGTAGATCATCAATAATGCGATAATTATTCTAAAGGGCAAACTGCTGCTAACAGAATTAAAGAAATGATCATAGTATTTTCGAGCATAAAATTTATGACATTATTAAATGAAGCTATCATATTTTGAATACGTATTTGTATTACTAATAAAGATTTATCATAAGAGTTTAAATACTATATTACTATTTTGGAAACACTAATGCTAATGAAAATAAATAAAACAAATAAAATGTAATGTTATTAGAAAGAATGACGTTAAAATGAACGGAAATTTTAATTTGCTAGTTTCTGTTATTAAGTATAATTATTTTTATTCACATGCAGAAGTCAAATTTCTTCATAAAGAATGATTGATTTAATGATTACTATATTATAACTGACTTCTCCTTTATATTTCGGTATTTCCTTTACCTAATTATTGTTATATACCAGCTGTAGCCTGTTGTGATGTAACAGGATTAAATGAGTTTAATCAATGTAACAACAAAACTTTAGTTTATATTTAGATTAATTAGATCTTATATAATATTAGATTTTTTAAGTAAAAAAGATATACTTAATCTAACTAAAAAAATCATACAAAGAATATATTTATTCAACAAAAAAAAATATTTATTTTGATTATATCATCAATCCAAACCTAAGAGGCGTGAAAGAATGAAAAAATAAAAAAATAAAAAAAATTAGTAAAATAAGAAAAAAATTATTAAAAATAAGTCATGCTTACCGTGCATATCTATAGTACCTATACTATACACATATAAATTGATGAAATAAAATATAAAAAAATACAGTATTAGTATAGATTATTATAAAGAGAAAAAAGACAGGATAAAAAATATTAAAAATTCAGTTTTAAAAAAAAAATTGGAAAGAAAAATTATTAAAATCTCGGTTATAAAAAATTGAAAAAAAAAATTATTAAAAAAGTTCGTGTCTAACAAAAAGAGACAAAAAAAATATTAAAAACAAAGATCCGGCCCAAAAAAAGACCAAAAAAATATTGTTATTAGAAAAAAAAAGATCTAATCTTAAAAGAAAAAAAGATCCAGTTTAAAAAAAGACTGAAAAAAAAAATATTAAAAAAAAATGTTCCAAAAAAGAACGAAAAAAAGATTTAAAATCAGATATCAATGTATCATTTAGAAACTAGGGATAGATTAGGTGAAATTGGTCCTCAATTGAGTTATCAGATCTATGGACGTATCATAATTTAGTAGTATTTAAAAGCTCGAGATATACAGATGATTAGATACTTTATTGATATGATGTTTTTGCGTCCATGTTATAATCATTTATAATGTATAAATTTTATAATACTAATGTTGTGCCCCAAATCTCAATATGCCCCAAATTGACGATAATCATCGATGATTACTATATGTGAAAAGTAATGCTTTTGAAAATTCTTAAGGCATTATAAAGATGGGCCGATAATTTAGGCCGATCGTTGATTTGGGGCAATCGACAACTTGGGGCACAACACTAATAAAGGAAAAAAAAAAGAATTAATGCTGATACGATCAGCCGCAGCAGGTCAATCATTGGATAACCTATTCATCTATCTATTGTATCTTTAACAAACTTCCCTTTAACTTTCTCACTGACTCCATCTCTTAGAATATGATTTTATTCTTCCATTTCATGTGTTTAGTAATTCCCTGATTCAGTTCCCATTTGTTCATTTCCTCACATCTCGGTAGCCAAATATATTGCCTTGCTAATTCCTTAATATCCATGACAAATTCCTTTATCGCGTTTTTAAATTTACTATCCGTTCTACCATTAAATAGACGTTTATTAACAACGCCTTTTATAGCTTCATGAAAAGTCCGTCCATTAAATATCGTAAATATCACTAATGATCTCTCGTTCAAAAATAAAAAATAGATTTGCGTGTAATTTGTGATCGACTATGATGTTATCTTCACTGCAAATATGTACCCAGTTCTCAATTATCCCGCTTCTCTTGTAGATTTTTAGGTTTCGTTTATTCGATAAGTTCATAACCGGTAATATTTCTAAATAATTTTTTAAATTGAACGCTACTTTATCGTTATTATTCCATGAAAATATCATCTCTAAATTCTTTCATTATAATATCTAACGATAATTTCCAATCAATTTCAGTATATAACATATTCATTCTCATGGAGCGTCATATATCAAGTGATAACCATTCTGCTTTATACTTATATTGATTTAGATTTTTTACAAATTCTCGAGGACTTTCTTCAATCATAATTTCTCTCCAATATGGTAATAAATATTCCACGTTATTTAATTTCATCCATCCTATACTATTTTTACTATTTTTTTACTCGCAAGTCGCATCCGTATATAAATATATTACATCTGCACTATATGATGTTAATCCTTTCTAATTCCTTTCCCTTTGTATAACTTTTTAATTAAACTAAATCTATTATCAATTTCAATCAAATGTTGTAAGCCTTAATTTGTTATTTTCCCTCAGATTGGCCAACAAATTTTCTACTCATGTGACCTAAAAATATTCATCACCGGCATCCCACCCTACCACGTTTTCACTGTTTATATTTATCTGAGTGGCGTTTTTTTTTGCCAAAATTATTTTTTTCACGTCCCCTTAAATGTCACCGGTTGCGTGGTTGCGTGAGATAGTGTTACAACGGTAAATATAGAACGTACACATGACCCGACAGCAAACCGTAATACAGGTTAATCTAAACATTACCGGTTGTACAGGAATTTCTTTAGTTATATAGACTATATTTATTTATTGAGTCGTGAGAACAATATATTAAATCAATCATAAAGAATATCATTGTCAGAAAAACTTGCATTAAAAATGAGCATAATTGGGATCATAGTTAGTAAATTTTGTTTTATTAAATATATTATCCAGTTGCTTCAAGTCTATGTACAGTAGTAATTTGTACGATATAATGGTAATAACAAACGACAGTAAAATAGTAATTTTGGTACTAGATTTATATCAATAAAGCACTTTTTTTGTGAAATTTATATTACAGAGTATTTTATTTAATTTTTGTATTCTAAAAAAGAAATTTTTTAATAGAATTTATTCGTGACTTTGTGATCATCAGCTGATTTATCGAATGCCAAAATTAAAATAAGATTTGTCGATCGCTGCCGTGCAACTGCAATACGTTTTATAAATTCTGTGGTTTCTTTTTTTAATAAAAAAATTCTTTTACTCTGTTTAAACATAAAGTTGACATGGAAGAATTTAAGCTTAGTGATGATGTACTTGAGCAAATAAAAGATTTTAATTACAATTATTACTCTTTAACAGACGAACAAAGATCATTAATTGATAAGCTAATATTAAATGAAGAACTAAAAGAACGTTATAAAGAGAATGGTTTATGCCAAGATTGTAAGCAACCTAATACTGGTGAAACTTGGTGTAAGTCATGTAATTCTAAGCATTTTCAACAAAATTTCAAAAATTGGACTAGTGGAAATGATGAAGTTGATAAGTTTATTCAAAAAATGCAACTTAAAGCTAAAGATTATAGAGAAACCTTAGAGTGGATTGAATATGATAGATTTGAAAATGTTGAATATTTGGCTAAAGGAGGATTCGGAACTATTTATAAAGCAATTTGGAGAGATGGGTATATAAGGGAATGGGATTCTGAAAATAATCAATGGAAGAGAGTTAAATTTTGGGATAAGGATTATGAAAATTTTCCAGTTGTTTTAAAATGTTTACATAATTCTCAGGATATTACAGACTTTTTAAGAGAAGTAAGTTACTTGCTTACATATATTTATTAGGATATTGTCCTTAATGACCTTTTATAAATACTAAACTGACTATTATTTATTATTCATGATTCATGAATGCATTTTTAGATGGAATCACATACTATTACGAGTTATGATGATTATATAGCTCGGTGTTATGGCATTACTAAAGATCCAATATCTAATGATTTTATGATGGTAATGTTCTATGCAGAAAATGGCAGTTTAAGACAGCTTCTAAATGATAGTTTTAATTCAATGAAATGGGAAAAAAAGGTGGATACCTTACAAAGGATTGCAAGAGGCCTTAAAAACATTCATGAACAAGGATTAGTTCATTGTGATTTTCATTGTGGTAATATATTAAATAATGTAAGAAATTCAACTTATATCACTGATTTAGGATTATGTCGACCAGCAAATGTAAAACCTTCTCAAAATGAATGTGAAAAACAAGTATATGGAGTATTGCCTTATGTTGCGCCTGAGGTTTTAAGAGGAAAAGAATATACTCAAAAAAGTGATGTTTATGGATTCGGAATTATTGCATATGAAGTCTGTACAGGGCTTCCTCCTTATCATGATATTCCTCATGATAAAGTCTTTTTTTTTTTTTTTTTTTTTTTTTTTAGGCCAAAATCAAATTATAAAATCCCTCAATATAACGCATCATTTTACATAATAATTATAAAATTAATACATTGAAATTCAATATTATATAATAAAGAATCACTTCATAACAAAGCCAAGGGTTATCTAACCAAGGCGCTGATAAGCGTAATCAAAAGTTAGTAAATCTATATACTATCTCGTTATCTATTAATAAACTAGACTACATATTATTATGTATTAACCAAATTACTAATTATACTATTACCTATCCTATGTCTATTTGAACTACCTAAACTAAATACGTCATTTTTAACTTTGTTTTCTAAATCTATTTTTTTCATATTTTTTATTTTCTTTTTGTTTTTTGATTTTTCTAATTTTGTTGTATCAGTTTCCTTATCCTCCGAGCATCCCTTTTTTTTCTTTTTAGATCTTTGAATATACCCATTTGTTTTTCTAATTCTGTCGTCTCATTACATCTTTCCTTCCATATATGTTCTTGTATTTTTGTCAAATATAGATCGAATATATTTCTCAAAATTATTTTGAAAGAATTGTTTTTACATACGTGCATCCATTTTTCATTAATAATTCCTCTTGTAATTTCTCTAATCATATTATTCAAAATCATAATATTTGATCGACCAGTCGATATGTCCACTAGATTTTCTTTAAATTCTTTTATTTCATTCGCGTCTTCATCTATCATTACATTATCACATATCTCTTCAATACTATCATTAAATAACTTACTTTCGGTATAACTACCATTATTTCCGCAAGACCATATGTGTTCCCACGTCTCTATCTCTACTATGCATCTAGGACATTTCGTGTTTTGAATACCCCAAACTTTCCTTTCGTATAATATCTCATAAGTGGGTAAAATCTTTAAGAAATTTTTAACTCTAAATGATCTTATAGATGCATCTAACCTACTCATGACATTTCTGCTTGTTGTGATTTCATTATTAATTAATCTGAACGTTTCTTTCCAATCAATCATTACGTTGGCTCCGTTACATTCCACAAAACAATCTTTCACATAATCCATTAATATTAGATCAATTCTATTTATATTATTACTAATTTCTTTGAAACATTTTCGATATGCACCTTCTATCAAGTTATAATTCCATCTTAATGCATATTCATCCACCGCTATATTTGAATATTTTAACACTACTTCTTTAATTGAATTTTTACATCTGATCAATTCTTGCTTTAACGCTGGCAATTTTACACTCTTCATTACCATCATATCATTTGCTTTCTTTTCGTTAATTAATAACCTAATATTTTTTAATTCTAAGACTATATTAATACAATTTAAGAATATATAACACGGGTCATCTAGTTCTCTTCTGTTACTACCTATATTACTATAATCTATGAGCCATTTTAATATTTTATCATCCGTTCTTAAATCTACTATCACATTATCTGGTATAATCATCAACGCTGTTATAATTCCAATGGCGTAAATTTTCCTTTCGTTTCTTGTATTACGAACTTTTCCTTCTATGCTAAACTTTTCTTCCATGCTATTTTTTGCAAAAATTTCTATCCCAAAAAATCCGTCTAAATTCAGGTCTGGACCTTTTTGTATTATAGCTCCTATCTGTAAGAAAATTTCTTTATTTGTAAAATCAAAGAAATCCCTATCTATGAAATTGTTTAAATTTTCATAAATTCCCGTTTCTTCTATAACATTGTTTAACCATAACTTAGCGTTTGCTCGTAATTCATTTTTGTCTTTGTCAATGACCATATTGTTAATTATTAAGTTCTCTTTGTTGATATTTGACGTTCTTTGTACGCTAACATTTCTTTTATCAATATTTTCGAGCGTCATATAAGGTTTTATATATTTAACATCTTCGTTATCTTTTTCCCATCTTCCTGATATCGTCGTAGCTAGATCTTTTTCTATATAGATGTAACATTCGGAACTCCGATCTTTTTTCCTTCTGATGTTATAATCACATCCTTTACAATTAATCAAAAATGGAGAGTTACTTACATCATTATTCTCTTGTAATTTATCATATTCTATCATATGTTTACCTATTTCATCGTAATAATGATGACGTGATTTTTTAGACCTTATACTATAAATATTGTTGTTCGACATCGAATCTCTCCATGTAATCACTTCTTTGTTTGTTTCTTTTCTACTTTTATCAGACATGTCTTCGCTACTTCTAATTTTCTTAGTATCATCTATTCTTTTTCTTTTGATTAACATTTCATTACATAATTCTCTCTCCAATATACCATTGATCGTTATACGATCTCTTAATATTTTAAACCATTTTGGTTCTATTCTCAAGGCTAAACCCTTTTCTTTTAAAAAATGTGTCTATTTCATCATTTTGTCTGTATATGGCTCAATTAATTGTTCAACGAACATAACACCACATTTTTTGATTCTATTTTATAAAATTTAAATTCTTCATCTAAAACATCTTCTATCAAAATGTAACCTCCTTTAATTCTGTGGTTTCTGAACAAATCATTATAATTTTCATGATCACATAAATGAAAATTCTTGGAATCTAATATTATTAAAGCGTCCCCTACAAATCTTTTTGTTGAGAATTTTACTTGAGAAACTTTTTCTGCAAAACATAATGGCGTCCATACTTCTTGTTGCAACTGCTCCATTTGTATTTTAAATATTGCTCTAACTATTTCATTACCATTTGCCATATACATTATGTTTTTACTTAGACTTTCAAGCTGAAGACTATATAAATCTTTAACTCCATAAATATCTTTATCATAGATTATGCAGTTAGGCAACGAACTTGGCATCTTACATTTATGTTTTATCAAAGTGTTAACTGGCGCCATTAAATGTTTCGCTTCACTCTCTGTGATTACTACTCCCTGTAATTGGTATTCTAGTGCCAGTATCATATTGATATTCCAAAGTTTACATACTTGTTTGTCTGTTATTATTTTCCTATTCATTATTTTGACGAAACCTTCTATCATATCTTTCATTTTTTTAATATGAACTGCTCTGTTATTATTGTGCGTAAAGAAGATTCCCAAAAATCTATTACCATCTTTTGAATTGATCCTTTCTATTTTTTGTCCCTCTATTATCATATCTCTTTTCTCTGTATTGTTTATTCTAATGATTTCGTATTTTTTAGGATTTGCTTTTATGTCATTTAATCTATAAAAGCTATGACATATCTCTAACATATTCATCATTTGATCATGTGATCTACTTATTAATGTCGTGTCATCCATAAACGCTATCGCATTGATAGAAATATTATGATGTGTCACCTCATCTAATGTAATATTTTCTTTGAACTCCGACTTGATTTCATAACCTGCTTGTTTTCTCATATCATCTAATTTACATAGTAACGGGTCATAAAAAATTCTCCATAGTATCGGAGACCACACCTCGCCCTGAACGATTCCATTTTCTACTTTATATTTCTCAGTTAAATCATTATTGACTATTACTCTATTGAATCTATTATGAGATATGTCTAAAACCAAATTTATCCATTGTTCTGGTAACTTTATGCGCTCCATTCCTTTTTTCAGACTCTTCGAGCTAACGGAATCATATGCTTTACTTATATCCATTAGCACTATCCACGCTTCTTTTTTGTTGATATTTGCATCCTCAATTATTGCTTGTAAAATTTTAATAGGCTCAAATGTGCTTTCATATTTTAGTACCGCAAAGTTTTTTCCTCTTAAAATATTATATTTTGTTAAAATATCGTTCAAACGATTCGTAAGTATTTTGATCACGATTTTTCTTGCTGTCTCGATTAAAGTTATTGGGCGCGTTAATTTTAGATCTCTATTCCATTCCATAGTTTTTTTAATTGGATATATTATTCCATCTTTCCATTCCTTTGCACAGGTCGAAATGCTAAAAATCGGCAAAAAAAATGGCGCGAAAAGCAGTGGCTATTCTTGGCTATTCTTGGCTATTCTTGGCTGTTTTTGGCTATTTACGAATTAACCTATACTATTTGTAAATAGTTTATACAAATTTGCGAATAATTTATGCGATTTGCGCCATTTTTTTTGCCTATTTTTGATCATTTGACGTGTGTTGGCCATGTTCCTTCTATTATTACGAGGTTTATTATATCTATTAATGCTTTCTTCGTATGATGTCCACTTTTCTTCCAAAAATCATAAGGAATACCACTTGCGCCAGCTGCTTTATCATTTTTGACGTTATTTAGTGTTAAATCGCATTCTATAAGTGTCACCTCCTCACATAGATGATCATATATATGTTCGTCAACAGTTTCTAGTTTATCGTAATAGTGTTTCCAATTTTTATTGAACTCTTCTTCGTCAAAATTTCTTGTGCACGTCCAATTTTTATAATGTTCTACTACTTCGTCCTTTATTTCTTCGTGATTTGTAATCATTCTAACCCTATCTTCGCTTATTTTCTGACAACTATCTATTTTAATTTGTCCTCTTCTTTTATCTATGATTCTAATAATCATTTCTTTTAAATCTGTTGTCATTAGTTGTTCGCGTTTTTCTATGTTCTTCTCTATTGCCAAACTCTGTTCGTATTTTTGTACGTTTACCATATCACACAGCAATCTACTTTTCTCCTTTTCTAGCTTGATTTTTGCTATATTTATCGATGTACTGTCTTCTAGATTATCGTGCAAAGTAATGTTTTGTTTAAATGCCTCTGTTGTCATCTTCATATTACAGATGTCGTTAAATCTATGTACTAATATCTTGTATTTAGTAATTACTTTCCTTTCTCTTGCACCAAAATTTTCCATCATGTCTAAATTCCACCTTGTTTTAACGTTGGATTCATTCTTTTCCATCGTCAGTTTGTTCCATTTTTTCCAGCATTGTTCAATCTCTTTTATGATTTTTAATTTAGTTTTGACTCTATCACAATCGGACATTTCATTGATGTTCGAGTTGTATTCTTTCTTCGTATTCATTGTAGTATTGGTCTTTGTTCTTATTTCTTGTTTCGTTTCAGTTATTACTTTTGTTATTACGTTTTTTAGTTTTGTCCATTTTTTATCTATTTCACTTGTTACTTCTTCATTACTTTCTACATTTTCGTCAATATCCATTTGTCTTTCTATAATACTATTTTCTACTCTTTCCGCAATTTCTTCCCATTCTTTACCTGAAAACTTGTTTCTAAAGTGTCCTGTGTCTTTTCTCTTGTTGTTAGTTGAACTTGTTGTCTCATTATCTATTTTAATCGTTATCGTTAGCGCTTTGTGGTCGGTCAATAATTTATTTTCTACATTTAATACTTCGTGTTCTTCGATTCTCTGAAGCATTTCACTGTTCACAAAAATATAATCTATTCTTGTACTTATTGTTCTGTTGGTCCATGTGTCTATCAGGTCTTCATTATTGAAAAAATAATGGATGTCTACCATATTATGACTATCTATCATTTCTAACAATATATTTTTATTTTTTTTCCCTTTGTTTTGTCTCCGTTCGTTGAAATCTCCCATTACTATAACATCTAAATTTTCATTTTTCCCTTCATTTATCCATCTATCTACTATTGATATAATTTCCTTTTTTTTGTTTTTATTGTTACCTACCATGTATATGTTTATGATTCTTATCGACTTTTTATTTCCTTTAAGTCGAATATCTATTGATTGTGCATATCCTTCTATTTCTTGATAATTGATCGTTCGTACTTCTGTCCAATATTTTTGTATTAAAATTTGGCTTCCTTTGCTTTTTTCTTCTTCAGCACTGTTGTTCCTAATCTTCATATTTTCCCATTCTTTATATATGTATTTTCCTTTCGATTTTTTGATTTTTGTTTCGTTGATTCCCGCTATATCCCAATTTTCTTTTTTTATAAAATTTTTTAATCTCTCTTGTTTGTTGTCGGTTTCTTTATCAGCATTTAATCCCCTTATATTTATACATCCTATTTTTATTTTGTTATTGATTTTAGTATTATTTGTATTTTTGTCTGTTTTTTTGTTTTTTACTTTTTTATTTTTTTCTATATAATTTTTTAACGTATCATTTACGTCCCACGTCTCCTCCTCGTGTATACTTATCGTTCGTGAAGTTGATTCAATATCTATGTCCATAATGGACCCCGTTTTCTCCTCTTCTATCATTGTCATAGTTTGTTCGTCGATGTTTGTATCCATCATCATGATGTCTATGGTCTTGCTCTCCTCCGTACTTTTCTTCTCTTCTGTTATGATATGCTTCTCTTCTGTTATAATTATGTTGTTGTATGTGTCTATTATATCCTTGTTGAGTATTGTAATTTCTGTAGTTGTCGGATCCTCGTCCGTTTGATCTTCTGTCATAATTTCTTCCGCTTTCTCTGAATTCTTGATGATGTTCGTTGTGTCTATTATTTCTTGGGTAGGGTGTAGATCTCGGATCATAAGATTGGTTATGAAAGTTGTTACTTTCTCCATTAAATCTATATGCATTTGGTCATCGTGTCTGTTGTCGATATTGTGGGTTGTATCTTTTGTTATATTGTCGGTGTCCTCTTTGTTCCCCTTCAAAATTGTGATCACTTGTATCTTGTCTGCTATTATTACTTTCGTGTTGGTGGTTACTTCTTCTTCCATTGTATCTGTTGTTGTTGTTATTTTGTTGGTTGGTCCGAAAGGGCTGCCCTATGTAGCCTTTATTCCATGTGCAGCACTTGTTATTTACTATGAAGGGTGTTTTCATGGCGCTGTCTCTTTCCTGACCGTTTTTAAAATAAACTGTGATTGTCTTTCTTCTCGTTCGTTTATCTTCGTTAATATACCACTCTTTCGCCTTTACGTTGTTTAGAATCTCGGATATGTCTTTGTAATCTACTTCCAGATCGACGTCTATCAGCTGGGCCATATATTTCTTCCTTTCCTGTTTCTGTATTGCCGTTAAATTTAGGGTATAATCGTGATTCTATTACCATGTTCGTCAATTGGTATAGACCATGTATCTCTTAATTATGCGTCGGTACATTTTAAGTCAATTAGAACACTTTCATATCGTTTACTGCCATCTTTTGATTTTTTGGTATTATTAAAAACTCTATTGAGATTCCCCAATCCATAGTTGTTTAATACGACGCTTACTTCACTGTTACTTTTGTCGATCAGTATATTTTTGATCTCGCATTTTAATGGGTCACTGATCGTCACTTCCTTTTCTTTATCGGTGTAGAATTTGCCCACGTTGTTGATAATCGTTTCACTATTGGTCAATCTTGTTCTTTCTTCTCCTGTTGCAAACATTACGTACATGTATCTGTTACTGTTCTTATTTGAGATGTCTATCATAAATCTGTCTTTGTTAAAAATTTTTCTGATTTCATTTTCTATTTCCTCTTTTGATAATTTTTGTGTGTTTATGTTGATCTTTGCGTAAAATCTTGTTCTTGTGTTTGTAAAATTTTTTTTGTGCATTGATATGTTGTTTCCATTGGCTGTTAATGTAACTCCTTCCATATCGTTCCCATCTATCAGTTTTTCACTCACGTGACATCTCTTTTTTCCTTCGCTCTTTGAATTTTCACCTTTAACGGTATTATCATTTTCGTCTTCTATTGATATAAGTTGTCCTGTAGGTACTCGTTTTGTTGTTTGATATTCTGGTCTGTCGTTTGCTCCTACTTCTATATTTGACATGTGTTGGTTTATTGGCATCGCTTTGAAATATTCTTCCAGTTCTTTATCTTGTTTTTGGAGTTTATCTTTAGTTATATGTAACTCGTGTTGCAAAGCGGTTCCTTGTGAGTAAAGTGATTGTAATTCTTGGTCAAAATGTAGTCTTTCATTCTCAGTGACTTTTTTATAAAATGTATCCATTGTATCTTTTTGTTTCGTTAGACAAACTGTGACCACGGCTCTTATTAAAGCCGCTGTGATAACATCTGTTCCCATAAATATTGCAATATCGTGGTCTTGTGCTTCTAATTCCCAGCCTGCGTTTCTATGAATCTCAGTGCGTTCTTCTTCGCTCTTGTATATGTATCCTTCTAACGTAGCAAAGTCTAAAGTTGAGACTGAAACTCCCATTATTAAGTTTACTGCGGATTTGTATGAAAATCGAAATTCAGGGGAAGAGTTTTTCTCACCTCCCTCATGATAAAGTCTTAGCTATTAGTATTTGTAACGGGCTTAGGCCAAAATCTAATTATAAAATTCCTCAACTAATTTTGGACATAATTAAACAATGTTGGGATGCTGATCCTTTAAAACGACCTAAAGCAAATGAATTATATGATTCATTAAGTGATTTAGAGAATAATTTTAATTATTTTAGTGAAGTTGAAAAGCAAGCCGAAGAAGCAGATAAAATTAATGAAAAACTTACTTCTACTTCATTACTGTATAATGGTACTACTATTTCATATACTACAAATCCTCAAGCAGTTTACATGAGTAGGCTTTTAGACTTTAAAAATCTTCCAGAACCAAAAAATGCTATTGATAACAAAGCTGATATTGGAGAATATTCAGGTATTTAATGCATGAGCTTATTTTACACAAGTATTCATGAAATTCTTTTAATGTACAATTATTTTTTTATTTTCTAGAATCCATAGAAGCAATAGATTTCACAAATCTCAACCTAGGTACTCATTTACATTAACTTGCTTTCTACGTACATTGTTAATTTTACTAATAATATTAACAATTTACTTTAATAATTTGTTCCTATAGATAAAAATAACTAAAAATTTACAAATGTTCAAAATATAAATTTCTTTATCTGTATCTATTATTTACTATGTATTTTCTTTATCAATATTACAGTATGTGTATTTTATTGGAATATATTTATTATGATTAAGTACTATCTTATAAATAAAGTTTTTATAAATTAAACAGAAAATAAATAGAATGAATTATTTGTATATTATAAAATCATAATAAAGTAATAAATTTACATACGTTTATTATTATTTTTTTTTTTTTTGACTTTATAGTCGCATTTTCAAATTTGATCTAGCCCTTCTAATATTCCTTATATATTCCCTTGAATTTGAGCGCATTATTTACAAGTATAGCTCGATTGTTGCTTTGTCAACACTTTTTGCTATATGTTAAATTGTCAAAGTATGCTGCAAGTGATACTTAGCTATCCAATTTCTCCATTCTTACCTAATATCTAAGGTGTTCAATATTTTCATCTTAGACCACCCTGTTAAATTCACACGTGCACACTATTAGAATACAGCGCAAATTCTATTTTGTTAAGTGCTTTATTTTTTTCCTTAGTCATTTTGTTTTGTTGGACATCCTACTCTTTTATTATTCCAATATTTCTTGTGTAATTCTCTTTAGAATATTTGAGTTTGAATGTTATGTCAAATCATCAAAGAATGCTGCAACTGAATTGATTGAGTCTTTTCAGTTTAATTTGTGTTCTTACTACTTTGGAAACAACAATTATTATATTTACTTTTTCACGTACAAATAATCCATCCCAATTTCATAATAATTAAATTATGTAAGTTTATATTATGTAATAAAATGTAATTAATAAACATTTTTGTATTTTAGAAATAATTTATTTTCCTATTTTGTTTGTAATTAATGTCCAAAATGGTAATAAATATAATGAAATAATTATTTTAAAAGGTATATGGTGATTTTATCTTTGTTAAAAAGATGATTACAGGATTTTGAGCGTAAAACTTATGGCGTTACTATTAAATTACTCTATTTTAAAAAAAAATATGTCATTAATCAAAAATTTGAAAATACTAATATGATGAATTCCAACGTGTGGATAAATCTTGAATACAATGCAAAATATCTATATAGCCAAGTTTTCTCTGCACCTGTTCTTATCTTTCCACTTGTTTTTGACATTGAAAGAAATTTGTTAGTCTCCTTGCACATGCTACCAAAATTTCTGCTGGAGCTCATCCCCAACTGGAGAATACGTGTCGTACAAGAAAGATTTGGATATTTTCACAACCATTTTTCTGGAAACATTGAAGCCATATTTGATCCATTTTCCATTGTGATCTAAGTCACATGATTTCCAAGATTCATGCTTAAATACACTTGTGAAGTTCATTGGCAATAATAATGTCACCAGTATGTGGAGAGGGGACATATGTGTTATCAGCATTGTAACTTTGATTTAAAAGTTTGACGTTATTCAAGTTGCAGTAACTTCTAAATACCTATACTTGGCTCTACTGGACCAGAGATCAATTGTAAGAGAAACATTTTTAACAACTTTGGTAGATATTCTGCAAATTTTCCCGATTAAATTTATAACTCTAAACAACCATTGTTCTGATTTTTTTCTCCTGGAATAATAAAGGAAGGATCAAATCCTAACATTTTTCTTTATAGGCTTCATTAGTAATTGCAGAAAGAGGTTGATTTGTAAGTTCAGGATAAAATCTGAACGGCCATAGTAAAGGTTTTAATTTTTTTTAAATAAACAGCTGGTAAGCCCCGTAAGAGGGGTGGGGGTAAAGGGGTAAAGGGATGAAATAGGAATGGTTTGAGGGCAAAATGAACATGATAAAAATAAGGATAAGGTAGCATGAAAATAATCCAAAATGAGAAAAATGAATTGCGAAAGAAAAGAAAAAAATCTAATATTAAGATTAAAAGAACGAACATAATTTTAAAACATTAAAAATTTTTTTCGATCCTTTAAACAAGGATATCTGATTTTTTATTCGGATGACCGAAGTTATCAGATTACAGATCGAAACCCTAACGCAAAATAAAGGCACATCTGACGCGTGTTCCTTTTTTACAATAACAAACATGCAAAATTTTTTAGTGTAATCTTTTCCTTGAGTTTATTTTTACATAGTATGATTTTTACAAAGATTAAGCTTTTTCGCAATTATATTGTTTGTGTAATTATTGCCAATTGGGGACATTAAATTTTGCCCCGATTTTTAATATCGATCATAGATGATGGATCAGTGGTTTGTGCTTTCTTGTACTTTGTAACAAATAGGAATTAAGTAGTTAGTATTATTTTATTTATTTTATGTTATTGATATCTAGCTAGTACAGTAGTATTTAAAAAAATAATAATAGATTATATCATCTTGTTTGTCAAATTTAAATTTAACATTTATTTCTATTGACAGCTTACTAACTTTTTCAATTAAATTGTTTTTATTATTGCGTCCTACTTATTTATTAATGGAAAATAATATTGGTTATGAACTATCCGATGCATATTTTTATAATTTTAAATTAAAATTTAAATTTATTATTTTTTATATTCGCCATATCAATAAAAATATAACTATCATCAAAATAATTCTTAATACTAATTTACTACTACCGCAGTAATGGTTTAGATAAAAAATAAGAAAAATTCAGTTATTTTTTGGCCACTATTATCCCAAAGAATTTGTTATTAATTTTGAACAAATTAAAACATTAATTTAATTGGAACTTGGAAGACTAGGTATTATCGATATAAAAAAGAAATATATATAAAAAATACGGTTTATTTAATTAATTATTTAGCTTTCTTCTTGAAGATACTATGTTATAACGAGTTAACAATATTTAAAGGGAGAATTCAACCATTTATTTCCATATATTAATTTAAAAGAGATTAGTTCAGCAGATTTTAATTATAAAGTTAAACTATTCAAAGATATTTTTGAAATCTTACTCTAAAATTCTTGAACATTATTCTTTTAATAATGAAGTTTATTGAATTATAAAATGAATATAGAATTATTAGTTCAGATCACGTACTTTAATTGGTAACAACTAACGAGACAAGATGATAGAAAAATATTTTTTATTATTTCAATTTATTCGTACGAGGAAGTAAAGATGGAATTGAACCTGATTATGTATAATTACTATTAGTATGGTTAAGAAACACTTTGGAGGATTTATTCCTTTAGTTTGGTTATCGAATAGTGTTAAATATATTTAAGTTGATTTCTTTTTGATAAAAACAAATTAACAGATTTACGTAACTTGGTAAGATCGTTGATGGTAATTTCTTTTTTGTATAACAGATGTTATATAACCTAGAGAAATCGTTGATGGTGATATATAATAAAAGTATTGGACCAGATTTTGGGTATAATATTCCAATTCGGTATTACGTATTGCATCAACATGGATTCAAGTGTTCATCCTGCAAACCTGCTGATATATCATACTTGGTAAAACTGGCATCAGTTTGACAATACGACAATTTGATGTTACGGCAAATAACGTTCGACATTGCGGCAATTCGGCATCACGGTATTACGGCGACGTAATTCATTTTGACGCCATAGTAAAGGAACATTTGAAATGGATGATTATGAAAATTTTTATAAATAAATCGATTTAAAAAAAAAGAAAATAATTTTATTTATTGTAAATTTCAAAATATATAAATAAATAATATATAAATTTTATTATAATACAATTTTTATACAATTTTCATTACAAATAGTAGCGTTGACGATTCTAATTACCCGATGATACCCCCATCAATAATTAGAAATTTAGATTTCAGAAAAATAAATTATAATAAAATATATAAACATTCAAATTTATTTATATTTTATTTTAATGAGAAGGAAATGTTTAAAAAGCGGGGAGGAAAACATACCAACAAAAAAATATATATATAATATAATCAAATGTTATATCGCATCATCATTCTCTAACCTCATCAACCTCAAAAATCATAAAGATATCCTCTGTAATCAGGATCATCATAATATTCATATTCGTTGTATTCACTAATTTCGACTTCGATTTCATCATCGAATTCCCAATGATTAATAGTTGATACTTGAAATACTTCATAATCTTCTATATCAAATACTCCTTCAACTTTTCTAATTAATTTTTCATAACTATTTTTATAACATTGACCTTTTTTCGCATCACCTTCTAATAAACGTAAATCTGAAGTATTACCACCAAAATCAGGACCATTATTTTTATAAACTCCAAGATTTTCAACAACAAATTTACTAAAGATAAATTTTTCCAAATCCTTTTTATCCAAAGAAAAGATAAAATATTCATCAGAAACAAAATCAGTTCCAAAATTTGGATTCCAATCTAAAGGATTATAACCTCCAACTATTTCATTACTATTTTTTACGTTAGCGATAGTAATAGTAGGACCTTTTTCATCACAATTTTTATGAAAATTTTTCACATTAAAACCATCTCTACTTCCACGTACTAATAATTGAAATTCAAAAGTACAATTTTGAATACCATTTGATAATTTAATAAAATTTCCAATTAAAAAAGCATGAAAAGGAGTAATAATTTTAGAATCAATATCTAATTTAAATTTTGAATGAGAATCTTCGTTAAAAGAATAATATTCAAGCATTTGAACATAAAATTCTTTATCAAAAATATCTTTAAAAGGTTTAATATTATTACAAAAATTTGTTAAACTAATTTTTTCAAAATCAATAAAAGTAATAAATGGATTAATTAACGTTCCAAATATTGACATATCATTATTCGTCCATTCTTTTGTATTTTTTGGTAATTCATTATATTGTCCAATTGACCATTCTATAAGTTTATCCCAAATTTCCATAGGATTTAATCTTTGATTATATTCTGTTAAAAATTCAAGGAGAGTTTCTTGTTGAATCGTTATAAAATCATTTGCCCTAAGAATTAAGGATGGTTCATCATTAATACTTGTTTCATAAAATTGTGTCAATTTTTCAAATTGACCAAGTTTATTTACGGTTTTTTGAATAAGAATAAAATTTTGTTTTAATAAAGGTTCGTTATTAAGAAGAAATTTTTCGGTATGTTCACAAAATTCATTAAGACATAATTCATCGGCTGCAATTAAAACTGCAATATTTGTTTTTAAATCGTAATCACTAAGTCTGGAAATTCAAAATTTATACTGCATATATATATATATATATATATATTGAATAACATGATTTTCATTTTACATTATTTATCAAATTGAAGATATGTTAGATAATGTTTGACACACTTTCTCTTTTAAGTCGTTGTTTTTGTCTTACAATATTGCTTTTGTTTAACACGTTTTTGTTAACTCATATAGGAATTATTTAAGCCTATAAAGCAAGTATTTCAACTTGATAATGTGACTAAATGTGCCCACCCCTTGTACAACATATTGTTTACAGCAGGAACATCGGATGATCAACTCGAGCAACTAAACTACGGTAATGACGGTAATGAATAAGAAATAATTTTTGAAAAAAAAAAAAGTTCTCACAAAAATACAGAAAAAGTCAACAATAACATTTTTTTTCCACATAAAAAGATGATCATTTCTTTCTTTTCCCCCAAATTTTTTTTAAATTTTTTTTTTTTTCTAAAAATGAAATATTTCGGAATATTATCTAAAGATTATAATGAAACGTTTAAATCTGGTGAATTTCATGATATTGAAATATTAGTTGGAAAGAAACCAGATACTAAAATATTTAAATTACATTCTTTAATATTAAAAATACGATCTCCTTTTTTTCGTAATGAATTAAAAAATAATAAAAAATTAAAATATAAAAATAATATTATTGAATATAATAAACCAAATATTTCCGTAAAAATATTTGATATTCTTGTAAGGTATGAAAAAAATAAATTTTATATTTATATCCTATTAATCATTTAAAAATTATATTATATTATTTATAGGTATATATATGATGGTATTTTTAATGTTAAGAATGACGTTAAAATAAATATCGCACTTTTAATCGCGGCCGATGAATTGCAACTTCATCATATAAGCGATGTTATCTCAATACATCTTTATAAAGATCAAGGATCATTAAAACAAAATTTCGTTCTTATTCAACATGTTACAACTAAATACACTCAATTTTTTAGATTAACACAATTTTATAAAAATACTATCAAACAAGATCCTTCTATTATCTTCAAAACTGATGATTTTGTTACTATTGAAAAAAATGTCCTACTAAATCTAGTGAAAAGTAATAATTCTTTTAAACAAATTGATGTTTGGGATAAACTTATGGAATGGACGATCGCACAATCTCAAGAATTATCATCGGATACGACAAAATGGACTAAAGAAAATATAACAACATTTGGGAACTTGATTCAACCATTTATTCCATATATTAATTTTAAAGAAATTAATCCCAAGGATTTCTCTCAAAAGATTAAACCATTTAAAAGTATTTTTGATATCGATTTTTACGTACAAATTCTTGAATATTATTCTTCAAATGAAGAATCTCATTCAAAATTTGGAAATAATTTAATGAATATAAATTCTAATATTATTAATTCTGATCATGCTTTTTTACTTGGAAATTTTATTAAGATAGCAGTACAACATGATCGTGATGTTACTTTTGATTTTGAATTACTTATACGTGGAATTTGATCTTCAAACCTTTCATGATCATTGTAATGAAAAAGGTCCTACTATTACTGTTGTTAGTGTTAAAAATACCGATGAAATACTTGGAGGTTACAATCCTTTAAATTTTGAATCTACGGGATCTTATTGTTTGTGTGAGAATAGTTTTCTTTTTTCTCTAGATAAAAATAAATTAACAAATTTCATTTTCAGTAAAGTTGTTGATAAATGTCACGCAGTTTATGATTATGGTATAGGTTTTGGAGAGTATCGTTCAGATTTACGTTTATTAGAAAATAATACCAATGTAGGACAATGTTATAAAAATAGTTATGAAAAATTAATTAGGAAACGCGCGGGAAAATTTAAAATTGATGATTATGAAGTTTTTCTAGTTAAAACAAAATAATACACACATATATATGTAAAAGGGTTATAAAAGGTTGTAAATGATATTATTATATATAAATAAATTATTTGATATTAATAGTTAAAAAGTTAACATAAAGTTAAAAAGTCAACATAAAGTTAAAAAGTCAGCATAAAGTTAAAAAGTTAACATAAGGTAAAACATGTTAATTTTGCTTAAACAATTCTAACATTTATTCGTTAAATTTTATTTCGAACGTTTTGTAATCATCTATTTGAATCCAAAAAACTATTGTATTTGTCAATGTTAACCCTTGCATTTTATGTACTAGTAAATTAGTTTGACTTTTTCACTATTTTAATCAAATTTTGAATTAATTCAAGTCAATTTTATGATAGAAATGGATTTATCAGAGGGAGCTATATTATCATTATAGAACCATATAAAGATAAATCAAGTAAATTTAAATATCATATGATTTTATTTTTTTTCTGGTAATAAATATCAGTTGTTGCAGCAATTGATCTTTAAAAATAGGCATAAATTAAGTAAATATCAATGAGATCTTTTCATCTGCTTTAACTGAAAATGGATCAAAGTATGTGATCATATCCAGATTTTGCCATGATGTTTCTCTGCCCATGTTTTGGATATTTCTGTGTATGGTCAATCATATCCCAATTTCTGTTAAAGCAGATGAAAACTAAGCTGCAAAATACCCATTGATATTTAAATTTGTTTAAATTGCACTTTTTTTTTAAATATATTTCCAAAAAAAAAAAAAAAATCATCTATAACAATAAAGCCTTTTAATATAGCTCCCCGATAAAATCTATTTCTTGTTTTTTATCATAAGATAGTATTATAATAATAAAGTAAATTTTAAAATTATAATATATTTTGTATGTCTTTACAATATTTTATAAATAACGTATTTTACAAAAGTATTGTAATAGTATTGTATTAGTATTGCAATTCACATAAAATAATAGTTTTTTTTTTTTTCATTATTCTTTTTATAATTTTTATATTGTTTATGCATCCTATTTTGACACCATTTTTTAAATTATCTTTATTTTTATTATTTTCTTATTGTTATTATATCATTACTATTATATAATCATATTGTAAAAATATTTAATAAAATTGGAGGTTTCAGCAAAGTATATATGAAATAAATTTTGGTATTCAACATTGTGAGATTAAGATGGCGAGGATGTCTAAAAAATTTATCTGGAATGGTTAAAACGAGTGTATGTAACATTCGCCAAAAGGCAGAAATATCGTAATCACCACCACCTATCTGAAACAAATACAGTACATAAATATGTTTCTTAACGATTTCTTCCACTTTCTAACAATCACCTATGTTCATTAATCGCAAGTAGTTCATTTCTCGTCATCTCTGTCATATGGGATAGAGTTTTCCACTATTTAAATTTCCGGTATAAAGCGTGCATTTTTTTTCGTTTCTAATTAATTGCTTAAGCCTGCTCACTGTTTCTCTAGTACCAATTTTAATTATTGTGATTTTACTACGAAAAATAAAAAAATAATTTTTTTTAATATAATAAATAAATAAAAAATTATTTTATGTTTATTTATGTTTTAATAAATGATAAATGAATTTATTCTTTTACAATTATTACATTTTACCGCATAATTTATCTAATTTACAGTATATTGTATTTTTTTTTAATTGAGATAATTTGTTTTTTTTTTTTTTTGAACATAATTACAATTTCACATATTAAACTAAAATTACGTAATTTATTTTTATTTATATTTATAAGTTCAATTTTGATAATTTATATAACTAAAAAAATTCCGATGATATTTAGATAACCCTCCGTATAAAATAACTTGAATTGTGTAATATGAAAACACATGATATACAGTATCTGCTGTCTGGTCATGTGTACGTTTTTAATTGAAGACTTTTGTAGTTAAGAATTCTTCATAATTTGATTTCGGGAAAATGTCCTTTTCCATTCGAGAATTTGTCTTGTCGGGAAATCGTTGTCAGGGAGAAAATGAATGTCGGGAGATCGTTCCGTAACCATTTCAATTGAAAACATACGCCCTTTAACGATGCAGTTTAGTTTTCCCATACAAATTTTTTAATGGTCTTTTTTGGTAAGACTTCTAGTCGTTAGCCGAAACATGTTTATTATCTTGACCCTTAAAAGTGTTTCCGAATCCTGAAAACATTTTTACCATAATAAAATATGATTATATTTTAGATAAAGAAAAAAATACACTAAGCACAATATTTGTTTTCTGTTCTTTTTTCTATTTAAGTAAACCATTACCCGACGAATATTTACTTTATGGGGCTAAAATATCTTCAATTGTAACAAGTGGTACACAATCATGTACAACTCGTCGGGATTCGGGATTATTTTTTTTTTTTGGGTTAACAACAGCTAACGAAATATACACCATATTCCTTAATAAAAATAAGATGAAAATCCGGTTATCGATAAAAAAGTGATTTCCGTAATGTAGAAATGTATCGGTTATGTCATATTTTGAGATTATATTTTGAAATGGTATGAATTATATGACAGTTAGGTGTAAACCGTATTTTGTTTAAATCGTGTTGTAACATGGTAATTATATTCTCCATTTTATATATTTTATATAAAGGATTAATTTTTCTATTTTCGTTTGGTATTTATTTGAGTATCGATACCCTGATGTAATATACACCTCAGCTCAATAAATGTTCAACAACGACAAGGTCACGGTCATTTTATTTCATAGTTTGTAATCAAAGCATAAAAGGAGACGAAAAATAGAGCGAGCTAATACATGTTTTTTACAAAAACATTTCTCGGATCCAAATGGAGAAGTCTTGGGAAACTAACTATTCATAAAAAAAAACTAACATCACGAAGTGAAATATGCATATTTGTGGGAATGTTTCTTAATTGTAATCAAATATTTGAAATTAAAATACAGTAAGGAACTATTAAAGTAATTTCACGTCGGTAAAAATGCTGTCGATAGATCGTACCTGTCAGTAAATCGTAACGAATTGGTAATTATTTTAACGTGAGATGATCACTATACGGCACATTCATACCATAAAATTTTCCTTGAAAAATACAATCTAGGTTTTTCTGATAGGATTTTACCATTGAGTTATCTTCCGAATCATCATCACTAGCAGTTTCATCATCATATCTAAGAATAAATAAATTTATGGCAATGATCACACGTTAAAAAATTTAAAATTTAAATTTTTTACCAAATCATCGCTTTCTTTTGTTCACAATTATCAACATAACCATCATCAATATTAGCTCTCCATGCATGAGGTTTATCTATTATTTACAAAATGATTTATATTTCAGTATTATAGAGTATGTATCATAACAATATGACAAACATATTTGAAGGAGAATCTGTGGAATCTTGCTTTCTACCTTTTCCACATCAATCTTTCCACATCCACGTAACTTTGCTTATTGCCAATTTCACATGAAAAAGAATGAGAAGACCATATTATTCAAAATTGTAATCTATTTTTGAAACCGAAGACTTTGAAACTTACCGTCCGGTGGCGGCGTAACAAAATGCTCTAGTTGGTGATTCAAATTGAAAAGTTGAAGCCGATACCTAAAAAAAGAAATATAAAAAAATATTAATAATAATATTTCTTTTTTTTTAAAAAAAAAGTTTCGAAAGGTCAAAACTTTCGAAACTTACCAATACCTAAAAAAGAGAAAAAAAAAATATTAGAAAAATTTGGTTTTTTTAAAAAACAAAGTTTCGAAAGAACGAAATTTTCGAAACTTACTGATCCAAAGTGAAGGGTCAAAGCTGATACTTAAAAAAAAGTGAAAAAAAGCATTAGAAAAATTATTCAATTATTCTTTGCATTGAGGAGGTCACCATCAGATGACAGTCGTGATAGTCTCCCATTTTTATCGCACTTCCAGCATCATCCGTCGTCTGATAACAGGCACGAACGTGTGGGATACCTGCCAGAAGGCAGGATTACATACGTTGAGGAGGTCACCGTCAGATGACAGTCGTGATGGTCTCCCCATTTTTTTGCTTTTAAGAAATCTGATAGAACTAAATTTATTACCAGAACAATTACGAACTAATGAAATGATAACTATTTTTGCTTCTTCACCCTGAAAGTTATCAACAGTCCTTAAAGTAACTCGTTGATTTAATGGTTTTGAAGTATTATTTTCTTCTCCCTCCATATCAGCAATATTTTCTGCATCTCTCTCATCAATTTTAACGGAAAATGATTTAGATAAAGCATCCTTGATTTTGATCAATTGTCCTGAATAAGGAGTAAGCACTGCTGCTATATCTTCATGTTTAGTATATCCATTTTTAACAAAAAATATTTTAAAACCATTTCTACAACCATTTTAACTTCATGCATATCAAAACTATCTTCTGGGTGATTATGATCGATAAAATATACATTTATATGCTGAGCTCCACATATATTTGGATATTTAGCAGTGTTTTCTCCATCTATTAAAGCTTCATAAATTGTATGTCTGATTAAATCAGAAATTTCATTTCTCATACGTCTCTGAATTAACAGTCGAGTTCTTTCAATTGTAATTGCATTATTACCATCAATAAATCTTTCAAATAATGATTTATCTAATTGATAATATTCTCCTATTTGTGATTCCATACTAAGAGAATATGTTGAAACACTAGGTCGAAGTTGATTGTGATCCCCTATTAATATTAAATGTTGAGTAGAAGGAGTTAACGCACTAAGAATATGAGCTTCTAAAACTTCATCAGCTTCTTCACAAATAATGATTTTAGGATCAATATATCTAATTAAATTTTGTAATTTAGCAGCACCAACGCGCTTCATCATAAATATCATTCAACTCTTGACGACGTCCTTCATGCACAGTTTGTAAATTCAATAATATTTCTTCATCAAGTTCTGCATGCCAATAATCATGAAGTTTTTGTTTTTCTTTTTTTGACATTTTCCAAATTGAACAATCCTCTAATAATTCATTCAAAGAACGATCAGAGTGTGGTTTTTCATAATTTTTTACAAATTGTAATTCTTCATTGATAATTTCATCATCATCTGAATCCGTTTCTTCATTATTTAACCAATGATCTTTTCTCTCTTCGATCTTTCTAATATCTTTCCCAATCAACCATTTTTTAAATTCGTGCATCTTCCTTCCTTGAACCTTAATAAATTTATTCTGAGATTCTTCAGTTTTTTCTTTATTACTATCTTGAAAGCCTTTATCATCAGTTTGTTCGTCATCACCGAATAAGAAAACAATATTTTTTTTTTGCAAAGCTTTTGACCGGTCAAATTCTTAATAATAATATATTATTATTCTAGATTTACTGTATTTTTATCTATAATTTGTAAAATTTTCCCTTCACATTCCTAAAATATACAATAAGGGATAAACTAATCCTGAGCGTATGATATACAGTACATCCCCAAAATTAACTAAAATAGGATTTTAGAATCCAATTTAGTAACACGAACATGCGTGCATTTTTTTTTCCGAATTATTATTTACAAATGATTTTTATGCCTTTACATTTGACAGCCACCAAAAATGGTGTTCAGTTAACAACAAAAAAAAAAAAGAATTTTTTTTTTTTTATACGTATATAGAATTTTTTTAAAAATATATGCATTTGTGTATATATATGTATTTTTTTCAGAAGCTTGGTGCTGAACTAGAAAAAAAAATCGGCTTAACTTTTTTTTTAGTTTGGCCTATTTCTGAAATTTTCCAAAGATCAAAATTCTTTTATTGTTTGGCATTGTCCAGTTATTACGAGAACAATTATGTGAATAATTTATTATTATCATGTGATTACGGTGATTACGGATTAGTCAGGTTACGATATACTTATACTATAGGCGTAAGTAATAAAATTGTTGTTTTTCTTAACAAGATCTTTTTTTAATATTGTTCACGTGCCTCAATTTCAAAATTTCCTAAAAAATTTGATGCATAATTTACAAAAAAAGTATGTGAACATTCTCTATTGAAACAATAAGAACCAATTTAATTTCTTGAAGTGGAATTCTCTTTGTTGCATTTCTTTTTGCTCATGCCATTCCACAGGTCCCTATAAATTAACATTTCTTGTGGGATATCTATAAATTAAAAGGGATGGTTAGCTTTTGCTAAGTACTCTACTTAAAAATTTCATCCCGCCATCTGGTAGGTGACGTGAGGCAGTATCCTTCTAAAGTATCAAGTAACATAACGAAGCAGTCCGGATCTTCTTCCTATATATTAGTGTCGATGTTTTCACCGTCCGTTCCTGAAAACTGCACAATAAAAGGTATAGCTACAAGTATCTGTTTGAAAGAACTTACAAAAACACAGCTTTAGGTTATTGTGTCCTTTCGCTGACATCTCTCCTGGACACACAAAGATTTGTTATCATCCAGAAATTCTGAAAACAGAGAAGGACGTTCACAGTAAAACTGTGGCCACGAAGTGCTTCCAGTTCTCTGAATCCAAAATCCCTCAATGAGAACAAATCAATTGCATGAGTCAAAGTTGAGGAAGGTACATAACTATTCCTCATTGTGGAACAGTAGACCTCAACACTGAGAAGATCTTATTCGTATCTCAGCCAGGTCCGTCAGTTAACAGAGTTATCATAGATAGACCTGCCAGCTCACAAGGTTGCCATAACTTCCTTGATCATTGCATCCACTTGTTCACCTTCACCAGAAAGAGGGCAGGCAAAGTCCACTCTCTTTAGCTTTATGAAAACAGTTCGACATACCTTTATATTAGACAAAAATGGAGGTCCGGAAGAGGGATGACGACGTTGCAGTCGTTGCACCCAGTCATTAGAAGTCACGTGATTCCGCGTAAAGTTTTTTCCGATAACAGATTGTTTTTCGGGTGCAACGAGTGCTAAGGGTTTGTTGAATGGGTTCTTGAGACCAACTACTATGTCTTCAAGACGGTGAATTTGAACCTGATGACTTTATATTCAGGTACCTTAACCAAGGCTCCACTTTTAAAGTTAAAGATATAACCTTGAGGTGGGTTCTCGTATGATGGGCCCCAGTCATCTATTTGCAACCCTTTAAAGCCGTTAAACCCGAGATAATTCTTTCTATTTTAAAGTCAGGAAAGAAGAGATAAAATTTAATTAATTAATTATTTATTTATTTTGAGGAGTATAATACAAAATTTATAAAATGGTTCTTGATAATTACGAAAATTATTTGTTTAATTTCTTCAAGAGCGCTGAAGTTATCATCATAAACTTTCGGGTTAGGAGTTAGCGTTATCTTTTTTTTGTTAGGAGGGTTTAGAATTTGGAAACAATATTTCCTATCTGTTTTTTTTGTTAGGAGAGTTTAAACTCGGAAACAACTACGAAACGGTAAATTTCGCAACATTTCGTTGCGAAACAATTTATGTTTTTTTATTTTAATAAAGAAACGTTATCTAACGTTTCTCTTTTTTTTGTAGTTTCGGCTTGGGACCTTTTCCTGTCTGTTAGAGCTTTTTTTGTAAAAGTTTTTTTATTAGGTAGTGTCTTTTTTGTTAGGAAGGTGTCCCCTTTTATATTATTTTTCTTATCACGCGATATGTCTACAATGACAAAATATTTATATTGTGAGAGTTTAATATATGAGTCATCTTTACTCTGATTTAGAAAAACTATTGCGTCACGTAGTAAGTTTTTTTTTTTTAAAAAAAAAGTAAAAAAAAAATAGTTTAAACAATAGTCTACAATCATCATTTTTGCCTTAAATAATTTTAAATAAAGCGGAGAGTCAAACCTGGACTGCTTAGAAATACAAATATGCATGATGATCGCATCAATATAATCAATAGCAAAAAATTTAATGTAAGAAAGTTAATTATCTCAAAATATAGAGGTTGGGAACAACCAAATAAATAAAAACAATAATAATGTGAATAGTAACTAAGTCTTTTTTTTATTAGTATTAATAATTAATAATTCATAAGTAATAAAAAAAAATTCAACGAAATTTTGAATGACGTCACCCAACAAAGAATTTTAGTTTGAAAAAAAAAAAAATCATCATAAAAATTTCAGAAAAAATTTTGGTCTATAAGAAAGAATTACAACCTATCGTAAATAATTTAGGTTGAATCAGCATAGAACTACAAAAAAAAATAATTTTTTTCTCATAATTAGTCATTTATAAAAATTAATTAAATTAATTTAGATTGTTAGATATTCGGTTGCAGAAAAATGAATATTAAAAATTTTATATATAATATTTTTATATTAGGTTATAGTATTTACACTGATAAGAGTTATAGGTTTTTATTATGTACTAATCAAAAATTTTAGATTAGTTTAGGATAACTAAGTTTTTAGTCATGTATTTAGTGTAGATACTTTATTGATGCGATGTAAATTTTTATGATTAATCGATTTTTCGATTATCATAATACGCACCTGTACGTATTGTATGTAAAATATTCTATTTTTACTTTACTTTGGATAAATTTACTACATAAATTGAATATAATAATAGAGACGCAATAAAAATAAATCAATGTTGTACTTGCATAAAATTCATAATGTCGGATCTATAAAATTGTATTATAATAATCATTCGGAATTTTAATAACTCGTATTAAATAGGACATTACATTGAAGTGAACATCAGCCAGGCTTTTTCTTTACAAATCTCCATACAATTCTATTTGTGTTTTCTACCAATCATCCAAATTCTACCATTTTTTATAACACCATTTCTGCTAATTTTTCTAAAGAATCAATACATTCTTTAAACCATAATTTTTTAGCAAAAGGTTTGTTGCAAAACGAGCAATTTTTGGAGTTTATTGCATTAGTATCTTTATCAGAGATGTTTAATTTATTAAATTCAGTTGCCATTTATTTTTTTAGAAGTTTATTTTACTGGAAAAGAAAAATATTTTCGGGATCTAGGGATAATGTAATGTGTCGATCATATGACCAAAATTTTCAGGATAGAAAAAGACAGAAAGGTTATATGAAAGGTTGTTAATTTAGAAATTTTACACTCTTTATTGTTATCCAAACTGTCATCTTTCCTTTATTTTATAGCGTATTGGTTTTTTGGAAGTTTTTTTTTTATTAGAGATAAGAGAAATATACAACCAAGGTGAAATATTTTCGGAGTTTAAGTTTTTTTCAATAACAAGTTCAGCAAGTATGTTAAGCGTCAGAACGGTGTTGCTCTATACAATTAGAAATTTTGAATGAATCGCATGTTAAGAAAATGAGGGCGATGTTTTTCATATCACGATCGAAGACAAAAATTATCCGCAGGGATTTACTGTCTATGGTATAGCTCGATTGATTTCATGAAGTATTTTGCCATTTCAGATTATTATATAAAATGGTTGCCATTTTATATAATAAAAATTATTGAAATTATATTTATCAATTACAAAACAATAATTACATTATAAATTCAGTGTCCTAATCATGCGAATTCTGTATTTTCCCGTATCCTTTCAACAGATTTTAAAAACAAAATCGTATAAAAACATTTATTAAAAAACGTATCCAGATTTTTTATTCTAAGTAGCTTTTTGGGTTAGTCTTATTGGCAACTTTATTGCACTTCACCACGCCTAATGTTATCCTTTGAAACTAAATCCATTTTCGAAAATAATTTTAAAGGTAGGAAAACGAAAGGACGTTAGTAAAGCTTTTAACTAACGATTCCTCCATATTACTAATTGCAGTAGAAATAGATCAAAATTAGGTTGAACATACCACGAGTCCATATTACAAATGAGAATTAAGTTTTTCTTAGAGATGTTCCTTTACCTTCCAGTTCCGATTTCCAATTTTCTATTTCATGCCAAAATCGCGTTCAGGTAAGTACCTACAAAAAGGAACGTTAGAAATATCACTGACATTTCTTTCTTGCTCTCAAGTTCTAGCTAAATACCTTACCTACACCTTATTCCGAAGTTCGTATCTACAAGAAAAAAAGTAATTTTTTTCAATAATAGTTTCGCCTAAAAAAATATTTTTTTTTTATAAAAAGAGCTAGTTTATTTTTTTTTTTTAGATAAAGGTTATCAGTAGGCTATTTTATTAGCCGTTTTCAAAAAGATGCGATCAACAATCACGGGACTTGTGTTAGATATGTTTTCACGTTAAAAAACAACTTACTATTTTATTATTTTATTATTTAATACAGCGATCTTACAGTATTCTAGATTTCAAATATATATATCTCAAGCTTATTTGTGTCAAAATTTCAAAGGCATATTATATATATATATATATTTGTCAGAAATCTTTAGCATTTTCAAAATTAAAAAAAAGATTTTTTCGTGACCCTTGCGATTTTCTCGGTTTTTTTATATAATGAAGGTCTATAAGAATCTTTTATACCATTTGTTATTATATTTGATTGAATATTTTGCAGTAAATTGTAAAAAAAATTGAGACTTCATAACCAAATTTAAGATTACTTTTGTTCATAAATTCCATTAAAAGTTTTAGATTCAATTCAACATTTCCACAATTCATAAACCTAAATAAATAAGTATGTACAACAAACAGACATACATACTATAAATATATAAAGTTACTTATATGGGATTATTTGTCATTAATACAGGTATAAAAATCATAAAAAGTTTAATTGATTTTTCAGTCTTTTGAAACAATAATGAAATGATGACTTTATATTATTATTTTTATGGTCTTCCATTAATTATATAAATTTTTGGATACGATCTAAAAATAAAGAATTAATTTATTATTATTTAATAATGAGTGTCTTTTTTTAACATAACATTTTATGTTCTCCGAACATAACTCGTAACGTACTTTTTTCATACAACTAAGACATCATTTTTGAAAAAGTATGTATTCGTATATTTTATTATGTATATTGAATAAATACTTTAACATAAGTGTTTCGTAATAGCAGTAGTTTTAAAATTTGTTACTTCGGATCATTATGACATTTTCGATGGCTATCTACATATTCTTAAAATTCAATAGAAGCGATTTTTTTGGGTAAGATTATTATATTAATTTAGTTTGTCTATATATTTATACAATTTGCAAACTCTAAATAATCTCTTTATTATAGATTCAGCCCTGCAATATAGATATTTGAAATTGAGTCACTAATATCCAAAATCTAAATTTAACGTTGTATATACAGTACTTACATATTCTATTAATGCCAAAACTCTCAATGTCGAATTTCTTCAAGAAAATGTAATTACCTTTTGAAGATAATATTTTTGATTATGTTTTCCATAGAATTCTCCATATACCATTAAGGATTGAAAAGTATTTTATTAACAAATATGTAGAGTATGTAAGATTGTAGTTGTGTTGAATTTATGGAAAAAGATATTAAATTTGATATTAAAAAAAAAATAAAGAATATCCAAAGAATTATATATTGTGAGAAAGCGTGCGACAAATCATAGTTAAATATGCTAGCGTCCCCATAAAAATTTCTCACGTGATAATACGAAAAATGATCGTCACTCACGTTACTTACTATGTCGTCCAGTCACATGCACGGTCCAAATATTTCTTATATATTGTTGGTTTTGTATAGTTTTATATATGAAATACGCTTACCATGTATTTTTTTAAAAAAATGATAATTACATCATGTTATTTTCTAACAATATTTTATGTAATAACTAAATATATAAAAACTAAATGAATGAATTTTTATTTTATATTACATATATGTTACGCGTATGACATAAAAAAGAGTTAAAATATTATCCAAGAAAGACATAAACATAAAGTTATTTAAATAGGTTAATAAGCTGATTTTTTTCAAGAAAGGTAGTAAATTATAAATTAAATCAGAAAAAAATACAAACTCTTACAGTTGCTTTAACAGTTTGACATAAAAGGTGGACGAAGCGACAATAAACCTCATGATCGTAGTAAATATCGTTTTCAAATTCGATAATTCCAAAGAGAGATATAACAAGGAATATTGAAAAAGGGTTAAATTAACATTTACAAATTTAATTCTGTATAGGGCGACCAACAAAATGAAGCGGCCATAAAATTGTGTTGCGTGCTATTGTGACACGTGAGGACGGTTTAGATAAAACTATTGATCACTTTATTAGATATTGAATAATAATAGGTTAATTATGTTTGACAGTTACTATTACCTTTCAAATTTAATTGAATGATAGTCGGTATGTATAGTATTCCGACTACTTTGTCATTATAAGTATTTAAGATTTGAATAACCTAATAAGCTTTAAATTTCAAATAAAAATCAATAAAATTATAAATTATGAAGAAATGAATTTTTTTTACCAAATACTACTTTAAATTTAATTTTATTCTCTTTTCTTTTTCATTATACGAGCAAAATTCTTTTTTATATTGTATACTATTGTAAATTTTCAATTTTCATGCTTTGTAATTTTCATTACCTCTTTTCACTTATCCAGGATTGGGAATGAGAAGAGGATATAAAAGTAAAATAGTAAAAAAACAAAAGTATTTTTTTTTTATAATATCTACGCTGTGCGAACGATGCTATACTGACGTTGATCATTTTAGAACATCCACGCCAAGAGGATGGTTAGAGTCACATGAATAGATCTGATCGAAAATAAATTAATTAATTACTAAGAATAAGTTAAACCTACTCGTGTTAATTCATTATTAAATTTAATATAAAATTATGCATATATAATATGTCAAAAAATGTATATTACAAAGTATACGGTCGGTAGAAACAAACAATGTTGGTAATAGACACTGTATATGTATTGTCTTTTATGCCAAAAGGAGATAATCAATTTTAGTCAAAAGTCATACCAGTTTTGATAACAATCTCGAATTAAAAAGTTTTCAAAGCAAAAATTTTTTTATAATTATTTTGAAATGCAGATTTTCACTTAATTGTTGATTAGATTATTTAACAATCGGATAATACACATTTGTAATATTGTTGCTACGATTGATTTAATCTTCAAAGATTGTATTATAAACATAATTTTAAAAAATTTATTTTATCGTTAGTAGGTAAAGGAAATATTAATAAGTAAATAATTCAGTTAAAGCACAATTAATATTATTATCAAACCAACTTAATTTTTTTTATACAAAGGATAACTCGTTACGGATGTTACATTTGTAACATTACACAAAATATTATTTCTATAATTTTATATACTTAAACTAAATATAATACTGCGCCCCACACTTAATAGATTCACTAGGTAATTCCAGCATTACACCGTAACAGCGTAACGGCGTAACTCCATAGTGTCAATCTGATCACTGATCTAGATTCAAGTCTAAAAAACAAAATAAACAATACAGAAAAATTATATAAAAAAAAATATAGATTATAAAGGAAAATTTGCATATTTTGTATCAAACGAAATATATTTTTTTTTCACATTTTCAACTACAGCTTATTGTATCATATCACTAAAACGCAGGTTTACGCTTATATACTTGCTATATAAATTTGTATAATCACCGAGAAATTTTTAAAAGAAATTTCAACTTTCACTCATTCTCAGTGCAGTATGTATATGTTGAAAATTTAAGTTTGTAATACCGCATTATGACATAATCCAAGCTACTAAATAACTAATGACGTATCACTCTGATTTACAATTAATAAAATATATATTTAGTTTCTTTGCAAGATACATATAAAACCCTAGGGTTTACGTATAATAATATATCATAATCAATGTATTTTATCTTACAGGAAATTTTGAGAATCTCCTTATTCTATATTTATCATATTATATATATAGCTAAATTTTAAAATGTGATTGTAAAAAAAAATATCAATATAGTTTATTAGTTATTGTTATGATTTTACATCATTAACATTTATATAATTTATCCTATATATTTATATACTTCATAAATTTTATCAATACTTATTTAAGTTCCTATCATAAAAAGAATATTCCAATAAAATATATATATTGTAGTAGTAATAAAGAAAATAAATAACAAATAATAGATACTAATAAAAAAATATATAATATGAAAATTTGTAAATTATCTTCCTTTTCTTTCCCTTAGTTGTTTTTATCTATCAAAATGAAATTATTGAAGTAAATTGTTAAATATAATTAACAAAATTAAACACCTAGGTTGAGTTAGTGAAATCTATTGCTTCTATGGTTTCTATAGGATAAAGATGATCTTATATTAATAAGCATTTCAAGAATTTTGTGAAAATAACTAGACATGGATTACCTGAATACTCGATAGCATTTTTTGGTTTTGGAAGATTTTTATAGTCTAAAAGTCTACTCGTGTAAACTGCTTGAGGATTTGTAGTATATGAAAGAGTAGTACCATTATATGGTAATGAAGTAGAAGTAAACTTTTTATTAATTTTATCTGCTTCTTTACTTTGCTTATTGATTTCACAATCATTATGCCTATAATCGTAATATAAATCATATAATGAAACATATAATTCATTTGCTTTAGGTCGTTTTAAAGGATCAGCATCCCAACATTTTTTAATTATGTCCAAAATTAGTTGAGGGATTTTATAATCAGATTTTGGCCTAAGCCCGTTACAAATGCTAATAGCTAAGATTTTATCATGAGCAATATCATGATAAGGAGGAAGCCCTGTACAGACTTCATATGCAATAATTCCGAATCCATATATATCACTTTCTTGAGTATATTCTTTTCCTATTAAAACCTCAGGTGCTACATAAGGCAATACTCCATACATTTTTTTATATTCATCTTGAGAAGGTATTACATTTGCTGGTCTACATAATCCTAAATCAGTAATAAAAGTAAAATTATAATCACCATTTAATATATTACCACAATGAAGATCATGATGAATTAATCCTTGGCTATGAATATCTTCAAGGCCATTTGCAATCTTTTGTAAAATATCCAATTTTTTGTTCCAATTCATTGAATTAAAATTATTATTTAAAATTTGTCTTAAACTACCATTTTCTGCATATTCCATCACCATCATAAAATTTTTGGATTTTGGATCTTTAGTAATACCATAGCAGCGATTTACATAACCACTAACAGAAGATGTACCAATATGTAATTCAATCTAAAAATGAATTCATAAATAATAAATATTAGCTAGTTTAGCATTTATAAGAGAACAATATCTTAAAAATTACACATAAATAAGTAACTTACTTCTCTTAAAAATTCAGCTGTAATGTCCTGAGAATTATGCAAACATTTTAAAGCAACTGGAAAATTTTCATAATTTTTGGCCGATGACTCTTTGCTTCTCATCCATTTATTATTTCTAGAATCCCACTTTTCCATATATCCATCTTTCCAAATTGCTTTATAAATAGTTCCAAATCCTCCTTTGGCCAAATATTCAACATTTTCAAATCTATCATATTCAATCCACTCTAAAATTTCCTTGTATCTTTTAGCTTTGAGTTGTATTTTTTGAATAAACTTATCAACTTCATTATTTCCACTAGTCCAATTTTTGAAATTTTGTTGAAATTTGCATTGACACCAAACACGAGTAATTTCAGGTTGCTTACAATCTTTACACAAACCATTCTTTTTATAACGTTCTTTTAATTCTTCATTTAATATTAGCTTATCAATTAACAAACTTTGTTCATCTGTTAATTTCCAAAATTCAAAATCTTTTATTTGCTCAAATACATCATCACTGAGAATAAATTCTTCCATATTTAGATAATAAAAGTGACAACAGCTCTATGTTTAAACTAGAGTAAAAATGATTTTTTTTTAAAAAAAACAAACCACGGCATAATATAATATATTACAGTCGTACAGCAGTGATCGACAAAATCAAAAAATCAGCTGATGAACTCAAAAGAATTTCGTTAAGAAATTTCTTTTTATGATTTTGACAGAAAAAGAAAAATTTGGTAATACAGATTAGAACTCCGCAACCTGACCTGACAGATCGGGTGACCCAACGGAAATATTCGGGTCAGGTCATCAAATTCATGACCTGACTCAGGTCGGGTCAGTGTCAGCCGGGTACCTGTTGACCCGTCATACATTTTGGTCAATGCTTAGGAGAAAGAAAAATTCGCACGAATTTTTCTTAAAAAGCAATAAAAACGTTGCGAAACGTTTTTTTAATAGATAATTTAATAAAAAAACGATTCACACCGTTTTTTTATAATTAAGAGAAAAAACGTTTCGCAACGTTTTTTTATAATTGAGTGAAAAAAACGTTGCAAAAACGTTTTTTTATAATTGAGTGAAAAAAACGTTGCAAAAACGTTTTTTTATAATTGAGTGTAATAAAAAAAACGTCTCGCAACGTTTTTTTATAATGATTTTAATTAAAAAAAACGTTTCGCAACGTTTTTTCTTAAAAATTTTAACAAAGACGTTGCGAAAACGTTTTTTAATAGAAAATTTAATAAAAAAAACGTTTTCATACCTTTTTTTTGTTAATTAAATAAAAAACGGTGCGGAAACGTTTTTTTTTGATAAATTCTTTAATAAAAAAAAACGTTTCTAAACGTTTTTTTGAAAATTTATTAAAAACATTGCAAAACGTTTTTTTTTTAAATTAAACTATCTAAAAAACCGACGTTTTGCAACGTTTTTTAATAAATTTATTACGCTTTAAACCTTTCAGTTTACCCGAAGCAATCAGGTTACCCGAAGTACCCGGTCAACACCCTATAAGGAATTTTTATCCGAATATTTCCATTATTTCTCCGTGTCTTCCGTAAAAATTCCGTGAAAATGATACATTCACGGATATCCGTGTTAGCGAGATGAAAATTTCCATGATTTAAGGCTATTAATTCCATGAAAATGATACATTCACGGAAAAAACATGGAAAGATAAAACACGGATCAAATTTTTTACAGAGACAGGTCGGGTCAGGTCAGAGCAGGTTACCCGACCTGAACCGACCTGAAAAAAAATATCGGTTCGGGTTAACCAGGTAATCCGACCCGACCCGGCCCGTGCGGAGCCCTAATACAGATTTTCAAAAAAAAAAAAAAATTGCTTTAGCACCAATTATTATTTGTATATTATATAGTACATGGATTTGATAATTTATTTTACAAAATTTATGCTAATGATTCTGATTTTAAATTATTATAATTTTTTACTAGCAGCCACCCGTTGCTTCGCACCGGGATTAATGTTTTTTAATAAATATATATAACAGATAATAAATTATGTACATAAAAATATTATACTATAAATAAGTAGAGATATAAATAAAATAATCTATTGATTAAATGGATAGTGATTATTTGTTGAAATAGTTTTTTTTTATTTACAATTAAAAAATATTGGTTCATATAATAATAAAGTGATAAAAATATTTTTTTCTTTCTTGAACACTTTTATTGTAGTTTAACTTGTTATTAATAAAAGAAAATAAACAATATTAAATAAGTATTATACTAATCATTTAAAAAAAATTATCTATGTAATTTAAAAATTATATTAATTTATTAATTTTTAATTTAAACCAATTTTATTTTTACTAAATAAAAAAATATATTTATCCTAACTAAAAAATCATGCGAAACATGTTTATTCAAATAAAAAAAATCATTTATTTTGATTATATTACTTGAAAAAATAAAAAAATTTTTAGCAAAAAAATACGGTAATTAGGAAAAATAATTATTATTAAAAATAAGAATTGGAAGAAAAGGCACTGACCGTTGTAAGAGCTACGCCCGCAGTAATTTACGTTGCCCCGCAGTCTTAACAAAAATGATGATTTTATTAATAATACGAAATTACACAAATGTGTTAATACAAATCGATATAATGCTTAGTTTAATAATATTTTTAATAAGTTATTAATTCCTAAATTATAAATTAATTAAACATATTGTGCTATGATAAATTCTTCCTTATTTAGAAAATGATTTTCATAAGAATATTTTCTCTGTGTTTTTCCAAACCTCATTTCTGAAATGAAATCTTTCCTTATCATGATTTTTACCCTGGCAGCCTGGCTCACTTAACAAAAATGTTGTGCAAACTCTTGCTCCACAACTTTTACATTCTCAACTTTTACGCTGGCTTGTAAAAATGAAAAACCTTTCATTTTTGATCGCTAACCCTGTATATCCCGAACATAAATCCCTTTCCCAAATCCAAAAATAAATGTGAACACAAGAATAGTTTTACGTCGTTACGGATGTTACATTTGTAACATTACACAAAATATTATTTCTATAATTTTATATACCTAAACTAAATATAATACTGCGCCCCACACTTAATAGATTCACTAGGTAATTCCGGCATTACACCGTAACAGCGTAACGGCGTAACTCCATAGTGTCAATCTGATCACTGATCTAGATTCATATAGTTTATAAAGGAAAATTTGCATATTTTGTATCAAACGAAATATATATATTTTTTTCACATTTTCATCAACTACAGCTTATTGTATCATATCACTAAAACGTAAAAGAAATTTCAACTTTCATTCATTCTTAGTGCAGTATGTATATGTTGAAAATTTAAGTTTGTAATACCGCATTATGACATAATCCAAGCTACTAAGTAACTAATGACGTATCACTCTGATTTACAATTAATAAAATATATATTTAGTTTCTTTGCAAGATACATATAAAAGCCTAGGGTTTATGTATAATAATATATCATAATCAATGTTTTTTATCTTACAGGAAATTTTGAGAATCTCCTTATTCTATATTTATCACATTATATAGCTAAATTTTAAAATGTGATTGTAAAAAAAAATATCAATATAGTTTATTAGTTATTGTTATGATTTTACATCATTAACATTTTATTTAATTTATCCTATATATTTATATACTTCTCAATACTTATTTAAGTTCCTATCGTAAAAAGAATATTCCAATAAAATATATATACTATAGTAGTAATAAAGAAAATAAATAACAATAAATACTAATGAAGAAATATATACTATGAAAATTTGTAAATTTTCATCCTTTTCTTTCTTTTAGTTGTTTTCATCTATCAAAATGAAATTATTGAAGTGAATTGTTAAATATTATTAACAAAATTAAACATATAAAAGTTAATGTAAATTAGTACCTAGGTTGAGTTAGTGAAATCTATTGCTTCTATGGATTCTGTAAGATGAAGATGATCTTATATTAATAAGCATTTCAAGAATTTGTGAAAATAACTAATACATGAATTACCTGAATACTCAAATGAATCATTGTCTTTGCTATCAATAGCATTTTTCGGTTCTGGAAGATTTTTAAAGTCTAAAAGTCTACTCGTGTAAACTGCTTGAGGATTTGTAGTATATGAAAGAGTAGTACCATTATATGGTAATGAAGTAGAAGTAAACTTTTCATTAATTCTTTCTGCTTCCTCAACTTGTTGTTGTATTTCATGACCATCATCACTATCATAACTAGTTTCTAAATTATCCAATAAAACATGTAATTCATTTGCTTTAGGTCGTTTTAAAGGATCAGCATCCCAACATTGTTTAATTATGTCCAAAATTAGTTGAGGAATTTTATAATAAGATTTTGGACTAAGCCCATTACAAATGCTAATAGCTAAGATTTTATCATGAGCAATATCATGATAAGGAGGAAGCCCTGTACAGACTTCATATGCAATAATTCCGAATCCATATATATCACTTTCTTGAGTATATTCTTTTCCTATTAAAACCTCAGGTGCTACATAAGGCAATACTCCAAACATTTTTTTGTATTCATCTTGAGAAGGTATTACATTTGCTGGTCGACATAATCCTAAATCAGTAATAAAAGTATAATTATCAACACCATTTAATATATTACCACAATGAAAATCATGATGAATTAATCCTTGGCTATGAATATCTTTAAGACCATTTGCAATCCTTTGTAAAATATCCAATTTTCCATTCCAATACATTGAATTAAAACTATTATCTAAAATTTGTCTTAAACTGCCATTTTTTGCATATTCCATCACCATCATAAAATTATTAGATTCTGGATCTTTAGTAATTCCATAGCAGCGATTTACATAAACACCAAAAGAAGATGTAACAATATGTAATTCAATCTAAAAATGAATTCATAAATAATAAATATTAGCTAATTTAGCATTTATAAGAGAACAATATCTTAAAATTTACACATAAATAAGTAACTTACTTCTCTTAAAAATTCAGCTGTAATGTCCTGAGAATTATGCAAACATTTTAAAGCAACTGGAAAATTTTCATAATCTTTTTCAGACGACCATTTGCTTCTCATCCATTTATTATTTCCAGAATCCCACATTTCCATATATCCATCTTTCCAAATTGCTTTATAAATAGTTCCAAATCCTCCTTTGGCCAAATATTCAACATTTTCAAATCTATCATATTCAATCCACTCTAAAATATTTCTATAACTTTTACCTTCAAGTTGTGTTTTTTGAATAAACTTATCAACTTTATTATTTCCACTAGTCCAATTTTTGAAATTTTGTTGAAGATGTTTCGAATTACATGATTTACACCAAGCTTCACCAGTATTAGGCTGCTTACATTCTTTGCATAAACCATTCTTTTTATAACGTTCTTTTAATTCTTCATTTAATATTAGCTTATCAATTAACAATTCTTGCTCATCTGTTAAGTTCCAATAAGTAAAATCTTTTATTAACTCGAATACATCATCACTGAGCTTAAATCCTTCCATATTTGGATAATAAAAATGACACCAACTCTATGTTTAAGCTAGAGTAAAAAGAGTAAAAGGGAATTTTTTTTTTAAAAAAAAAACCACGGCATTATAAAACGTATTACAGTCGTACAGCAGTGATCGACAAAATCAAAAAATCAGCTGATGATCACAAAAGAATTTCGTCGAGAAATTTCTTTTTATAGATTTCCAAATTCATTTTTATTCGATTGTTCAAAGAACTTCGGGTGAAACCACATTAATAATTTTTGGATTCGGCTAATTAGATCCCTCCCTCAATAGTTCTAGAGTTTCTATAAATCACGAGATGATCGACCAATCAGATTTTCCGTAGCAACTGAGCATGGATAAAATTGCGCAGAAAAATTTATTTTTTTACATTATCGAACTTTCTGCTTTAACGTTAAGATTTCGGGCTTTTCATCCTTAGTTAGAATTTAGATTACCACTTCGTTTATGTTTCAGAAATTAGTAAATTATTATATAATTACTTATTATTTTAGGCAATGAAAAATCACGTGTAAATTCCGTTTCGGAATGCACCAAGAAAAAGTTTTAAAATGAACACTATTTTCCGATGCAACACTCTGCATACAGTCATATCATACATACATGAGTTAAAAAACACACAATGTATATTAAATTTTGCTCGAATTGTAACGCAAATCTCTATAGTTAAAGCATTATATAAGTAGCGCAGTAGATTATTAATCTTAATAAATATCGTCGAAGATTGTAAAAAATATCATTTTTCACTCGGTCAACCTTTGGGGTTTCAGAAGTGGAGAAGGTGTAGATTGGCGAGCTATTACCATTCTTGTAATTTTTGTGTTAAGCATCAATAATGTGTGCTATATTAATACAAACATTTGTTGGTACTTGGCAAAAATTAAAAGTTAAAGACGCATCAATAGTATAAAAAAGCTCACTCTAAACCCAAAGAGATTTTTAATGAATGGTCCCAATAAACTTTCCGCTGCCAATATGGTTTTTGGAACAATTAACTCAGCAACTTCTGATAAAATAATCAAAAATTAACGTCATAATTATATAATAGACAATATATTGCCCACTTTTGACCTATTAATTTCATTGAGACGAGGGTGAATACACATCCATTCAGATGAATTAACAAAAATCACGAAACATTCTTCATACCAGTTGCTTGGATTCCCATGAATAAGATTTCAGCTAAATCTTTCTTTTTTTTAAAAAATGAAGCACATCATAGAAGTTATCTATCATGTATGTCCTTCAATTCTATTTTTAATGCTGTATGATCCTCACGAAACTTCAGATCATCATGCTCTTTGAGTGATGCCAACTTCCGCAGTTACCAGTTCATACCATAATTGCGTAACTCTATAACAGCATCTAATTTTTTCGATCCTAAGTATTTACAAAATTTTAACATCTAATTGAAGAGAAAAAATCAGGTATCAGGTAGTGTACCAATAGGACCCCGGACAATTATAATTAAGGTCATATCTTCTATGCTAAAAATTTACCCTTGTCATCCTGAACTTACTTTTAAAGCTATAGATACAAAACTTTGTAATAATAATTGCCCTCCTATTTTCTATAATTTTGTTACTTAAAAAGTAATATTTAATAATAGTAATTTTTATTTTTTTGTATATTGCTATGTATACCGATAGTGAAAAAGCGTATATTTTTTTGCCAAATTTTGCCTGTGTAACGATACTTATCTCAAATTCTAATCAGTAGATTTACAAGATTTTTGGTATCAAAAGATTCTTCTCTTCAAAAGAAACATTTTTTTCTATGGTAAAAAATAATATTAACTTAATAAAATTACATGTTAAAAGAAAAATAAAGTTTAAAACATAGTAAGATATGACCTCAATTATAATTATCCGGGGTCCTGTACCAATATGTTTGGAAACGACCGCTATCATATTCCTCCAAAAGATCAGTTAAGATAGGAGATATAATTCTTAATATATGGTCTCTTTCTCATGTTGGGAGAGACAATATATTTACTTTACGTCTGTAACACTTATGACTGTAGAAAAAAATGACAGAAGTTAAGATATTTATTTTGTTCTGTATTAAGCGTATTAAGTGATTTACAAAAAAGAAATAATTTCGGCCGATAAATTGCCATCTTCGGATCCAATGTTTGATAGTTTATCTTTTAACTGTTTCAAATCATTTAAATTTCTCTATAATATAAACATTATGAATTAACATTTTTTCATACCATGGTACAAATAATAAATATAACAAATATAAGCATTATCACCAAACTGGTTTCATCAATTAAATGAATTACAGTTTCATCAATTTGATCTTTTAATAATTTTTGCCAACACGTTCTGAATAATTTCGCTTTATCTTCAGTCTTCAGAATTCGCGACCACTCAAGACTTGGCCAGTTCGTCAAATCGATTATTCTTAATTCTATTGCTCTGAATTTACAAAAAGACGTTGACAATATTTGTTACTAGATTAATAATTGCACATAATCATACATGGAAAATACTCACTGAACTTTTATATTTTTTTCGCTCTACGATCCATAACCAACTTCCATATCTCTTCCAGGTCCTTAGATGGTAAAAGCCTTTTAATCTGTAAGTAGTCATCAATAATTACTTAGAGAAACAAAGGATTGTACTCAATGAAATCAAGCAAAACTACCGTTTCATTCGCTCTTTTCTCTAATTCTATCATAGATTCATTGATGATATCCACAGTTTGTGAGTTGGCTGTACTTGTTTCGGAAGAAATAGTTGTGGATCTGCATGGGTTCGACTGTAATTGATATCAACTTCCTTTTCCATATCTTGATTCGACTGATGTATTTGATGAGGTGGAGCAGATAATGATAGTTACTAAAAATGCTCACTATCCCTATAAAAATGATTTGTGTAACAAACAGGCTAATTCTGTCTACATTTGTGTATATTCTGTGTAAAAATTCCTCAATTTGTGTGGTAGTTATGTAATTCTTAACATTATTAAAAAAGTTCGATTTAGTAAACTGTATTAAAAATGTGTAATTTGTTCAATTTGTGTAAAAAATATGTAATTTCTATGTAATTGTAAAAAATGAATGATTTAGTAAACTGTGTTAAAAATGTGTAATTTGTTCAACTTGTGTAAAAAATATGTAATTTCTATGTAATTGTAAAAAATGAGTTATATTACGTTATAATAGTATTAGATTTAGTAAACTGTGTTAAAAATGTGTAATTTGTTCAACTTGTATAAAAAATATGTAATTTTTATATAAAAACTGAGTTATATTATTACATAATTGTATTATTTGCTTCTTTATCAACTATATAATATTTATTATCAACTTTAATAAATCCAACACATCGTTCAACTGCAATAACATCTATAAAATCATAACCTGCAAATTTAGTAAAATATTTTAAACCAACTGAATCTGTTGATACTGATGCAGTCCAATTGATATAAGCGAGCATAGATTTCTCATTATTGAACTCATACATAAGGTAATATTCTATATTACCATAAAAAGGCCTTTTTTCAAATACAGGTGTACGTCTTTGATTATTTGAATATATGTCAACTTCCAAGTAAACCTAAAAAATAAAATAGTTAAATATTAATCATCATTTATAACAACAATTTTTGAGTAATTACTTACCAATACTGAGTAGTTAACACGTGCCCAAGTTTCATTTCGTCGTATCCAATTTGATCCTATATAGTAACCATTTCTTGTATATATATGTAATATATATAAATTAATATCATACTTTCTAATTCCTGCAATTCCGAAACAATAGGAGCAAGAAAAGAATTGAAATCTTTTGGTTCTTTAGGACCTGGTATAATTGCACCCATTAAAAAGTTGTCTTTTTTAACTCGAATTTCTGGAGCAAGGTTTGCATTAATAAATAACAAAATCCAGCAATCATCTGACTTTTGTCTAAATATTTGATAACCATCAACTGAAGCTAATAATGCTACATCACGTTCATCCTGAAAATGTCCATTTTGTACCAGTTCTTTATAATGATCTCCATCAAAAACATCACCTATTTGAATATTACATTTATATAATTTTTGTGAAGTATAATTGGTTCTATAACGTAATTCTTTAGCACGATCATAATTTCTATATTGAATAGTAAGGCGTTCAATAAGTGAAAAATATGAATATTGTTTACATGGTTTTTTATGTTGAAATCGTTCAGATCCACATACTGGACATTTGGTTAATTTCCTATAACTTTCTGTATAAGCACAGCATGAATTAAGACACATATCTATCCAAATAGGTTCAATATGAACAATAGATTTCAATTGCTTTTTAACTGTATGTAAACTGATCGGATTACTATTAAATGCCATCATAGTTTCTTGAAATGCTTCATCTGTTAAATTGTGCTCAATTTTGACTTTCAGAAATCTTAGTGCTGATAATAAACTTTCAGAAATATCATATTCTATCCATAAATAAATAAATTAATTTAATAGATAATAAAGTTTTATTACATGTTAAAATAAGTTGATAATATACCTTGTTGTAAAATATCAGTCACTGAACTTGAATCACTTGTAACTTCATCATAAGACATCATACTACTTGAACTGCTTAATAATTCATCAGATGAATTTTCAAAAGAATTATCCAAATCATAAATTACATGATCATTTTCTGAAGTAGTACCACTAAAATGATAAAAATTTTATTTAATAAAGTAAATAAATTGCAGTTATAATAATTATATAACTTAAAAAACCTTAAAGAATCTTCTATTGGTATTTGTATTTCTGTACTATTATCAGTATTATATTCATTATCTTCTAGTATTGACATTTGTGTTTCTGTACTACTACTAGTATTGGCATCATCACTTGTTAATTCTGAATTAAGTGGCTTTGAATATTGATACCGATTTGCACGTTCAGTTTTCATATGTCTAGAACGAGTGTTTCTACTGACCCAAGCACCACCATAACCATTTTCAGCACATAAAGAACATCGACAATAAACTTGATTTGTATGATTATCAGATATCTCCATAATAATACTACTTTTTTTTGGACTATTTATTCAAATTATTAATTATTAAAATTGTAACTTATAAAAAAGGTTTATATAAGATATTAAAGAATTGTAAATTTAAAGTTACATTGAAAAAAAAATTTATATGATTAATATTTTTTTTAATTAAGTATTTCATATATTAGAATTTGTTTGAACTTGATGTGATTTTATAATTATATAATAATTCATATACTATACTAAATTTGTCAAACAAACTATAAAATAGCTTATACTTTATACTATACTAAATTTGTCAAACAATATATTTACGAAAGTATAATATTAACTATAAAATAGCTTATACTTTATACTATATTAAATTTGTCAAACAATATATTTACGAAAATATATTTATTTTTCTTTCAAAATCTCTTAACAACTGAAATAAATACTTTTATTTTTTTTATTTTTAAAATATGGGAAAATACAAAAAACCTGCTATACGAAATAAAAAGAAACTTGTTGATGAAATAAGTGATCCTGAAATGGCTTATATGAAACGTCAACTAGAAATATTAAAAGCTGATAATGAACGGTTGCGAAAAGAACGACTTAAAAATGACCAAAACTCCAGTAAAACTTTAGCTTTAACTGTAGCAAGCATTGGTAAAAATTCTAAAGCTAAACATATTAATAACCATAAAAAATCAAATAAGGAGATTAGTGACTCTGAAACTAATATTTCAAATAATCAAAAAGTATACAAATATAACAAAACACGTAAAATTATTAATGTTTCAGAAAATTCTGAGACAGATGAGTTGACTTATAAGCAAGTATTAAAGAAGCGCAAACATCGCAAAAACAAACAAGCAAATAAAGTAACAACTATATCTAGTGATTCTGAAACAAATAATGAACAAATATTATTAAAAAAATATAAAAAGAAAATAAATGATAATGAAAGTGATATTGAAGATATGTCAATTTCTCAAGTAAGGGTTTTTTTTTTATTTAATAATTGCAAATATTAAACTAAACATTTTTTTTAAAGAAAACGAAGACACCAATTGCAAAACCAACTAACTTGAAATGGTATGATCTGCCAAAGCTATTGTCACTTGATAATAAAGTTTATGCATCGTATAGAGTAAGTTTAAGATATTATTTAATTATATCCAAATATTCTATGATGCATTGTTATAATATTATCATTATTATTTGAGAGTGCTATGCGTGAATTTATAGCAGAAAAATGGAATGGAAATACTCCAGAATATCGCAAGATAAGTATGACTAAAAAACGCTATTTGGTTGAAAAGGTATATCAGTTTAATGATATTATAATTGACATAACAATAACAATTAAGTAATAACAAATTATTTTAGCACAAATCAAATAATCCAGATTTTCCATTATCAATTGGTGATTGGGCTATTCAAATGATGATGCGTCGTGCTATTAATCAACAGCGTATGTTGATTAAACATAATTTTTTAAAGTTTATTACTTATTTATTTTATATTTTTAGGTAAAGTAGAAAGAAAAGTTACAAAGAATGTTAAGCATTCTCGTGTTATGAAAAGTAAAGTGATGGTAGCTAAGACTAATAAATCTAATAAAATTCATGGTATGTATATAATATATATTATTTGATTATTATTTATTAATTTATATATTAAATCTCCATTTAATTAAGATTCAGTATCAGAAGATGCCGATGCTACCAATGATGAAGATGCCAATAATAACAGTGATAATACTAATGATGATGATGTTGTTGACAATGATGAAGATGCCAATACTAATAATGATGAAGATGCCAATACTAATAATGATGAAGATGCCAATACTAACAATGATGAAGATTCTGATACTAATAATGATGAAGATGCCGATACTAATAATGATGAGGATGCCGATACTAATAATGATGAAGATGCCGATACTAATAATGATGAAGATGCAGATACTAATAATGATGAAGATGCAGATACTAATAATGATGAAGATGCCAATATTAACAATGGTGAAGATGCTGGTAATGTTGAAGACACTGATACTACTAATTATGAAGATGCAAATAGTGTAAACGATAATAAAAATACTAATTCAAATACTAATAACAATAAATATAAAGGTAAGGTTTTATAATTTTATATTTTAAAAGTATGATTGCCGACCTGAATTAATTTTCTCCATTAAAAAAATAAAAAGACGATTCAAGATCCATTAATAAAAAATTGGATACCAAAAAGTCTAGAAGAATTTTAAAAATGCGGTATGTAAAAGATTATATAATAGTAAATTTTATAGAAATTTTATTAACTAATAATAATTTTATAGACAAGATATAGTTAATTCTAATAATTCCGAAATTCAAAAAAGTAAATATGGACGAAAGGTTAATAATAGCAAAAGGAGTATGCAAGAAGCAGATCAAGGCGAGGATACGCAAGAAAATCAAAAATCTAATAGACGATCTAAAAGAATAGCCAACAAGTTAGCTAATAGTAATACTTAATAAAAATACAGATTCAATATAAAATTGATATAATTATCACACATTTCATTATGTATAATAATAGTATAAATACAACGCAGATTTAATATAAAAATAACATAATTATTGCACATTTTATTATATATAATAATAACATAAATATAACACAGATTTAATACAAAATTAACATAATTATTCTGCATTTTTTATTAACACAAATTGGTGCATTTTCAGACATTTATAAGACAAAATATTATACATAATTTTGATACAAATTTAACACATTTTTTTTTTATAGGGTATAAAATTCAAGACGACATTTATATAACAAAAATTTATTATTATATTCTTATTCTAACCTTTGGAAATGATTTTCGCTTTTGTCCAATAGATACAGTGGATTGGAAAATATCTTCGTCAGGATTATTGTCACTTATGCCCAGTGATTTTATGAGGAGGTATTTGAGTTCCATTTGCATAATAACAGGAACAGCCAAAAGTTATTGATTAAATGTCTGAATAACACCAAAAATCATTCTTATCATCTTTCGTATCATTCCTATCTAATAAGCTGGGGTTGAGAGGTTCTTCACTATCTTTATTATCGGCCTTACTTGGTAAATCACTTGTTTCCAAATCATCGTATATGCGATCTTCAGTTGTGATTCCTAAAAAAAAAAGAACGCAACTATTCGGTCTCAATTGAATATCGTGATAACTAAACAATCTACTTATGATGTGAAGGCAATACCTCATCCTTCTGATGTCAGTTCTGATGTGATTTCCGATTGTCCAGATTAACTTGCTTTATTGACCTCACTACTCCAATCCTATGAAAGAATGAGATCAATACCACAATTGGGTATATAAGAATGACAAACACTAATTATATCTTACAGCATAAACATCAGATTTCTGGTTCATTCGATCATTTATTCTTACGTTTTGAAAATCTTCTCGTGTATCATCTGTTATATTTACCCTTTTCTAAAATAAAGAAACTATGTTAATAAAGAATGACTCATGTGTTTCCCAATTATGCAGTGAATTTCGTACTACTTACTTTTGCCCGAGAACTTCTTATATCTAGTAATGAATCCCTAATAGTTTTCAACTATTTTACTTGCTGATAAGATCATTTGGAAGCAAGTTTGTTAGATGGTAATGGAAGAAAACTATGACCGAACATAAATAACTCATACATTCTTTTGCTACGAACATGATTAACGATATCATAATTGATATTTTTGATTGTAATAATGTCAATAAGATTTTGGTTATAAATATCTAATACTTCTTGAGATGTCGTATCAGGTTTCTCATTATGATATATAAAATTTGTAAAAAGTTCAAAACGATTCCATCTCATTAAGAGTGTCTTAGAGAGAAAAATTGGTTAATTCTTGAAATTGGCTGGCAAAGGTTTGGATCAAGCGTGAAATTGACTGTTTTGTCCATCTATTGTTGCAAAAAAAGAGGTCTCTTGTTAATTAACAGTACTAATGGACATATATACCAATATTCTTTTGTAGCCTTCATCCAGGTACAAGCTATTCAGTCGCAATCACGCGGTTGGACGCATGTATGCATGACACTTCGAAGCAATCCCTAATATATAACTATAGCTAGTCCTTTTCGTGTTAACGCATAGTAGACCTCCTCGACACAGACCAATACTCTCCCAGAAATAAACTCTTTCCACTAAACTCCTCTCCTACACGTATGTTGAATACGGAGGATTTGCAAGTAATTCCTGGGGCGTAGTATCCCAGCATCCTTTCTGTCTAATTAAGTAATCCACCCAAACTTCCGAGCGGGCTTAATGATCCCCATGCAGCAAAAAGAGGCGTGTGTATGTGAAAACAGACTAATACCAATATTGGCGAATACTTAACTTTAAATGGAACGAAGTTTATTTTCTTTTCAGTTTTTTTTTGCGAATTGGGTATTTTCTTTTTAGACCGGATTACTAAATATGATATCAATTTGACGTATTTCGTAACCTTATCTTGATATTAGACATAACAATTGATCAATCGATCATGTGTAAATTCAGTGTTGAAGGTCAAATATACGTAGGGGCACAATCCATTTTATAGGATATTATAAAATTTTCTGTAACTAAAAGTTACTTTAATTCCCATGATATAAACTATTTTTTTTTTATCTCGATCTCGTAATTATCATATTTTTCTTATATAATTAATTACTCTTGATCCGTTTCAAATATCAGAGTCATTAATATTTATCATCATTTTATGTTTCACCAAATAAAAGAAAATTATATATATTTTTTTTATTTACTATACTGTATATCTGAATTGAATCAAATCATTTTATCTATAAAAACTTTAGGAGATAATTGAGATATAAAAATAATAATTAAACAATAGTCTAAAATATTAATTTCTGAAAAATCTGAAAAATGTAAGATCATTTATTTATGATATTTCAATTCCGAATGTAATTTCAGATAAATTACACGTGAATTAACTGTATTATAATTTATATTAATATGAAACCGAATAACAAAGTTAAGATTTATATTTATGGAATTAATAATTTGAAATATTTAGGGCCTTTAAAAGCTTTAAATTTTTACATTTAAGTCTTGAAATCCATATAAAGAAAATTTTAATGCTATCATTAACATTATAGTTAATTTTGAACACTTATTTTTTTGATGCAATTAATATGACAAAATTTCCATTTGATTGATATTGCACATAATGCAAGATTTTATTTTTTATTACACGAGTGATATAACTTATTTAATCCTATGAACACATTAGAATGGATAAAGTAATATGAGATAGTAAGTGTACCAATGAAATAATCAAAGGATATAACATCCATGGAATATTCAAGTATTATTTAACAATTTTTGTTATTCGAATTTTATTTTTATCAATGGTAACAGGTAAATTTATAACGAATTTCTTTTGTTTGTATACTTTTTTTTTTTAGATGAAAATAATAACGGTAACAAAATTTTATTTCGGTAGTTTTTATATTGGCCGTTGTACTGAACTAGAGAATTTTGTTAAGGAGAAATAGGGAATTTTAGTAATATGTTAAGCTTTTAGTTGTTCTTATATCTAAAATAATTATATTTTTATTTTTTTTCCGTCTATACACTTCTGAATATTACATTATCTAAAGATTTTCAAGTCATTTTTATAATTGAAGTTGTCATTCAACAATCATTTTATTTTAAATTAAACCGAAACCGCGAAATTATTTATTAATACGATGTTCTGTAAAATACTCAAAACGTGACATTTATCATGTGAAAATAAAGTCTGTGATACATCGTCTATTATAAATATATTTCGGATTATCATGTATTTGACCCGATCAGATCATCAGAATGAAACCCCTAAAATACGATTTATGACCAAATTCATTGTCAATGTCCATAAAAATTATTCTATGAATTACAATATCCTTTTGGTCACGTTATGGTTGTACCAAGAATCATTTACAGTATCGGCTAGTCGTTCCAAATACGTATTCGCTCCATAATGCTTTATATATTAAGCAACAGGGCGGACATACCCTATATCACATGTTGATCATTTGCCGATCATAATAAATGTGATATCACATTAACTTTGAAGCCTTATCTCAAGCCATAAATGTTCTAAAAATTATATTTAACTGTTTTGTTTAATAATTTAGGTTATCAATAATTAAATATAAAAGTATTGTAGCAAAATAAAATGTGGTTCCAAATTTAGCCTTAGGTTGAAATTTTCAATAATTCACATATATGCTGATCATCTGCTAATTTGACTTTGAAGCTTCGGGCCAAGCCACAGAACTTCGGGCCAAACTTGAAACTTTCACAGTATGCTATTTAGGTATTCAAGAATTTGTGGTTAAAATAAACCTGAATAATTTTTGATAACCCGAAAGTTATCATTAAATAAATGTTTACAATTATTGTAAAATTAATATATGTCTGATATTTGACAAAATCTTTATGAATTATTTTAAGAACTAATTTATTAACAATAAATAAAATAAAATAAATAAAATCAAAATTTTATACATTATTATGTAGAATTTGTGAAAAAAATAATTCAACGGTATTTTTTAATGTGATAATATTGAACAAGTGATCGGCAAAATGATCGGCAATATCGTGATAATATGGGGATGTCCGCCCTGTTATATTAAGCGTTGTCTATCAAATAAATTTCTCGATCACATGATTATATAAGTGCAAACCTTCTGTACAGTCGCGTCGGAAAGTATCGCCCGATTCACTATTACATAGTAAATTACATATAAAAAATGAATACTGAGTTTTAAGATTAAAACAGCTCTTGCAATTTAACCTTCCCAAGGTTCAAATATTGTTATTTTAAAGAATATTATATTGGCTTTATAGTGATATAAAATTTAGAAATAATTAATAAAAGAAATATAAATATATATGCAACTCATTTTTATATATAAATTTTATTTTTCGGATCTAAAACATATAAAAAAAAACTTTTTTACCTTATAAATAAAATAGCTCTTGCATTTTAACTTTCCCAAAATCCAAACATCAATATTTTAAAGAATATGATATTGGCTTTAAAATGATATAAAATTTAGAAATGGTTATTAAAAGAAAGTTGAATATGTATATAGCCTTCTGAAATTTTCAATTTTTTATATGTTTTACTATAAAATTTGAATCGGGCGATACTTTCCGACGCGACTGTACATGTATTTGTCATTAGACTCATTTATTCATGTTATTTGCATATGACTTATGGCATTAGATAATTTATTTTTAAAATTTATTGGAAATCGACCTATATTCTAATTAAAAAGTATATTTTATAAACTTATGGTGATAAAATATAAGTAGAATAACAATTTTATTTATAATAAAATATGAAATATATATATTATGCGTTTAATGATAAGAGACAAATGAAGACAAATTATCATATAGTCATAAAAATAAATAAAATAATTTAATTATTTTCGTACAAAAATAAGAATTTCGCAAATAATTATAATATATTAAAATGTGATTTTATGAAATCATAAATCAGAACTACCAATCTATCATAATCAATCAGCATTTTTTGGTTCGGATAAATTGTCAAAATTTAATAATCTACTTGTATAAATAGCTTGAGGATGTATTGTATATGTAAAATTTTCAGATTTTGCAAAAGATGGAAGTTTTTCATTAAATACATCTGCTTCATTAATTTGTTTACAAATTTCACTGTCTTTTTTATAATAGACTAAATCATACCATTGATCAAATATTTCTTTCAAATATTTTGTAGTTGGTCTTTTTAATGAATCTGCGTCTACACATTGTTTAGTTATATCTTCTATTAATTGAGGTACTTTTATATTAAATCCTGGTCTTTGTCCCTGACAGATTTTTATTGCTAATGACTCATCATGAGCAATATCATGGTAGGGAGGTAATATATTAAATACTTCATATATAATAATCCCAAAGCTATAAACGTTACTTGCTTGGATATATTTTTTTTCTCTTAAAACTTCGGGGGCTACATATGGTAATACTCCATAGATCTCGTAATTCTCTGATTTGTTATTTGCTGGTTTACATAATCCTAAATCAGTAATATTTGTAGTGGAATCACGTAAACTGTTTAATATATTCCCACTATGAAAATCTTGATGAATTAATTCCTCTTCATGAATCTCATTAAGACCAAACGCAATATCTCTTAACATGCCAATTTTCTCCCTCCAACTAAAGGAATCGAAATATTTACTTAATCTTTGTCTTAAATTACCATCAGTTGCATGTTCCAATACCATCATAAAATTATTTGTTTTAGGATCTTTAGTAATACCATAAACTTTAATAATACATTCTGAATTATTCATTCTGAGGTGTGTTTTAATCTATTATATAATAAACAATTAGTAAAACATATTATATTTATAAGTTAATTAATAAAATATTTACCTCGTCTAAAAATTCTAATGTTGAATTATTTAAACATTTTAAAGCAAAAATCGTATTTCTTTCATCTCTATTCCATTTACTTGTTACATGATTCCAACTATATATCCATCCATCTTTCCAAATTGCTTTATATATCATTCCAAAACCACCTTTAGCAACATATTCAATATTTTCAAGTCTATCATTTTCAATCCATTCCAATTTTTTCCAATTATTTTGTGCATTAATTTGAGATTCTTGAATTAATTTATCAATATTAGAATTTTCACTTGTCCAATTTTTAAAATTTTGTTGAAATCGTTTAGCATTACATGAATGACACCAAATATTACCCGTATTAGGCTGTTTACATTCATCACATAAACCATACTTTTTATAACATTCTTTTAATTCTTCTTTTAATATTAATTTATTAATTATTAATTCTTGTTCTTCGGTTAATATCCGAAAATTAAAATCTTTTATTTGTTTAAATATATTGTCACTGATATAATTTTGTTCCATGGGGATTATGGGGTGTTTAATAAATTATATATAACAAAGATTCTTTAACTTTTAAAATAGGCTGAAATGCAAGAAATAAAATGGATTAAAAATTTAAGCCGACAAAAAAAATAAATTTTTTTTTTTTGTGCATCATTTTACAAAGTATTGTGTAACTCAAATCACGAGTTATATAAAGGATCTACATTTTCGCAACTACGTTAAATCATCTACATCAATTATATAAAAAACTTTTGAAACTTGAAAGACTGAAATGAAATATAAAAGTTTATTTTAAAATTAAGGTCTGAATCGAAAAGAGGATAAAAATTTGATGTAGACCATATCATGTAATAGAAATAGCACAAACCATTCGTCATCAAGTGGTAAGTATTCTATCTGTTACGTACAAATTCTTTCTCATTCTAATATATATATATATATATTCACACTACTTTATTATGATGTCAAAAATTATGGATGCAGGTTTTAAGAGCGAAAAATATTATATTTTGATATCATTTATTGAAACCCTACAATATACTCTTTTTCGGAAATCACATGCTTTAAAATAATAAGACAATTGTAAAATAAAAAAAAAAATTTCTTAAAATTTATAGTATTATTATTAAAATTTATGATACGTGCTAGTTTGAATGTTATTACTTATTCTAAATTCATCACAAGAAGCTTGACTATCGTAACAAATTAATTCATTGCAAGACTCTTGACTAAAAATTTAATTTTTATTGGACGAATTTACAAAATATTTGTTAATCAAATAAGTTAGGTTCTTTAATTTATTTAAACGCAAATTATGTTTCTTAAAAATGAACGATAATTATTATAAACTGAGCGTGTAAAAATCAATAGTTTGATACACAATTTTTTTATATAAAGAATATTTAACTTTTGTGAAAAATCCTAAGTCTATGATTAACTAGTTTACAATTACCACCTGGACTTCAAAGAAGCGATTATGCTAGTTTTAATACGTTTTCCTACTTTAAATATTTTAAATTTGATTAAAAAAGAAATATTAACGTAAACAAAAGAAAAAAAAATAAACATCGTCAAGCCAAATAAATATTTACCACTATCGCTTTGGGTTTCAGGATTTAATTCCTTATTGTTTCGCTTTTTTAACGAGATTGAAGAATTTTGAATTGTTATGTTTTGTGATAATAAACTAAATCACAAATTAATATCAATTAATTAGTACACAATATAATACATTAAAAATCTAGCTTTAAATACCTTTTAATGTCTATATCAAGCTCTTTTTCTTTCGAAATATAATTATAATTATAATCTAAAGTAAATAACATAAATTTTTAAAGATTATTGTATATATTTAATATTTTAATCACAGTTAATTTTTTTTAGTAATACCTTGCTTATTACCAAATGAAATTGTTGAATATGAATTTGTGGATAATTTAGAAATTAAAGCACTTAGTGGCCTACTTGTATAAATTGCCTCCGAGTGCCATTTTTCGGCAAATTCAGGACCAATCTTCTTTGATTCTATCAGTTTCTTTCTTATTGCTTCGGCTTGATTATAATCTATATTATCTCTAAGGTAAAAACTATCAAAACTATACTGAATGTAGCTCATAGATGGTCTTTTTTTTGGATCAGGATCCCAACAACTTTTCATTAAACTAACATAGTATTCCGGTGTATCTTTTGTAATCTTGGGTCGTTCTCCATCAAGAATTTTATAAATAAGATGAATATCATGTTCAACATTAGCAAAAGGTTTACAACCTGTTGTAAGTTCCCACATAATCATACCGAAACTATAGATATCAGCCTCTTTAGAAAACGCAGCCCCTTTAAATATCTCTGGTGCAATGTAAGGTATAACTCCATATATTTCATTGTTTAATGATTTACTACTTTCAGACTGCGATAATCCCAGATCCCCAATTTTCCATTGAAATACATCTAATAATATATTTCCGCTNGTAAAATTAATATATGTCTGATATTTGACAAAATCTTTATGAATTATTTTAAGAACTAATTTATTAACAATAAATAAAATAAAATAAATAAAATCGAAATTTTATACATTATTATGTAGAATTTGTGAAAAAAATAATTCAACGGTATTTTTTAATGTGATAATATTGAACAAGTGATCGGCAAAATGATCGGCAATATCGTGATAATATGGGGATGTCCGCCCTGTTATATTAAGCGTTGTCTATCAAATAAATTTCTCGATCACATGATTATATAAGTGCAAACCTTCTGTACAGTCGCGTCGGAAAGTATCGCCCGATTCACTATTACATAGTAAATTACATATAAAAAATGAATACTGAGTTTTAAGATTAAAACAGCTCTTGCAATTTAACCTTCCCAAGGTTCAAATATTGTTATTTTAAAGAATATTATATTGGCTTTATAGTGATATAAAATTTAGAAATAATTAATAAAAGAAATATAAATATATATGCAACTCATTTTTATATATAAATTTTATTTTTCGGATCTAAAACATATAAAAAAAAACTTTTTTACCTTATAAATAAAATAGCTCTTGCATTTTAACTTTCCCAAAATCCAAACATCAATATTTTAAAGAATATGATATTGGCTTTAAAATGATATAAAATTTAGAAATGGTTATTAAAAGAAAGTTGAATATGTATATAGCCTTCTGAAATTTTCAATTTTTTATATGTTTTACTATAAAATTTGAATCGGGCGATACTTTCCGACGCGACTGTACATGTATTTGTCATTAGACTCATTTATTCATGTTATTTGCATATGACTTATGGCATTAGATAATTTATTTTTAAAATTTATTGGAAATCGACCTATATTCTAATTAAAAAGTATATTTTATAAACTTATGGTGATAAAATATAAGTAGAATAACAATTTTATTTATAATAAAATATGAAATATATATATTATGCGTTTAATGATAAGAGACAAATGAAGACAAATTATCATATAGTCATAAAAATAAATAAAATAATTTAATTATTTTCGTACAAAAATAAGAATTTCGCAAATAATTATAATATATTAAAATGTGATTTTATGAAATCATAAATCAGAACTACCAATCTATCATAATCAATCAGCATTTTTTGGTTCGGATAAATTGTCAAAATTTAATAATCTACTTGTATAAATAGCTTGAGGATGTATTGTATATGTAAAATTTTCAGATTTTGCAAAAGATGGAAGTTTTTCATTAAATACATCTGCTTCATTAATTTGTTTACAAATTTCACTGTCTTTTTTATAATAGACTAAATCATACCATTGATCAAATATTTCTTTCAAATATTTTGTAGTTGGTCTTTTTAATGAATCTGCGTCTACACATTGTTTAGTTATATCTTCTATTAATTGAGGTACTTTTATATTAAATCCTGGTCTTTGTCCCTGACAGATTTTTATTGCTAATGACTCATCATGAGCAATATCATGGTAGGGAGGTAATATATTAAATACTTCATATATAATAATCCCAAAGCTATAAACGTTACTTGCTTGGATATATTTTTTTTCTCTTAAAACTTCGGGGGCTACATATGGTAATACTCCATAGATCTCGTAATTCTCTGATTTGTTATTTGCTGGTTTACATAATCCTAAATCAGTAATATTTGTAGTGGAATCACGTAAACTGTTTAATATATTCCCACTATGAAAATCTTGATGAATTAATTCCTCTTCATGAATCTCATTAAGACCAAACGCAATATCTCTTAACATGCCAATTTTCTCCCTCCAACTAAAGGAATCGAAATATTTACTTAATCTTTGTCTTAAATTACCATCAGTTGCATGTTCCAATACCATCATAAAATTATTTGTTTTAGGATCTTTAGTAATACCATAAACTTTAATAATACATTCTGAATTATTCATTCTGAGGTGTGTTTTAATCTATTATATAATAAACAATTAGTAAAACATATTATATTTATAAGTTAATTAATAAAATATTTACCTCGTCTAAAAATTCTAATGTTGAATTATTTAAACATTTTAAAGCAAAAATCGTATTTCTTTCATCTCTATTCCATTTACTTGTTACATGATTCCAACTATATATCCATCCATCTTTCCAAATTGCTTTATATATCATTCCAAAACCACCTTTAGCAACATATTCAATATTTTCAAGTCTATCATTTTCAATCCATTCCAATTTTTTCCAATTATTTTGTGCATTAATTTGAGATTCTTGAATTAATTTATCAATATTAGAATTTTCACTTGTCCAATTTTTAAAATTTTGTTGAAATCGTTTAGCATTACATGAATGACACCAAATATTACCCGTATTAGGCTGTTTACATTCATCACATAAACCATACTTTTTATAACATTCTTTTAATTCTTCTTTTAATATTAATTTATTAATTATTAATTCTTGTTCTTCGGTTAATATCCGAAAATTAAAATCTTTTATTTGTTTAAATATATTGTCACTGATATAATTTTGTTCCATGGGGATTATGGGGTGTTTAATAAATTATATATAACAAAGATTCTTTAACTTTTAAAATAGGCTGAAATGCAAGAAATAAAATGGATTAAAAATTTAAGCCGACAAAAAAAATAAATTTTTTTTTTTTGTGCATCATTTTACAAAGTATTGTGTAACTCAAATCACGAGTTATATAAAGGATCTACATTTTCGCAACTACGTTAAATCATCTACATCAATTATATAAAAAACTTTTGAAACTTGAAAGACTGAAATGAAATATAAAAGTTTATTTTAAAATTAAGGTCTGAATCGAAAAGAGGATAAAAATTTGATGTAGACCATATCATGTAATAGAAATAGCACAAACCATTCGTCATCAAGTGGTAAGTATTCTATCTGTTACGTACAAATTCTTTCTCATTCTAATATATATATATATATATTCACACTACTTTATTATGATGTCAAAAATTATGGATGCAGGTTTTAAGAGCGAAAAATATTATATTTTGATATCATTTATTGAAACCCTACAATATACTCTTTTTCGGAAATCACATGCTTTAAAATAATAAGACAATTGTAAAATAAAAAAAAAAATTTCTTAAAATTTATAGTATTATTATTAAAATTTATGATACGTGCTAGTTTGAATGTTATTACTTATTCTAAATTCATCACAAGAAGCTTGACTATCGTAACAAATTAATTCATTGCAAGACTCTTGACTAAAAATTTAATTTTTATTGGACGAATTTACAAAATATTTGTTAATCAAATAAGTTAGGTTCTTTAATTTATTTAAACGCAAATTATGTTTCTTAAAAATGAACGATAATTATTATAAACTGAGCGTGTAAAAATCAATAGTTTGATACACAATTTTTTTATATAAAGAATATTTAACTTTTGTGAAAAATCCTAAGTCTATGATTAACTAGTTTACAATTACCACCTGGACTTCAAAGAAGCGATTATGCTAGTTTTAATACGTTTTCCTACTTTAAATATTTTAAATTTGATTAAAAAAGAAATATTAACGTAAACAAAAGAAAAAAAAATAAACATCGTCAAGCCAAATAAATATTTACCACTATCGCTTTGGGTTTCAGGATTTAATTCCTTATTGTTTCGCTTTTTTAACGAGATTGAAGAATTTTGAATTGTTATGTTTTGTGATAATAAACTAAATCACAAATTAATATCAATTAATTAGTACACAATATAATACATTAAAAATCTAGCTTTAAATACCTTTTAATGTCTATATCAAGCTCTTTTTCTTTCGAAATATAATTATAATTATAATCTAAAGTAAATAACATAAATTTTTAAAGATTATTGTATATATTTAATATTTTAATCACAGTTAATTTTTTTTAGTAATACCTTGCTTATTACCAAATGAAATTGTTGAATATGAATTTGTGGATAATTTAGAAATTAAAGCACTTAGTGGCCTACTTGTATAAATTGCCTCCGAGTGCCATTTTTCGGCAAATTCAGGACCAATCTTCTTTGATTCTATCAGTTTCTTTCTTATTGCTTCGGCTTGATTATAATCTATATTATCTCTAAGGTAAAAACTATCAAAACTATACTGAATGTAGCTCATAGATGGTCTTTTTTTTGGATCAGGATCCCAACAACTTTTCATTAAACTAACATAGTATTCCGGTGTATCTTTTGTAATCTTGGGTCGTTCTCCATCAAGAATTTTATAAATAAGATGAATATCATGTTCAACATTAGCAAAAGGTTTACAACCTGTTGTAAGTTCCCACATAATCATACCAAAACTATAAATATCAGACTCTTTAGAAAATGCAGATCCTTTAAATATTTCTGGTGCAATATAAGGTATAACTCCATATATATCATTATTTGATGATTTATTATTTACGGCAGATTGTGATAATCCTAGATCCCCAATTTTCCAATTATCATATACATCTAATAATATATTTCCACTATGAAAATCTCGATGTATAAAATTATTTCCATGAATATATCGAAGTCTAAATAAAAAAAAATTAATAAATTAAATTTAAGAATATAATGAACACATTTAAAATATAAATACCCCATTGAAATTTTCTGTAAAATCCTTAGCTTTTCATACCACGTAATAATTGTAAAATTCTTTTGTAAATACTTATATAAATCTCCTTTTGACGCATAACTCATTACTAATATATAATCCTTTAATTCAGGATCTTTTGTATAGCCAAAAACTTCAATTATATATATAGATTGCGAAAAATATTGATTTGATTTTAACTATTAAAGTTAAAAATTTAATTAAGGTTAAAGATTAAATTATTTATTTAGTAAAAGTCACTCACGAAAATATTTAAATATATTCACCTCATTTAAGAAATATTCATTATTATTATTAGAATTTTCAATTCTTTTTAAAATGACAGTTTCATTATTACTTAACAAAGTTGCTTTATATATAATACCGTATCCTCCTTTTGTCATTTCTTTTACATCTGTAAATTGAGAATATGATATCCACCTAATTGGTTTTACCCTATTATATTTTTTAAACATAGAATATATTAGAATTACTGGATCAAAATATTTTTCAGTGGTTTTTACAATATTTGCAATATTATCAAAATATAAGCCTCCATGTATGGTCTCATTAAAAAGGATATCTCTATATTCAATGACGTCTATAATAAATGATATTCTTTTACATTTTTTACATTGAGATTGGCCTGTAGGCCCAAAAATAATGTTTGTTGTTAAACAATATCTGCATCCAGTATAAAAAATGAGACAATATCTACAATGCTTTTGACAATCTGATGTAAATATTAATAATGAATAACATAAGTCACAACTCAAAGTATTATGCCACCATGGTAAGTAAAGAATTAAAATTTGCTTTTTAACTAATGTTGATTCTACCCATTCAAATGAAATTAAATAACAATCAGAGCATAATTTAAATTGCTTTATAATATATTTATCCGCCGTTTCTTGAAATAATGACTTCCCACATAATTTACAATGTTTTTCCCTTTCAGTTACCTTATTGTATATGTCAAGAATATCGTTATCAAGATAACATTTATCAAAATATCCTTCTATTTGTTTAAAAAATGAAATCCTCAAACAATTTCCACAGAATTCTTTATTACTTTGTGGTACTTTTATCTTATTTATCTCATGTCCATTACATTCAGAGTCTATTGTGTAATAATATATCTCAAAATATATATTATCATCAATTATATCATTAATATAACGCGATAAACATTTTTTGCAATATTTTTGCCGAGAACAAAGAAGCGTCTCGATATATTTTTCTCCACAATAAACACAACTATGCTGACAACCAAAAGAAATAAATTGAATTGGTATCGGACTAGATTTTAATCTTGGTGTTGGGTCAAAAAAATTTTCATCATTTGTATTTACAAGTTCCATATTAATATGTATAACAATAAAGGATTTGAAAATTTCGAACGTATTTTATTTATATTTATTTATATTTTTATTGTATCTGAATGATACAGTTTGAAAAGATAGAACTTTCTGTCAGTGATACAGAAAGTATTTCTAGATTTCTCATGGAATTTTCAAATTATTATGGAAAGTTCGTTTTAAATTCAGAAGTACTTTATCGAAGAGCAAATGCATGATTAGTAATACAATTAATGCATCAGCTTTACTTATTTAGTTGAGATGCATGATGATCAACTAGCGGAAGTATTTTTTAAGTATTGGCGTAATTATTAAACATTCCATCATAGAAGGTAATGATGGAAACAAATATGATAATAAATTAAGAAAGGAAATAAATAAAAAGTAAATGAAATTAACAATCGAACAATGATTTTGAACAATAGCGGATAAAAAAAAATTCTAAATTAATTAATTGCCGGTCACGGTACAAAATTAATTTGTAGATCCGGCGCAGATTTTATATGAATTACGTTAATTGGCATATTTTGATGTCCACAAGGTCACGTCTAAATGTAACGATGACTCACCAATCAATAACATTAAACGTGAATAAGCCACAAAAAAAAATTTTTTTATCGTTCGATATAAAATTTAACTTGTTTACCTTGGAGGAAGTCACCATTCCACCTTATATTTTAGTTGAGATTTTTTTATACACGAATTTTGCAGATTTTACGAGGTTTTTTTTACACTATTGAATAATATATTATTTTCTTCTTTACCAAATTAACAAAATAACAAAAAAAAAATATTTTATTTTATTTTTCTTTTTTAGTTTTTTTTTTTGCACACCTTGATCCTACCGGTTTTGGAAAACACACCCAGGTAATGTAATACCTTTTTCTAGCAAATTTTTGAAGTATTTATATTGTTGTGACGTGTTTTTAAGATAGTGCAAACACCATTCCAGTGCAATAGTATTTAATATATAAAAGTCCGTCGAAATTAATTATAGAATTAAGAAAAAATTTATTTCTCACCCATATAAAAATTGACGTCTGCTGATCATTTGCCGATCATTTCCAAAAAGGACAACATAATTTTTTGATAAAAAATATAATTTGCACCAAAAAAAAAAATAAATAAATATAATTAGCTACGTATAGCCTTCAAAATCATGACCGATAGGTAATTTTGACTGCTCTGCAAATTTACTTAAAAATGGTATTTGTAGCCTTCCTTAAGGTATTGACATTTTTGACAATTTATGACTTGGGGGTGAGGAATAAATTCACCCTTAAATTAATACTGTAAAATTTCGCAAATTATCAAAATTTTTATGATTTTTCTAAAGCAAAAACATCATTTAGGGGTATAGTACTTCCCCAAATATATCAAAAAATATTCGTAATACCAATTTTTTGTGCTGTTACTAGTGTATCATTTTAATATTATTTAAATAATTCTATAAAATATTCCTTGACGTTTAGACATTTAGTAAATAAATTGAATTGTGTAACGCTAAACACATGATATACTTATTATGGGTCATGTGTAAGTTCCAATGGCAATCGGTGAGATTTATGTTGCCTGCGGCCTAATTCAGTTCCGGGTTTATCAGAGTTTTTTTTATAATAATAAAGTACACCAATAATGTAATACTTATTCTAAAAAGCAACCTGTTGACTGAGTTAAAGTGATGATTGTAGTATTTGTGAGAAGAAATTTATGTCATTATTAAGTCACTATATTTGAAAATATATTATATCATTAATCAAAGATTTACTGTAATATCATATTATTTTTGGAATCACTAAAGGAAATAAATAAAAAAGCATGTCATGTTATTAAAAGAATGACGTTAAATGAGCAGAAATTTTAATTTGTTGGTTTTTAGTTATATTAACAATAATTATTTTATTTGCAAAATTTTTTTTCATGAAGCATCTTAATAAATTTTAAGACAATATAAGTAAAATCAATACTTTATATTACCACAATGAAAATAATAATGAATTACCCCTTTTCATGAATATCACTAAGGACTTCTGCAATCCTTTGTATAATATTCAAACCTTTCATTCTATTTATCCTTTAAACGATGCTTTAAATTATCATTTCCTACAGATTGCATTACCAAAATTGCATTACCATCATCATAAAATTATTTGATTCTGGACCTTTAATAATGCGATTTAAATAACTTGAATTATCGTATTTTGCTGTTAACGTTAATAAGCACCCTCAAAAATGGGGGTTCCTTAGTGTACGGTGAGAGTGTACGATATTAACGTACGAACTGGCCGGACTTAACGTTAACGCTTTCACGTGAAAGTGCATAACTCCTAAACTCGGGCCGGTTCGTACGTTAATATCGCAATCCCCACTGTACGAATGTACGTTAAGGACGCCCCTAAAAATAAGCACCCGGCCAGAATTATGAATATTTTAGCCAGAATTATGAGGATCTTGGCCGGCATTAAGTGCAAAAAATGGGGTGCTTATATACCACAAAATACGTTAATTGAAGTAAGTGATTCAATTTAAGAATCTATAATAAAAAGTAATAGTCAGTTTAGTATTTATAAAGGACAAATTATAAATAAACAAAAAGTTTACTTCTCTTAAAAAATTGGCTATAATATCTTGTGAGTTACTAGTCCAATTTTTGGATTTTTTAGCGTTACATTATCTACACCAATCAAACCAGTTTTAGGCTGCTTACATTCTTTACATAAACCATTCTTTCTTTTAATTCTTTGTTTAATATTAATTTATTGATTAAACAAACTTTGTTCATCTTTTAATTTTCGATGTCTAGTATTTAATTATTTGTTCAAATACATCACAACTGGTTAATTTCTTTTAATAATGTGACATCAATTTTATGCTGAAAAAGCCAAGAAGCATATTATGGTCGTACAGAATCGATCAGCAAATCAAAGCGTTTGAAATTTAAATACTGATTTAGCTTTATCAACGATCATGAAGTACTGTAATACGTTGATTTGAATATAAAATATTAGTATAATATTTTCTAATTCATTCTTAATTAATAATTTATTTAATGAGCGGATTCGTTATAGTATAATATAATATTAAATTAATTATGCTTTATGAAAGGAAAAAGGAAATTTAACTGCTGGCAAAATATTATTTCTTTAACTTTTAGAATAGGTCAAAATACAATAAATAAAAAGACTAATAATCTAAATAAACTTTTTTTTGTGCATCATTTTACAAAGAATTTGTAACTCAAAACCAGGTTCACATTTTCCTTAACTAAAAAAAAATAGTTATTTGAAATTTGATAATATTATTGGAATGAAAAAATTCAATGTTAGGTATCATTTGACGGATTAAAATATAAACTGATGTTTAAAATGAATAGTTAAATTTGTAGCTAATCATTTATTGCATCTTCAGAAGATCATTGCTACGCTTAAAGGTACATCCGGATCATCTAGAAGTTAATTGTTGCTATACTAAAGAATATTAATTTTTCCAGAATCTAATTGTTAGTACCAAGGACACTTAAAGAATAATCTAGTAACTTCACATAATATTTTAAACGATGTTTCAGAACGGAAATCTAATAATGATGAATCGGAATAATATTTTAAAACTAGAATACAAAAAAAAGCCATACTTAGTAATTTTTGCTGGTATACGAAAAATTTTACGGTGTTTGTACTTTGTACTGTACATCCTAGGGACTTACTATGTTAAATATACAAATTTTCAAAAAGTATTTGCTTTCATTTATGTTTCATCCTATCTAGTATTAAATGATCACATGATTTCAAGCTTCTCTCACCAATTACAGTATGTGGCCAACAGACCAGACGGTTAGATATAGTAGATAATAAAAACAACTTTTTTTTTTAACATAAAAAAATATTCGAGATTCATAAAATGAAAAAATTAATGATATTATGCTTCTAAATAAAGGAGTTTTTTTAAGGAGAAGCTTTAACTGTCTAATGACGAAATTTGAATTTCGTACAGTGAATACTGAGAGTTAATAGTTGGTTTTTTGATTTTCGAATACTATTCTATTTTGGTTAAAAGAGGGTAAAAAAATAATGTTTTAAAACTAAAAAAAAATGCATAATCAATAATAAATGAATGTATAATTGAGTGAAAAAAAAATTACATAATTGATAACTGATAATAAAAATTAAAACAAAAGAAAAAAAAAGGATTAATTGGATTGATATGAACATTTCTTTTGACATTTTCCTTATTTCGTGACTAAATATTTATCGGAGAAGACGAAGAGTATTTCATATTAAAAAAAATATTAACAAATTCATATATTTTGTAATATCTTACTTATCGTTTTTCGGTCCTTTCGTTTAAACCTTTTTCTTTTTTCCTTCGGATCGTTATCTTTATCAAAATTTCTAGGTGTTGCGACTGTTGCGTGTGAGGTTACCATTATCTGAAAATCCAACATATTTTCTCTTTTTTCCTATACCTTTCTTCGATTTTTAGTCTCAATATCTTCTAGTAACTTGTCTATTTGAAATCCTTTTCCCAGAAGAACTATTTCCAACTTTATCCTTAATTATTTTAATTTCAATTTGTAGTACCAGTCTTTTCAGAAATGGGTTCTAGGTTACGTCCTTTACCACCAATTAATTTTCCAACCTCAATATTTTTGGAAATTTTAATTGTGGTCGACTGAATATTTGATTGAATTTTGCATTTGCATTTCCATTTTTAGAGATGATTGATTACTTTATTATTATTAAAAATAATAAAAAAATAAATATATATAATGTATATAATATATATTTTTTTTTTTTGAAAATGCGAACTCAAAAAAGGGCAGTATTTATAATTTAGCAGTTATCTCAAAATACTAACAAAAACAAACATTTTATTAACATAAAACCAACAATAGTTTTATTACTATCTTTTTCTTATAAAAAGACCATTGTTTTTATTAACAAAAAATTTAATGATTTTCAAAAATATTTTCAAATAAATTTGTAAAACCAAGATTTTATTACAAAAGATAGTAATTATTCTCTTTTTAGCATGGAAAAAAAAATTAGTTATAAGGATTCCTATGTGAGACTTTCACAAAAAGGGTATGTCCCGGATATTTTGTTCGGGTCACCGGGTCTTGCGTCATAAATTATCTCATTCATTGATGCTTTGTCATCTAAAAAGGAAATTCTCCCTATCTCGTACTGCGTTAATAAATTGATTTATAAAAATTAATATTCCTTCTATAATATTTTTCAATTCTTCATTTAATATTAGCTTATCAATTAACAAATTTTGTTCATCTGTTAATCTGATAGTTAAGTCTTTTTATAGTTTTATTTGCTCAAATACATCATAACTGAGCTTAAATTCTTCCATATCAGCTTTATGCTTAAACAGAGTAAAAATGATTTTTTTTAAAAAAAAATCAAAAGCCGCAGGCCACAGTCTTATAAACGTTGACAAATCTTATTTTAATTTGGGTCAAACAAGGCGTTCGATAAATCAGCTAAAATAAATTCGTTAAGAAATTACAATTCTAACCGAAAATTTAAAATACAAAAATTAAATAAATTACTCTATTGTATAAATTTCACAAAAAAAATGCCTTATCGATCATTTAGTATCAAAATTACTATTTCATTGTTATTTGTTAATTACTTTTATACTGTACAAATTACTGATAATATTCTTTATGATTGTTTAACATATTTTTCTAAAGCTAAAGATATAATAAAATTAATACAGTATATAACGGCTAAACAAGTTGCATCATTATTAGGCGAAAAAATATATAAAAGAAAATTATTTATGAATGAACTTAGTGATATTATAATAATCATTATATCAATTATGTTTTATGAAAGAAAAGATAATTAACAAATTAAAATTTCCATTCATTTTAACATCATTCTTTTCTAATAACATTACATTTTATTGATTTGCTTATTTCCTTTAGTGCTTCCAAAATAATAAAGTATTTAACCTCAAATCTTCATTTGATTAATTACATAAATATGTTTTCAGTATAGTAGTAACTACATAATGCCATAAATTTATGGTTTAATTAGTTAGCAGGTAATAATTATTATATTATTACTATCTAATGGACAATGGTTATAAAATGGTATTCACTATATTAGTAAGAAAAGAAGTTATTTTTAAAATAATTAAAAAAATTATAATTTCTTAATTAATAACAATTTAGCTACACAAACGTTACTAGTCTATCATAATTTACATAATTAAAAATTATAATAGAATATTTTAGTTTTCTAAACAATAAAAAAATTAACAAGGTTTTTCATTCATACTGCATACATGGCATGCGAATAGTAATACAAAGGAAAGGTTAAAATATTTACTAGAAAAGCAAAAAACATAACGATAAAACATAAGGTACATGAATGAGTAAGTATGTTTATTTTTTTCAAAAGGTAGTTTAATTATAAATTAAATTAAAAAGCTTTATCACTTGCAGCATACTTTGACAATTCGACATATAGTAAAGATAATGACAACGTAACAATCGAGCAATGATAATCATAAATATCACGTTCAAATTCAAGAATTCTAAAGAGGAATACACAAGGAATATTAGAAGGGTTAAACTATATAATGTAAAATTTGAAAATGTGACTATAAAGTCGAAAAAAACTTAAATAATGTAATTTTGTAATTTTATAATATACAGTACAGTACATACATACAGAATAGTAATTCATCCTATTTATTTTGGTTTAATGTATAAAAAACTTTATTTATAAGATTTTAATCGTTCCAATAAAATACACATACTGTAATAATAATAAATAAAATAGTAAATAATAGATACAAATAAAGAAATTTATATTCTGAATATTTGTATATTTTCTTCCTTTTCTTAGTTTTTCTTTAGTTATTTTCATCTATAAGAACGAATTAAAGTAATTATTAATATTATTAGTAAAATTAATCATGTACTAGAAATAGAAAGCAAACTAATGTAAATAATTACCTAAGTTGAGTTTAGTAAAATCTATTGCTTCTATAGATTCTAGAAAACAAAAAAATAATTGTAAATTATAAGTATTTCAAGAATACCTTTTCTAATATAAACTAGGACATTAGTTACCTGAATAATCAACATCATCTTTGTTATCAATAGCATTTTTTGGTTCTGGTAGATTTTTAAAGTTTAAAAGCCTACTTGTGTAGACTGCTTGAGGATTTGTAGTATATGAAAGTGTACTACCATTATATGATAATGAAGAGGAAGTTAACTTCTCATTAATTTTATCTGCTTCTTCAATTTGCTTTTTGATCTTATGATCATCCGAATGTCTACTTGAATGATATAAACTAGACACTAAATCACATAATTCTCGTGCTTTAGGTCGTTTTAAAGGATCAGCATCCCAACATTGTTTAATTATGTCCAAAATTAGTTGAGGAATTTTATAATTAGATTTTGGCCTAAGCCCTTGACAAATGCTAATAGCTAAGAATTTATCATGAGCAATATCATGATAAGGAGGAAGTCCCGTACAGACTTCATATGCAATAATTCCAAATGCATAAATATCACTTTCTTGAGTATATTCTCCTCCTCTTAAAACTTCAGACGCTACATAAGGTAATACTCCATATACTTGTTTTTCATTTTTATTAATTTGAGAAGATTTTACATTTGCTGGTTGGCATAATCCTAAATCAGTAATAATAGTATAATTACCATCTCTTAACATATTGCCACAATGAAAATCATGATGAATTAATCCTTTTTCATGAATAGAATTGAGGCCTCTTGAAATATCTACTAGATATCCCAACTTATCTACCCACTTTATTGAATTAAATCTATTATTTAAATATTGTCTTAAACTACCATCTTTTGCATATTCTATTACCATCATGAAATTATTAGATTCCGGATCTCTAGTAATACCAAAACATTTAGTTACACAACCTGAAATAATCGTAATATGTGATTCAATCTAAAAAAGAATCCATTATAATAAATAGTAAGTTTAACATTTATAATGGAACAGTAGTTTTTGAAAATGATATACAAATAAGTAACTTACTTCTCTAAAAAATTCGGATGTAATATCCTGAGAATTGTGTAAACATTTTAAAATAATTGGAAAATTATTTTTATAATCTGTACCAAAATGTTTGCTTCTCTCCCATCGATTATTTTCAGAATCCCATCTTTTTATATATCCATCCTTCCAAATTGCTTTATAAATAATTCCAAATCCTCCTTCAGCCAAATATTCAACATTTTCAAATCTATCATATTCAATCCACTCTAAATTTTCCATATATTCTTTAGCTTTAAGTTGTGTTTTTTGAATAAACTTATCAACTTCGTTATTTCCACTAGTCCAATTTTTGAAATTTTGTTGAAAATGCTTAGCATTACATGACTTACACCAATCACTCTTAGTATTAGGCTGTCTACATTCTTTGCATAAACCATAATATATATAACGTTTTTTTAATTCTTCATTTAATATTAGCTTATCAATTAACAACCTTTGTTCATCTGTTAATTCATTATAATTAAAATCTTTTATTTGTTCAATTACATCATCACTGAGCTTAAATTCTTCCATGTCAGCTTTATCTTTAAACAGAGTAAAAGGATTTTTTTTTTTTTTTTAAAAAAAAAAGGGCAGCCTTATATTACGTATTACAGTTGCACAACAGTGATCGACAAATCTTATTTTAATTTTGGTCAAACAAGGCGTTAAAACTTAAAAAACCAGCTGGTGATCACAAAATAAAAAATATTGTTACACAAAAAAGCAACTACAAGTGATAAATGATAATTATTTTATAAGATTTTTTAATCTATCTTTTAATGCATTCTGTTAGATAGTGATATTCTTTTACAATTGAATTACTGTGATTCAACTAAGAAATTATTTAATCATTAAATAAATGGAGGTATAATTCAATTATTTAATCTTTAAAGTAATTAGGAAATTTCAACTGTTGGTAAAAAAAAAATTGTAATGAAACCAGGAAATTAAAATTTTTATTTTAACATCTTTTTTATACAGAGGCCTACAGTAATTTACCGGATTTTTAAAATTACTTAAGTAATTTATAGTAAATAACATTTTTTAAGATATATAAAAGTTTGTCAAAATTCAATATATTGTAATCAATTTATTTTATTTAAAAACTAATCAATTATAGCTTTTAAAAAATATATTAATTAAAAGACTGAAATTCCAAAAGTTATTTAAATATAGTAATTAATGTGTAATATAATTATAAAAAGTTGTTATGCTTTACATTCAGAAATTTTTTTATATTTTAAAACTATTTAACTATTTATTTTTGATATTTAAAAACTATGCTATTTAGCTATCAAATAAAAAAATTTTGAATGAAATTTGTTAGAAAATTTGACTTTTTATGCAATTTGAAGATCATCAAGCATTTAAAAAAAAATTCTTACTGTAGGCCTTCTGTATAACATGAACTTTTATAGATAATTGATTTGTTTTTTCTTTTAGTGTTTCTAAAAAAATATAGTATTTAAACTTTTTTTTTTTGAGTTTTTGGCTAATGATGTAAATGTTTCTAAAATAAATATAGTAACTCAATAAATTTTGTGCTCAAAATATTGTGAATAAAACAAAAAATTAGTGAAATAAAATTTTTAAAATATCATAATTTGCTTAGAAAAATAAATAATACTATTATCAAACTATAGAATTCTAAGGAGAGATACAACAAAGAATGCTAAAGGATTAAATAAATTGAAAGTTGAACGAAGTGTAGTTGTGGCACAGCATATCGTATTAATAAAATGCCCCTATGACACCCGAAAATCTGCCAAAAAATTCCGCACAGGGCCGGAACTATGCAGTAACACGTGAATAAACAGTAACGACTAAGGCGTGACAAATATGATTTTGACTAACCGAAAAAACTGTCACTCAGATACTTATAGAAAATGGAAACACAGAGGGACGTGACATGTGTGATGAATAATTTTACTATTGCGGAATTTTTTTGGGTGTCACTGGGGTTAATGTTTTAATAAGCAACATTTCAAGTTTTAAGATTTTCACACGGCTTCTTAATAATAGCTATTGATTTACTATTAAATAAATTAGCTTAAACTTTTTATAATATGAGTAATTAACGTAAAGACTATTAAAAATCTACATTTTTTGATATAACTATTTTACGAGATTGCCAATGAAAGACTAAAGTTTGATATTAACAGATTCACGCGTTTATGATGAACTTATCTGAGAATGTTTTGGGCTGAATCACAATATTTTACGAAGGGATACAATGATATTAACGTTAACAATATTGAAGGACCCAGAAATATATATAAAAGGGTCATTTGAGTTTGCGTATTTAAAAGATCATGAAAATTTTTCCTTTTTTAGATAATTTTTATAATGCCAGTCAGAATTTTATTTCCTATTATAGTGGCCGACTGACATTATCATACTGAAAAAAATGTGTACAACTCATAGTAAAAAATTTTTTTCATCACCTGACCATTATACAGTATATAATATTAAGATCCACTAAAACTGATGGTTGATTTATTTAACATTATTGACAGTACGTAAATATAGTCAAGTTGTAGTATATTAGATTCATGGAATAAATTATTTATATGGGAAATTGAACTAATTCGTAAATAGAAAATATTATAAAAAGGAGTACAGCATAATTATGAATTTTAATTGTTTTCAAATAAAGAAAATTTGCCTCCAAAATTCATGTTACAATTGTTACATCTAATTTTTAAATTTATTGTACTCAGTGACTTTAATATTTATATAATGGACCCTTAAATTTCGAAAGGTAGAAAATATTGCATTTTTTTTATCATATTATTTTTATTAGAAAATAAAGCCATATATATTATATCGTAAAAATCAAAAAAAAAAATTAGTTTATTTATTAAATGATGTTTGAATTCTTTAAATATTTTTTTCATTATTATCACATATTCCATCGAATTTATTAATCAATCATCTGATTAAGAGGATTATTTTTTTTTTTGACTAATTGTTCAATAATCATTATGTATTTTTTATTTCGCTCTAACTATATATATCGAGATCTATCAATTTTAAATTGTATAAACGAAATCTAGAACTATTAAAGGATAGGGATGTTGCAGTATGTGGTTTATTCCAAACCAGTTTTAAACCAGCTTATGCTCAAACCGATATAGTTAGCTAAAACTAGTTATTAAACGATAACGTGTCATTTTAGAAAAAACATCTAGAGTTTCATTATTTAAGAGTTAACTTTACATTAAAAAAAAGTATTGTAAAATATCCAAATTTATGCTCCAAATTAGGAAAATAATAGTTTTAAACCAGATTTTGCCAAGTTTCATGTAGTTCGTGACCTGAAACTAGTAGTTTGCACGAACCGAACTAGTTGAACCATTTAACATCTCTAACTACTATCTATGGACATTAATTATAAAAAGATATCGCTATATTAATAAGAAAATAAATTATTTCAAAATTATAATTTCTTAATTAATAAATATTAGCCCTATAAAAAATTTTTCAGAAAAATAATCACGTGTCTGAATTTCTTCGGAATAAAAACTAGAAAAATGAGTTTTTTCCAGAATTTTTTTATAGGGTATCATCGAACGTAATCTATTCATTATGAAATTAGGATAAATTATTTAACTATAAAATAAATGATTGAAGATTTTTAAATATTTGAAAAAACTCTTTCAACTCCTTAAATTTTACTATAAATCTGCAGAAATTTTTTTTGGAAGTTTTGAAAAATTTTTTATATATCCTTCATAAATATGGAAATGATACTAATACAAAAAGAGTTTTTAAAAAGTTTTACAAGGAAACAAGTTGCAAACAGTCAAAAAAATTTAGAAACATAGGTCGTAAAAGTACTAGAGAGACCTACAGTATCAGTCATAACTTCGATGATACAATAACGAAAGCAAGCTTTTCGGCGAATTAAGTAAAAATACGAATACAAAAGTAGAACTCATGGAGCTGCTAATAAAAGTCTGTGACAATATGATAATGTATGAACACTATGAAAAAACACAACCAGGCTTGGGAAAAATAACGAGGATGGCTGCGACAGGCACAGCACTCAGATAAGAAACACGTGGACGAAGTCAAAAAGGGAATTGAAAGAGAGCTTTTGTCGAACAAAGATAGCGCCAACAGATGTACAAAAAAATACAGAAAAAGGAAAAGGAACATCATGTTCGAGAAATCTTTTTGTACGACATTTTGAAAAGATGGACAGAGATTCAAATACAAGAAACGGTAAAGAAGATCAATGACAAAATATATTCGATAACGATCAAAAAGCAATACAAATATCAGACGGTCAGAATAAAGATTAAACTACAAGACTGTTTTGAAAAGTCATTTACGAATGGAAACTTCACAGTTTTATAGTCGGTTGAACATATATTAGATGGTACGATGGCAAGTTGACAAGAACGAAAAGAACGAGACAGATGGCAATTGTGGAAGGATGTATCAGAAGCGGAATGGAAGATGATCTGGGAGGACGAATCGAAATACCTAAAAATCTTCTAACAGTATACCCAAAAATTACGCTCTCAAAAATGATAAAAATCAAGATCCTGTAAAGTTTTGACTTATTGCAAGTTGAAAAGGACCTGGAAGATACCCATATAAAAAAAGAATGTCCGGAAATTGTAGCTAAAAACGTCCGGAAAATGTTTATTTGTCTGGAATATGTCCGGAATATTGCAATATTCCGGACGTTGGAAAATCTCCATTTTCCAGAAAATGTCCAGAAAATGTCTAGGAGGGTTCAGACCCAGCGTCCAGAAAGTGTCCGGAATATTGCAATTTTCTGGACGTTTTCCGGGCACACGGACATTTTCCGGATGTTTTTAGCTACAATTTCCGGACAATTTTTTTTTACAGGGTACACTTAAGGCAGGCACTCACTCTTTTCGTGAAGCAACAGAGAAATTTATCACTTGGACCGGTAAAATCGGACAAGATCCAAGGACGTCATGAATGGGCCTTAGATAAATTAAAGGAGGAAGTAATACGTCCTTCAGTTGAACCAGAAGAAATCATAAAGGTTATAGATGAATTCCAGGACGATCAACAAGAGGAGAACGATGATGTGTTGAGCAAAATAAGTGTTGATGACGTATTGGATGCGGAGGTCTGGACCAATCGACCCATCGTTAATTTCCTCAAGAAACTAAGGGAATCCCTGCTGACAGAGGATGACGTGATTGAATATATTAACGAATGTAAAGTAACTATTCAACTAGTAGAGGAAGTGGAGAAAAAACTCATACCGGCTTTCATCACACATTCCAACAAAATCCCAACAAAAGAGGAGATTAAAGAATTTGACACAAATAACCAGAAGATGGTGAACCGACTTGTGAAAGAAGATAAAATGAAGAGAGTGAGCAAGGAATAATTAAAGGAAAGACTGTGGAAAATATAGGTTATCGATGGAAAGGAGGGTTTTGTCAACTAATTTTTAGAATAGTCTTCGTGTATGTGGTTTTGCTAACATCGTAGATAGTAGGAAATTTATTTCTTTAAAACAAATGTATGTGGAGTACCACGATATCAAATTAAATAGCGACATAGCACAGCCATTACAAAATTTTTATTTATTTTCAGAGTAGTTAATTTAATTTTTGGCTCAACAGTATAAAAGGGATTAACTGTTAGTTTTTTTTTAATACAACAACTGACTAAAGGTGAGGGTCAATAACTGTTTGTAGCTGAGAAGTATTAGAAGTATAACAGATGACAGAAGTGGTATCTATTCGATGTTCACAAATGGTAGTTTAATAATTTTTTCTTTTATAAGTTCTGCATCTTTTACAAATAATATTTAATGATTTACCCAAAAAAAAAGTTTTTAAAATATTTCTTAATAAGAAAAGCAAGGTACAGTACATGAATGAGTAAATATGTTTGTTTTTTCAGGTAGTAAAAACATAAATTAAATTGAAAAACTTTATCACTTACAACATGCTCTGACAATTCGACATATAGTACAATCGAGCAATATTAAATTATTAATCATAAATATCATGTTCAAATTCAAGAATTCTAAAAATGAATATACAAGGAATATTAGAAGAGTTAAACTATATAATGTTAAATTTGAAAATGTAACTATAAAGTCGAAAAAAAGTATAAAAAATGTAATTTATTACTTCATCATAATTTTATAATATACAGTACAGTATAGTAAATCATCCTATTTGTTTTTGGTTTAATTTATAAAAAACTTTATTTATAAGATTTTAATCATAATAAATATATTCCAATAAAATACACATACTGTAATAATGATAAAGAAAATAAATAGTAAATAATAGATAAAATAAAGAAATTTATATTCTGAATATTGGTAAATTTTCTTCCTTTTCTTTTTTCTTTAGTTGTTTTCATCTATAAGAATGAATTAAAGTAAATTGTTAATATTATTAGTAAAATTAATCATGTAGAAAGCAATATAATGCAAATAAGTACCTAGGTTGAGTTTGGTAAAATCTATTACTTCTGTAGATTCAAAAAACAAAAAAATAATTGTAAATTAAAAGTATTTCAAGAATACTTTTGTAAAATAAGCTAATACATTAATTACCTGATATTCTTCAAATGAATTATCATCATCTTTATTATTATCAATAGCATTTTTTGGTTCTGGTAGATTTTTAAAGTTTAAAAGCCTACTTGAGTAAACTGCTTGAGAATTTATAGTATATGAGAGAGAAGTACCATTATATGATAATGAAGTAGAAGTTAACTTTTCATTAATCTTATCTGCTTCTTCAATTTGCTTATTTAATTCATCATCACTCCAATTACAACTTGAAATCCATAAATTATATAATAAACTCTTTAATTCATTTGCTTTAGGTCGTTTTAAAGGATCAGCATCCCAACATTGTTTAATTATGTCTGAAATTAGTTGAGGAATTTTATAATTGGATTTTGGCCTATGCCCTTGACAAATGCTAATAGCTAAGATTTTATCATGAGCAATATCATGATAAGGAGGAAGCCCTGTACATACTTCATATGCAATAATTCCAAATGCATAAATATCACTTGCTTGAGTATATTCTCCTCCTCTTAAAACCTCAGGTGCTACATAAGGTAATACTCCATATACTTTTTTTTCATATTCGTTATTTTGAGAAGATTTTACATTTGCTGGTTGGCATAATTCTAAACCAGTAATAATAGTTTCACTACCACGTTTTAACATACTACCACAATGAAAATCATGATGAATTAATCCTTTTTCATGAATAGAATTGAGGCCATATGCAATCCTTTGTAAAATATCCAACTTATCATCCCATTTTATTGAATTAAATCTATTATTTAAATATTGTCTTAAACTACCATCTTTTGCATATTCCATTACCATCATGAAATTATTAGATTCTGGATCTCTAGTAATACCAAAACATTTAGTTACACAATCTGAATTAATCATAATATGTAATTCAATCTAAAAAAAAATCCAAAATAATAAATAATAGTAAGTTTAACATTTATAATGAAACAGTAGTTTGAAAGTTATATACAAAAAGTAACCTACTTCTCTTAAAAATTCGGATGTAATATCCTGAGAATTGTGTAAACATTTTAGAGCAACTGGAAAATTTTCGTAATTCACATCCAAATATTTGCTTCTCATCCATTGATTATTTTCAGAATCCCATCCATTTATATATCCATCTTTCCAAGTTGCTTTATAAAAAGTTCCAAATCCTCCATTAGCTAAATATTCAACATCTTCAAATCTATCATATTCAATCCACTCTAAAATTTCCAAATATTCTATAGCTTTAAGTTGTGTTTTTTGAATAAACTTATTAACTTCATCATTTCCACTAGTCCAATTTTTGAAATTTTGTTGAAAACGTGTGGCATTGCATAGCTGACACCAATACGAATCAGTTTTAGGCTGTTTACAATCTTTGCATAAACCATTCTTTTTATAACGTTCTTTTAATTCTTCATTTAATATTAGCTTATCAATTAATAATTTTTGTTCATCTGTTAATTTCCGATTATTAAAATCCTTTATTTGTTCAAATACATCATCACTGAGCGTAAATTCTTCCATGCCAGCTATATGTGTTTAAACAGAGTAGAAGGTTTTTTTTTTTTAAAAAAAGGGGCAGCCTTATATTACGTATTACAGTTGCACAACAGTGATCGACAAATCTTATTTTAATTTTGGTCAAACAAGGCGTTAAAAAACCAGCTGGTGATCACAAAATAAAAAATATTGTTACACAAAAAAGCATTATTTTATTTTTTAATCTATCAATTATATATCTTTTAATGCATTCTGTTATTGATAGTGATATTCTTTTTATGGTTGAATTACTGTGATTCAACTAAGAAGTTATTTAATCATTAAATAAATGAAAGTATAATTTACAGTAATTATTTAATCTTTAAAGTAGTTTAATAGGAAATTTTAACTGTTGGTAAAAAAAAATTGTAATAAAACCAGAAAATTAAAAATTTATTTCTATTATTTAAAACATTTTTTTTTATATAACATGAACTTTTATTAATAATAGATTTGTTTTTTTTTTAGTGTTTCCAAAAAAAAATATAGTTATTTATTTATTTATTTTATGTAAAGTCGGAAGAACTATTCTAAGAGAGCATTACTTCTAAGAAGTGCGCCCAACATTTAGTCAAAAAAAAATATAGTATTTAAGGGTAGAGTACACACTATAATTAATTTTAATAGTCACGTGATGGAATGTCAATTTCAAAGTAATACAAGAGAAGATCGGTCTAATAAAAAAATGGCAATTTGTGCCAAACCTTTTTCATATTTTTTGTGTAAGCTATTTGGAACCAATAATATTCATGATATAAAAATTAAAGTTCGTTTAATTTTACCAAGATTCTTTTATGTTCGTATGAAGTTGAGTAAAACTGCCAATTTTCTAAAAAGTCTGCCAATTTTCTAGTTTGTTTTAAGTAACTATAACTAAAACTCTTATATTATATTAAAAAATTATTATAAAAACCAAAAAAAGTAAGTTTATCTTGTTGTTTATTTTCTCAGAAATGAAAAAAAGAAAATATTATATATTATAATTACTATTTCTAAGTTAATAAAATATTTTTGTTTTTTTAAACATAGGTTATAAAATACATGAAACAAAAGACTATTTTAATGTGCTATAACTGATAGATTAGTTGATATATTTAATCTTTATATTAGTTTCAGTTCTTTATTTTTATTACGCCAAAATTATTGATTGTAAATATTAGTTTACTATAAGATAGGTTCTCAACGAAGTAGTTAGTTTTTTGTGGTATTTTTTTAAAGGAAAATTAGCAATTTTACTTTATTCTTTATTAAATTTTATGTTTCTTTCGTTTGTATATGCCGATCATTTTACATGTGACATAATTAGCCACGGTAATTAATAAAAAATGATAAAATAGGTGTACTCTACCCTTAAACTTTTTTTTTTTTTTTGAGTTTTTGGCTAATGACGTAAATGTTTTTAAAATATAGTAACTCAATAAATTTTGTACTCAAAATATTGTGAATAAAACAAAAATAAATTTATTTCTACTAGTAATTCTAAGGAAGGATACAACAAAAAATACTAAAGGGTTAAATAAATTGAAAGTTGAACGAAGTTGTAGTTGTGGCGCAGCATATTACTGTAATAAGCAACGTTCGTGTATTAAGATCTTAATAATAGATGGCTATTGATTTACTATTAAAATAAAGTTAGATTAAACTTTTTTATATTATGAATAATTAACGTAAGTTCTATTAAAGTCTACATTTTTGATATAAATATTTATAACTACGGCAACGTTTTAAGAGATTGTCAAGATGAAGAACCAAAAAATTGATAATATTTTCTACTTTTTGAAATTTAAAGGTCCATTATATAAATATTAGAGTTACTTAGTTACTTAATACAGTAAATTAGATGTAAAATGAATATTGGAGGCAAATTTGTTTACGCCCTGTAAAGCTCAATAGTTAAGGGATTATTAATACATTTAGTTTATTAATAAGAATACAAATGTTCTTTATTTGAAAAAAATTAAAGTTCCTTAGTTAATATGTTGTACTCCTTTTATAATGTTTTCTATTTACAAATTAGTTTATTTTTCCCATAAAAATTTATCCCTTGAAACTAATTTATGATATACAACAATTTGACTCATTTTTTAACTATATTTACATACGTCAATAATGTTAAATCAAGTTAAATAAACTATAAATGACAAATTTGTAAATCAACCAGTTTTATTTTATTAAGTGTTTCCAATATTGTTAACGTTTAATATTGTATTCACTCTAACTATATATGATACCAAGATCTGTCAATTTTAAAATTATTAAATGAAAATCTAGAACTATGAAAGAAATTATCAAAATATAAATAAAGTTTAAACTTCATAAACTTTTTGTCATCAATTTCAGGTAAATCTAAAAAGATTTCTGTCTATTTATCTATTATAATTTATAAACAGTTTAAATTAAATTAAAAAATACTTGATCTTTTTGGTTTCGTTGACATTTTGTGTAACCTTTACCTTAACAAACAAAACAGCAGGCTTATGATACAAAATTTCCTGTACGATATTCCTTTCTTAATAACCTCTTATATGTAACGTAAAATATGCAGTCGTGACAGTGATACAGGGAGGTAATTTTTTTGCGCCTTTGATAAATATTGACCGCAAATGGAATTATCCGAAAGATTTTCATAACGATAACTCAAAAAAGAAAAAGTTAATAAAACTAAATATTGTTAGTCCTGTTAAACATGGCGTTTCAAACAATATTAAACCATTTTTTTTTTATTTTAAATTCAGTACAATAAAAGATTTTCAAGCGTCAAGATTGAAAACAAGGCTGTTAACATGTCTTCAGGTTCTGATACTGAATCTGCTATTATTTCAAATGCATATACTCATTCCATTAAAACTGAAAGTCAATTTACCGATTCCAGAGATCCAAGTATTTTAAGTCAATCTTCTGATAGTGATGGTTTTGTACCAAATGATAAACTTAAAAAAATAGAAGATGCATTTTTGGGTTATTATGAATGTTTGATTGGTAACTCTGAATCATTAATTCCATTTTCTACAGCTAGAATCGATTTACATGGGACAATGATATTAAATGAAGGAAAACATTTAGTTTTAACTAAAATTAAAGAATCTCCCTATTTAAATAATACTTCAATTCTTTTCATTACTGGTAAAGGAAGGAAAAAAATGGGAGAATGGACTGGAAAAATGTTTAATGGATTTCCTGAATGGATACAAAGTGTTAGACATTTACTAAGTGAAGATCCCGTAAAAGGATTGGGAAGTTATGAAGTATTTATCAAAAAAGAAATGAATACTGGAATTAGTGAAAAAACTTTGAAAAAATGGGAAGCAGAATCTAAAAAGAAAAAAGACATAAATTATAAATTATCATTAGCAGGTTTTTATATGAAAAGTAATGAAGTAAATGATGGAAATTATAATAAAACTAATAAATGTTATTTAAAAGCTAAAGATTTATATTTAAAAGCTGAAAGTTTAGGTTCATTTGAAGCAAAATTATGTTTAGGAGCTATATATTCTATTGGTTTAACTAAACCAAAAGATTATAAACCGGCCAAAGCTAAAAAATATTTCAAAAAGATAGCAAAAAAAACGAAAGATGAAAATATTGCTAGGATAGCAATGAGAAATGTTGCTACATTGTTTCATAATAATGAAATTGAGAAAAAAAAAACAGGATTATTGGAATATTTTTCCTCTTTAATAATTAGTAATAAACCTATTAAGCCATTACATTTAAAGAATGCAGAAACATGGTATCAAAAATCTCTTGGTTTAAAGGATAGTCAATCTGCGTATCAACTTGGATTGCTTTACGAAAATAATTTTTATGATAGTATAAAAAATGAAATTGAAGAAAATAAAAAGAAAGCAGAAGAATTATTTGAAAAGGCTGTTGAAGGCAATAATTTGTATGCAAAAGCAAAACTAGGAAGAATCTTAATTAATAATAAAAAAGATGAAAGTAGAGGGCTTAAACTGTTGAAAGAAGCGGCAGAAAAATTGGATATGGGGCAAACATACCTTGGCGAATATTACGAAAAAGCAGAAGATTATGAAAAAGCTGTTAAATTTTATTCAAAGGCCGCCAGACAGAGACGTGGATATTATAGTCATGCCGCACAATATCGCCTTAATAGATTAAATGACAAAGAACTCATTAATGAAGATACTAATATTGAAGATATTTTGGAATACTATAGAAAGGAATGTAAATATGGTTATGTTGAAACTGGAGAAAATTTTGAAAAAATTCGTTAGAAGAAAACTTATTTTTTTTCATAAATTATTTATATCAAAATATTTATAATTGTATTTACATGAATAAAGGGTATATGATTAATTACTTTTATTTATTTTAAATAGTATTTGATGTAAAAAAGTGTTAATGACTAAAAGTAACATAAAACAAAAATTTCAGGTTGAGATTTGAGGTATAACGAGCTTAACCATTAAGTCACTTTCAGTTCTGATCGGTGTCAACATTTTGGTAAAGAATTATAAATTCTGTATTGAAGATTTTAAACAGTTCTTAAACGCATTTGCTTAAAACAAATTTTTAAACTGCCGCCCATATAATTAAATGTAACTAATTTTGTAGTACGGCCTCAAAAAATGATGTATATATTATTTCTGTATCCTGCTGGTACACTTCATACGTTGTTAACGAAAGAAAATAATGAATAAACAGTTAAAAGAGATATAACCGTCCGAGTGTTCTCAAAATTTTAATTTAAAAAAGATATTTTTATTTATTAAGAAAGTTAGTTGCTACCTTATTGGTCAATTTACTTGTATAATAAAGTATCGTAATAAACAGTTGTACGTTTACTAGTCTATTGCGTATTAAATTAATATTTAAAATATAAATAATTCTAATCATTGACCGATCTTTTTGCAAAACTAGAAAACAAAAAAAAAAAATAATAATATCATTCCTTTATTAAAATCTGTACAGTACAAGTACATATTAATAATCGAAATATCTAGAACCGCAGACCTCAAGTTCAATCTAGTCTAAATACAGAGGGCTGATTTAATCTAATATGTACTATTATTACAAAAGTAATAGAAATCGCAATAAAAATTGAACAAATAAACGTAAGCCTAACCAAAGATGACTAAACTCTAAAAAAAGAAAAAAAAGAAAAAAAAAATTAATTAAATGTAAAAAATATCTTTCCGTTTCGTTGTATTTATGAACATGTTTTTATTTCAAGCAAAAATTTTTTTTTAATAAGAACAAGATAACTTTTCACATAACAGGGAGCTTCAAAAAAATTTATGTGAGATAGAGTTGTAATGTTAAGTGATTTAAATATAGATATATAATAAAGAATGGTATTTATTATTGTTATTATTTGTTTAAAAAAATAAATAATAATATATTAAAAAATAAAAGTGCAAAATATTATTACTGATTAGATTGCTAAAATCAAAAAGATGATAACAATTTATTATATTTATGTTGCAATTGTTGATATTCTACTATAACTTGTTCATCTGTTTTTATTGAATCAAAATCAAGTGCAGTTATTGTTAAGGAATCCCATGTTTTTGCACGGCTGATAGCAACATAAGACTGGCCAGGTGCAAACATCTGTGAGTCTAATGATATTGTAATATCTGGTAATGTTAAAGATTGTGTTTTGTGAACTGTCAATACATAGGCATCTTGAATAGGAAATTGATACCTTGAAGCAGGTTGCCCATTATAATTGAATCTAAAAATCTATTGTCAAAAATATTTTTTTATCGTGCAAAAATTTTCATTATTTCGATCTATTGTCAAAAAAAAATTTTTTTATCATGCAAAAAATTTTCACTATTCCGATCTATTATCACGAAAAAAAAATATTTTTTTTTTATCATGCAAAAATTTTATTATTCCGATCTATTGTCACAAAAAAAAAAAAAAATATCGTGCAAAAATTTCACTATTCCGATCTATTGTCACGATAATTCGCCAATCATCAATTTTTTTATTTAGTTTTTAATTAACAATGAATAAAAGCTAATATTAATTTTATTACGAAACAAATATATTTTTATTTTATATACTGTATACTTAATTAATAAAAAATTATTTTAGGTAGAATGGGTGTTAAACTATAGTATTATATAATTCCTAATTATAATTACCATAACTAAACAAACAACAGATGTTTTATGAAAATAAAGAAAATACTATTGCGTATAAATCATTGAAATATCATGCATTTTCTTCTGATTCTGTTAAAATTATATCATCTTTCTGCTTTTCTTTCTGTGATCTAGTTCTAACATTAGTTTTTTTAGCAGCCTTTTTTAATCGCTGTAAAGATAAATCTTCTTTTTTGATAACAACATCCTGCATTTGTTCATCATTATTTGTGATCTCGGTATTACTTGAAGCCTTCATTTCCTAAACAAGTGGCTGGACTATATGTTTATTACTTCTAAACTTGTTGGCACGTGAAAAAGTTGAATGGACATTAATATTTGACTGGTTTTGAGACAAATTATTAGAGTAATCATCTAATAAATCAATTTTTTTCGCTTCAACAAATGGAAGCTCATTTTCATTTAAATCAAAAAATCCAGAAATATACACTAGTTTTTCAACATTTAGTTTTGGTGCAATGATCTTTTTAAAGCGTGAATTGGGTCCAGCTTCATAGACGACCTGTATTTTGAAATCCATCCTTTCCTTATTGCCAAAGCTAAAGTTGTTGTATTCTAATAAATTAACCCCAAACTTGCAGTCATTCTCATGTTGTACAACAGCTTCGTAAATTTTTCCAACAAAAGATGCATAAGGCCCATATGGAAGCAAATTATCATCATAATTTCCAGTTTGAGGTAATTTGAAGGCTGCAGAAACTAATAACTATAATAAAACAAATTAATATTTATTTTAATTTAAATTTTTCTTTTTTTATTTACAATTTATAATAAAAACATTTTATAATTATTATGGGGTATTCAACACTTACATACATAATTCCACGATTAAAGACGCATTTACCACATAATAGTGCTGCAATTTGTAAATCATACAAAAACAGAGATACTTGCTTTTTATAATAACCATAATGAAAAATTTTAGTTTTTCCTGGCTCAAATGTATAGCTTGCTAGACCATTGATGAATCCTCCATCTTGCCTTTTGATTTAATTTGACATACTTAGCTATCAGTGCCTATTTTTTTCACTACCATATAATAATCCTATAATGTATATTTTGTAATAATTGACAATATAATTGCAATTATAAATTAATATATATTAAAATAACATATTACAATGAAATGTAAAAAAATAATAATTTTGTAATATATGACAATTATCCTTTTATATTAGTTACAATATTAATATTAAATATTATACTTGTTAATAGACTTATTAATATATATGTTATTAAATATGATATTTACATGACATGTCAAAAATTCCTATTAATATTATTTAAAAAGATTATAAAATACTACCAAAAAAATCACCACTGATAGCAAAGTAAACTGTAACTGAGGAAGGCATTTTTATTAAATTTCTTTTTTTTTTTTTTGCAATGATAAACTTGAAAACTACCGCTTTCTTTTTTTCAAATTTATAAAAAATTTACACAATAATAATTCGCAATAAAGCAATTTTATTTTTTTTTTATTCTATATTTACAATACAATAGTATTGTTCTATTTAATTAAATACTATAATATAAATTTTTTTTTAATAATAAATTAAATCATTAGTAAAGAAATTCTAGTATCCACTGATCTGCCACAATGCATTTATACAGATTGTTTTGGTACTATCTATGGTCTCTGATCAAAATTAAAAATAAAAAAAAAATAAAAAATCGTCAAAAAAAGATTATCATACCTACTGATTTGCTGCGGTATGCTGTGAACCCACATTTTTCCGGTATCACTCATGCACCCTGACCGAACTTAAGAAAGGAAAAAAAAATTTTCTAAAAATAACTTGGCTGGGGATTAGTAATCAGGAAAAAAAAATATAGCTAAAAAAGTCTAAAAAGAAAAAGGTTACTATACCAGCCGATCCGTCACATCCAGTAAAATTATTTAATATAGTTTTCCAAAAATAGCCAGTGTTAACCTTGAGACTTCTTTATCTTTATCCCACAATTTTTTTGACAACAAAAAAATGATATAAATGCTCTTTTGGTCCTGCGGATGGTGGGTGGGCGTGGGTTAATGTTAGTAATTCATTTCATTTCGATATGAAATGTAACGTTAATGTTAACGTTAACATAACGTTAACATAAAATTTTTCTAAGACTGGTTTCCTTTTTTGGAATCCCACTACCCATTTTGGCATTGATTCACTGCTGTAAATTTTACCCTTCCCTTTTTTAATCAGAACCTTTCCTTTTTTAACAGAAGCCTTTTCCTCTTTTAAACAACAACGGTCAACAAATCTTTTAGTGGTTTCAAATAGAATAAATGTCACGTTTTTTAATAAATTTCATAAATCCTTATTCCGAATGTTATGGTAGATAATTTAATCAAATTTTTTTAGGGTAAACGTAATACTTTATTTAATTATATGATAAAGAACATAAAATTACATACAGTACACATTGAATTTGGACCTAAGTCCTCCCTCCTTACCCCATACCCTATATATCTTTTCGTCCCCCCAGGATATGTAGTAGCTAATTGACCTCGATCTATTCTCAAATGTACTATACTAATCGGACCCTAACTAAAAAAAAACAAATTATACTATTCTATATTTTATCTTTTACTCTAAACTTATCCTAAATAGAACTACTTCCTTTTTTATCTAAAAATCTCTCAGAAATTTTATCTTGAGTCTCTTCGTCATTTTCTTCTAAAGACCGTTTTTTACCTTCTTTGACCTCCACAGTGGCTTTGTCTTCTTTTCTTCTTTTATCTGTGGAAAGTCATTTAGTCTCATTTATTTCGTTGTAAAGAAAGACTTCTGTCAACTCAATCTTTTTATTACCAATATCGGAATCTACAATTGGAATCATTGATGGTTGATTGGGCTCCCTAGTGTAATTATTTATCAATTTTGAAATTGCGATGTGTTCCGGTACTAATTCCAAAGAAACATTCGTCTAAATTTTTTTACCATTAAACAATTTCATCAACCTTGTTAATTCTTTCTTTATCGTACTCTGGAATTGATGTAGTATCCACTTTAGCTGTTTTTAAAACAGGATTAATCCACGTTATGTTTCGTTTTTTTATTTAAATTTTCTCATTTCTTTTCCGTAGATTTTCCATGCTTTTTCAAGCCCTTTAATTCAATTGATTTATCTATGCTTCCTTTCTTTGCTGTTCATTTTCAAATTCATTTTTCCAAAACTACAGTAAATGTGTAACCATATTTATATACGTCATTTAAATAATTATACGCTTTCCATTTACAAAGTTGTTTAATATCTGTTACTACTTTTAAGCTCCCTGGGGAACCATCTTATATTAAGACATTTTTTGTCTTTTTTCGTTAGATCCTATCGTTAGATTTATACTTTTCCTAAACACTTCCTCAAGTTCATCTGTCAAATTAATTTGAATTTTTACTGTCGATATTTTTCTTTGTTTTCAAGCTAACTTTACTTAAAATCCTGAGTTGGTGAATCGCTGATTCCAAATATTTCTCTGGAATATCGTACAAGAACATTTCACGTGTGCTGAACAATAATCCCCGTGGTCGAGAGTGGAATTTCTACTGGTTTGTTCATCTTTTGATCACGTGGATTTTTCTTTTCTCTTTTGTACCTGCCGATCTGCTCCCTCTTTCCTTTCTTGTTCTAGTTTCTGTTTCACCATATTAATTTCTTTGTTTAAAGACGAATTTTTAATTCATTCTAATTTCAGCCATTTTTTTTTCTTTTGCTACGCTTCCCGCAGTCCCGCAGTTCTGCAGCCATCGTCGAAGTCAGTTTTTCATTAAAAGACCCAATTCTTTTTACATTACTATCATATAATTTCACTGGAAGAAATTATATCTTTGAAAAAAGCCGGTTGGTTTTGACGTTTGGATATATATCATCTATTTTTACTTCATAGTTTCTTTTTGCGTATTTTATTATTCCTCGAAAACTAGTTATTAAAAATTTTCGAACTTCCTTAAGAAAGTCTGTGCTAAACTCATTTCTTGATGGAAATGACTATATTTTTTTTATGTTTCTTATTTATATATCGTTTATTAATAATTTTTTTTGAAAAAAACTTTCTTGTATAATTTTGGATGAAAGATCGTCAGAAAGAAATTTCTCTTGTCGATAATTTAATAAATTTAAAGAATCTTAAACCATATAATTGTGCACACAAATAATATTCTGGAAATAAGTTTATTGATCCCAGTGCGAAGCTAGTAAATAGATAAGATGCAATTACTACAAAATTGCAAAAAATATTTTCCAACTATCATATTTACTTGCTTTGGTCTATTTAAACATAAATGACAAAATATAAATTAATTAATTATTTATATAGTAAATGAATCATTATAATTAAAGATTATCCCCTTTAGAACCGATATTTATTTGATAAAATCTATTTTGATGAATCCTATAAAAGATAATTATTAATCAATTTGTTTACACCAAAATTAACTGAATATTCTTCAAATGAATTATCATCATTATTTAACAATAATATTCGTGACCACCAAAAGATTTTTAAAAGTCTAAAAGTTTATTCATGTAAACTGCCTAAGGAAATTATTTTTATAAATATGTTACACAATTGCTGTTAGTTGCTTCAAGTCTATGTATAGCAATAATTTGTACAATATAATGGTAATAACAAATGATAATAAAATATTAATCTTGAAACTAGATGTCTGTATTCCTAAATTTCTTTCAGAATCTATAAAAAAAGAATTTTTTATCAAGATTTATTCGTGACTTTGTGATCATCAGCTGATTTTTTAACACCTTTGTTTGACCCAAATTAAAATATGATTTGTCGATCACTGTTGTGCAACTGTAATACGTAATATGAGGTTGCCCCCTTTTTTTTTAAAAAAAAAAAAAAAATCTTTTTACTCTGTTTAACACATAAAGCAACATGGAAGAATTTAAGCTCAGTGATGATGTAATTGAACAAATAAAAGATTTTGGTAGATATTACTATTTAACAGATGAACAAAAATTGTTAATTGATAAACTAATATTAAATGAAGAATTAAAAGAGCGTTATAAAAAGAATGGTTTATGCAAAGAATGTAAGCAACTTAATACTGGTAGTAATTGGTGTAAGTCATGTAATGCTAAGCATTTTCAACAAAATTTCAAAAATTGGACTAGTGGAAATGATGAAGTTGATAAGCTTATTCAAAAAACACAACTTAAAGCAGAAATACAAAACGAAATTTTAGAGTGGATTGAATATGATAGATTTGAAGATGTTGAATATTTGGCCAAAGGAGGATTTGGAACTATTTATAAAGCAATTTGGAAAGATGGATATATAGAAAAATGGGATTCTAAAAATAATCAATGGGAGAGAAGTAAAGAATGGAATATAAAATATGAAAATTTTCCGGTTGCTTTAAAATGTTTACACAATTCTCAGGATATTACATCCGAATTTTTAAGAGAAGTAGGTTACTTATTTGTATATCATTTTCAAAACTATTGTTCCATTATAAATGTTAAACTTACTAATATTTATTATTTTGAATCTTTTTTAGATTGAATCACATACTAAGATTATTGGTTATGTAACTAGATGTTATGGTATTACTAGAGATCCAGAATCTAATAATTTTATGATGGTAATAGAATATGCAAAAGATGGTAGTTTAAGACAATATTTAAATAATAGTTTTAATTCAATAAAGTGGGTAGATAAGTTAAATATTTTACAAAATATTGCAAATGGCCTCAAATCTATTCATGAAAAAGGATTAATTCATCATGATTTTCATTGTGGTAATATGTTAAAAGATGATAATTGGACTTTTATTACTGATTTAGGATTATGCCAACCAGCAAATATAAAATCTTCTCAAAATGAATATGAAAAAAAAATTTATGGAGTATTACCTTATGTAGCGCCTGAAGTTTTGAGAGGAGGAGAATATATTCAAGAAAGTGATATTTATGCATTTGGAATTATTGCATATGAAGTCTGTACAGGACTTCCTCCTTATCATGATATTGCTCATGATAAAATCTTAGCCATTAGCATTTGTCGAGGGCATAGGCCAAAATCCAATTATAAAATTCCTCAACTAATTTTGGACATAATTAAGCAATGTTGGGATGCTGATCCTTTAAAACGACCTAAAGCACGAGAATTATATGATTTATTATATTACAATTTATATAATAAATTAGTTGATAGCAATGATGATGATGATAGTGAAATCAAAAAGCAAGTTGAAGAAGCGGAAAGAATTAATGAAAAGTTTACTCCTACTTCATTACCATATAATGGTACTACTCTTTCATATACTACAAATCCTCAAGCAGTTTATACAAGTAGGCTTTTAGACTTTAAAGATCTTCCAGAACCAAAAAATGCTATTGATAATAAAGATGATGATAATTCATTTGGAGAATATTCAGGTAATTAATGAATTTAGCTCATTTTACAAAAGTATTCAATGAAATACTTTTAATGTACAATTATTTTTTTATATTTTAGAATCCATAGAAGCAATAGATTTCACTAAACTCAACCTAGGTACTTATTTACATTAACTTGCTTCTACATGATTAATTTTACTAATAATAATATTAACAATTACTTTAATAATTCGTTCTTATAGATGAAAACAACTAAAGAAAAAAGAAAAGGAAGGAAATTTACAAATATTCAGAATATAAATTTCTTTATTTTATCTATTATTTACTATTTATTTTCTTTATCACTACAATTTGTATATCTTATCGGAATATATTTATTAT